ATCTTTCGAAAGACAAAAATAAACGTACTATACTCTATATATGTATATTTGTAACCTTATCTTGGTTTAAGGATTTCAACAATAAAATATTTAAGGATCGTTGACAACTTTTAGTAATAAAGCATATTACAAGAAAGTCCAACTGAACATCTAAAATGTCTAGGTAATAAAACAGAAAATAAAACTTTGATCTCATTTTAAAGAGTACTATAAAAATTTACGTTAATATCAGATGACTATCAAATTGAATCAGCGTTCCCGTGTTTACAAAACTTTGAATAGTCGTTCGCTTGGTAGTAAGTCAAAACTTAATTAATTTAATTTAACCCAACTCAAGTTTTACTAATGAAGTTGTAATTTATACTTATCTACATGTATCCTACTCTTTTGATAAACAGAGTAATGTATCAGTTTCATTTACTACTATTTAGAAACATACAAATATACAGTTATTTCGGCAACTACAGTATGTTTTGTCTTCTATCACTAATAAAAGGATCTACAGAATTTCTTATGTGTGGAGCACATAAATTTTTATTGAGTGAACTACATATATGATTCTCCGTAAAATTTAAATCAGAATGAATAACTAGAGTTGAATAACTAGATACTGCATATGATGTAACGATTTCCTTATACTCTAAGGAAGTAAGTACTATTTACTCTTAATTAAGGACATAAATACACAGTGACCAGCTTTTAAATGTTGATGGTTTGGATTCTTTACGTATTTGATTACCTACATTGAAATGCAGAATTGCAATAGCATGCCTAAAACAGAGTTAGAAATAGTTCACAGGTTTCATGTAGGAAAAACTTTGTGAAATATGAAATATTTAGATCAGAGTCCACTCTAATTCCGTCAAGATCTGCATTACTCGTACTTATTTCTAAATACCTCATTTCGATTATTATACTAATTGTTAATTATGTAATGGCTATTGGCTATTGCTTTTATTATAACTATTAAACATTTAATTACTTGATTGATATTTTTTTTTATAATCTTTTACGTATTTTTCTTAATCATGTAAGTAATATTCTAAGTAAAAAGACTTATTTTCGTAATATATTATGACAACACCGGGATTCGTGTTATATGATACAAATATGAAATAATTTCTCAATCCAAATTCATTTCGATCACAAAACAATTTTCATGACATTGTTTCATGACTACCAAACAGGTAAATTTGTAAATAGAATAACTGTGGTTACGTTAATTTCGAAGCATATATTTATATTCTTTCCAATATTTCACTTTACTCCATTGATAAAAATAAAAAATGAGCTTGAAATATATCTAACTAGAACTTCACAGTCGAAATTAATTTTAGTTCCTGACGAAATCTCTTGAAAATAGTAGTTTTAAATTCTCAAGCAGAATTATTTCTCTAGTAGCTTCAGACCGTAAAATTTTCCAGCCTTTTATTATTTCTGTTTTTACTTTTAAGTTTTACCTAACATTAAAATGGATTCTTTTGTACCATCTGTGACATAGATTTTATTCTAGATAGAATACATATTCGTAATATAATTTTGGTATTCTGAATATTTTCTTAGAAAAATTAACGTCAAAAAGGTTTTACGCGCTGACAGACGAATATCCAAAATCCAAATGAGTCTGAGCACTCTTTATAATATAAAAAAAAATTATGTCTACGTCGTTTTTAGGCCAGGTCTCTGGAGATATTATGATGTTAACAAAAACAGAACCCCCTTTAACATTCTATCTAATATAATGTTTATTTGTCACAAGTTGTTTTGCTCCACTTTCACACTACATTGATTTATTATATTTTCGTTCATGTCCGATCCGTTATCAGGGAACGTGAAATATTGTCTTCTTTCTAACCTAAATCTTTCTCGCACACACAAGTAATACAATTCACAAATTACATTATACTTTTCGTTCAAATCTCTAATTGAATAGTAAAGTTTCATCTAAATTTTAGTTATGATGATTGTGAATCTAATGTTATCAACAAATATCGCTCTCAGGACTTTAAAATTGTAACACTATAAGTCTTTTGTCGTAAATGATTTCAATCTCCATATTATTTCCACATCACTTCCTTAACTTGTAAAACAACTATGTCTCAACAGTGCATCTCAAACATTCCACTTTTATCAATAAACTTAAAAAATAATAATGACAGATATCTTTATAAAAATTATACTGTTTCAAGTTTTCAATAACTATGTAGTACTTTTTCTTCTCTAGTTTCTTTCTATACTTTAGCTTCTGAGTAGCCACCTTATGTATAAATAATTAGCCACTTATTTTGTGGATTTCTCGAAAGACTTATAATAAAAATTTTCCCGGCGAAACAAGAAAGGAGCTTACATTTCACGAGACGACCTTAACTAAATAATAAAGAATCTAATAATAAAATAACGATGTTAAAAATATACTTTTTACGCCAAAAAATATCAACAATTACGTGTTAAAATGTTTAAAATAAATCTTATTTGTTTAATAGAATTTATATCGGTGAAACTGCGGTCAAATGCTAGTCACTAATGAAGAGCTTGAAATATCTCGTGAAGTGGTAAACATCACTCCATACAAGTTTCTGAAATTGAATACGACTTGAAAGATATAAACTTGAAATTAAATTGTTCAGCACTAAATTGTTTGAAACTAATCCCAGCAATACTTAAACGTAATGGTGACCTACAGATTGATCTTCATACAAATCAATATAAATAAGCAATCTTTCATTTGGGTAGTATTTATTGGGTGTTTAATAATAGATATATATTTTTAAACCACTTGTTTTTGGCACTCCAAATACATAATACAGTAAAGGAAAAACGCTAATAAAAAAAGTGATAGTATTTTTTTGCAAAAATATAAGAATTTTTAGTTAGGCGTTTGAAAATTTTGAATATAGCAAAACGAATAATATGATTTGAGTTATCTCAAAGAATATCATAAAAGAATATTTTTTCTCCTCTTAACCTTGGTATTAACAAAATGAAAATGGACAATTCTTTTTCTCCAGCGATATTCAACACCTAAACTTAGCAAACAAAAAATAGTGCGGGTTTCATACCCTACAATGAACACCACAAAATAAGGGCATATTTTTTAACCTTAGCATGACTGAAAAAAATATTGAATATCAGTTTTCTTTGTTTTATTCGCTTAACATTTATGGGTAGTTCGCTAAGTTTTCTTATTCGCTTAGTTTATACTTCGGTGTCAAAACATCAGATATATGTAACTATAAAGTTAGTGATATCATGTCAATATTATAGCAAGTTACTTTTGACTTCAAACTAACTACGGTCTACGTTAAAAATAGTATTTTAGTAACATTATTTTATGAAAATAGAAGAGGTACATTTGCTTATTTACTAGATGTAATTTGTATCCGCTGACCACACAATGGTTGTGGCTTACTCAAAGAATATATAGGCATTTACTTCAAAAGCTATGAAATCATAAACTTTATTTGCAGATATAGTTAAGTACTTAAAACTAACAATTTATCAAATGTACCTATAAAAGACTAAAAACAGGAAACTGCTAAGGTTGGCGGGTTTCCTAACAAGTGGGCTCATACAAAGCAATCACTACCAAGCGATGGAAAAACTAAAATAAAAAGATTAATTATACAAATACATTTAGAAACATGATATTCTTCAATAATAAAACACATAATATTGTTTATTTCTATTCTGTTGCCCAAATGTTTGATTCAGTTTACTAAGCAGTGATGACGGAACATTTTTTCATGAAATCAAAGCATTTCCGAATTAATAATATCTGAAACATTTAGGCCAGTACGATATAAACATGAGGAGAGTGTGTTTTTTTATTATAACTATTTGAAACGAAAAATTATAAAAAGGTCATATAATGTAATGTTGATTTTTTTAAAACATCGTTGTTATAAAGTCAAAATCATAGTCGATATATTATTTAGTTACATAGGTTTTTCGTGTCTCGTCTAATTTTATCTTTTAAAAAATATAAAAGTACAATCATTTTGAAATTTTTATTTTTTTTCAATTTGATCAATTAAAAAATGCGAAAAGCAATATAAATAATTGAGTGACCAATAGCAATACAACGCTATGTTAGATATCTCTAAATAATTAAAAAGCTGCATTTGGAGAGAAAGGAACCTTTAAAAACATAATTTAATTCATGACTGAAGAAATATAAAATGGTTAAATACTTAAATATTATTTTTGCGTACGCGTATTCTACTACATATTTTAACTACATACTCCCGACGTTTCGGTTACTTAGCAACAACCTTGATCACGGGTAAGTTTTATAAATTAAAGAATTTATTCTAATCTTCAAAACGAGTTCATTAATCTTTATTAAATTAACCTTAAATACGTAAAAAAAATCAAATTTCAAATACAAAGGCACACATTGCGTTCGTGTATTCGCTCTTATGTAAAACTCACTGAGGCAGAAATTATACAATGAAAATTATTTCAGATGCGATGTTTTAGATCTCCATGGATGTGTGGGAACAAAGCAAATTTATGTTGAAATAAAAGTTTCCAACAGAAAACGACGATGAATAATATATAAAATGTATGTACAAGAGGGATGCTGAAGTAAGCTGGACCACGGCCAATCCTCATTGATTTTTACATCCTAAACTATGTTTTACCATTGTACGTTACACGGGTAAGAAATAAGAATCAGTAAACGCGTTTCCTTAAGAATAAGATTCGCCTCAATTGAGATAAGTTTTGTTAGTTTTATCTCAAATAAATGTTTACTTTGTTCTACTTTTTTATTTGTAGTATTGATAGAATTTTTAGGTGCCAGATATATATTGTAGAGAATGTAAATAAGTAACTAGAATTTATTCAGAGTATAATGGATATATCTTGCCCTAAATAAAATAAATTTGAAGTTACGTTTTTTATAAATTCGTACTATCAATTTTTATTAAAAAATATGCGGATTGGCCAATATATAATGACGAATTATTATCAAAATATATGTATTTCATATATTATACCTGAATCAGCAACAACGGGGCCGAGTGGATCAAATCGTACGCGATGTTCTACAGCAGCTCTGGCTGCACACACGAGGTCTGAGAAGAACCTGTGCCTCCTTAGAGCTAACTCATCACGACCGACCGGTGTCGCTGGTGGTTCCCTGGGTCCTTCATAATCGTTCAAAACCGCTGGCTTTTCGAAAACTTCGTCATCATCGGATGCGGAATCATGCTTTACTTTGAAACGTTTGTCACAACTCTCCATGCTCTCTGAGGTCGACTTCAATATACCAGATGACTTCCGCCTCGGTCCAAGCCTCACGCCCACGTTAGTCCGCGCTAACTCCTGTTCAAGACTGGCCAGCTCGTCTAGCGTAACATTTCTACTACAGTCAATGGAATATCGCTTGATGTCTATACGATTCTTTTTATAGTCCACCGAAAATCTCTTCGTGAAATTCGGTTTGGGGAATACTTCATCGGTGATTTCGTTTGCTTCGTCGTTTTGGTTTGGAGTTTCCACAGACACAGGTGTATCTGGACACTCTTCCTTATCGTCACATTCAGTTTTCTCATCATTTAAAACGTTCTCTATATGAATCGTCAAATCTTTGGTTTCGTCTTTTTCAGGAGTTTCTATTGTTTGATCGGTCGAAATTTCTTCGTTGCATTTCTCTATCACATCAGTTTCAGATTTTCTTCTCTCGGCATCAGAATTGGCTAATGAATCCATGTTTTCTGACTTAGATTTGCTCTTATTAATTTTCTTATTTGGCCGCGCACAACAACTTTTAAACATTTCAAACGAAACAATTGTATATCATATATCATCTAATATAAAACTAATTAAACATATAATTCAATCAACTTTAACATTAAATATGAAATAAGCGTTCGATAAATAAAAACTTTTATATTACGTTAACGTAAGTATATTTTTTAATAGATCATTTCCGAAGTGTTATAATGACGCGTGTTTCATGAGTGTTTGTCGGCTGCCGGCCGTTCGAACGGCGGCGGGCGACTGGCTTCACTGACGCAGGGCGATGCGCCGCCCGCCTGGCGCATCCTGCTATCGGCTCCCACTCCACTAACTCTTAAGGAGCTACGGAGGTTCCCAAATTCATACGATACTCTGGATGTAATGATCGCATAACCAACGCTATGTAGGTCGAGAAGAAACGAAATCTCTGGTTGTATTTTTTAACAGTACTTTTTATATCAAATTGTTTTATGTAAAATTTAGTTACGAAAAGTTTTGTTGTAAAAAAAAATATTTAGTTTTATATACCCATATTATATAGGTACACATACGTTTATTTATATATATACAGGGTGACTGGTGAATTACTATCAATATTTAAGGAGCATACTCGGTACATGATTCTCATTCGAATTATGTAAAAAAAATAGGTACTTAATTTTTGACAAAATTTCCGTATAAATAAATAAAGTGTTGACACGTTCCAAGTGTTCCTAGTGTGGACGCGTACGGCGGCGTGCTGATACAAAACCACGCCCCCGCTGCGTATGTGTGAGTGTGTGTGTATACCTAATCTGTAGGGTGTTCACACGATGCGTAATTAATTACATAACTTTTGGTTAACTTTACTTAGAAGTTTATTAATATTTATGTTATATTAATTTTTATTTTGTCATATATGATCGTCAACTACCACGTCCTCAAATATCAATAGTAATTCACCAGTCACCCTGTATATATATATATATAGATTAGAGACAAGCATTGTGGTATTATAAAGTCACACCTATTACAGGCAGGAAAGTAAGTTAGAGATTTAGAAATAAAAACGAAATATATACCTCATATTTCTATACTCACAAAACAAGATTCATTATAAATTCCTTTATCAGTTCAACAACACTTCTAAAAGTGTTGCATACAATAAGAAACATTAAAAAGGAATGTTTTAAAAATAATTTAAAAAAAATCTTCTGTATACACAAATCTATGATGTTTGTATATAATTACTGCCCTAAAGAAGTAACTAACATACAAAAAAATATGCAAGTGGTTTTATAAATACATAAAACAAGGCAAATCCTTATATTTTATAGGAAGTGCACATGCTACATTTTGTAACTCTACTTTTATTATTTATCAGTTACCAAAACACATAATCTCCAATAAAAACATTAACACAATATTGTTATTTTTAAAGAATGAGGGATGCAGATCTCACTATTATCTCGGCATTTAGTAAAAAAAAACCTTGTAGGCAACACCTCCATAGACTATGTCAGAAATATGTAGAAATATCTAGAATACTTAATTCACCGTTAGAGTAAAAGCATCATGGCTTAATTAGTAAAACAAATGAAATACTATTTCTAGGAGGTTCAAGTTCAAATCCTTGTTGTCTGAATCAATTTTACATTCAGTATTTTCTATTTGACTCTAAATTCTACAAAATCTACATAAACAGTAAAACAGTTTGGAAAACCAAAAATGCTACTTTACCTCAGATTGTAGCTATCAACGAATTTAAAGAACATTAATGAGTTGTAAGCAAATGTATGTATATATTAATATTAACGAAAAGGTTTTCAATTCCAGTATAATATTACTTACTAGCTTTCCGCCCGCAGCTTCGCCGCGTGGAGTTCGGTTATATCGCGTTTCCAAGAGAACCTTTCAAAAGTCTGGGATAAAAACTATCCTATGTTCTTTCTCAAGGTCAACTCTATCTCTGTACCGAATTTCATTAAAATCAGTTCAGTGGTTTAGGCGTGAAAGCGTAGCAGACAGACAGACAGACAGACAGACAGACAGACAGACAGACAGAGTTACTTTCGCATTTATAATATTAGTAGGGATACTATACAAAAGTTTTAACAAAGAAACATCTTAGATGAAAACTTCTTGTCATTGCATGGTAAACACAAACAGCATGAGACTATCCATAATATAATACAGCAGAAAATGATGTGCTGGATGATATAGAAACCTAATGGTCATTACCATACACAGCTAGACAGGATGACACATTAAACTATGTCATTGCATCAATGGCTTATCTAATTAAACATTTACCTATTTTTGGTGTTTTATTAAATACTCCACCATTATTCATTTATAAAACGCAATAAGTAAAGTCAGTGCTAAATATTTCCTACAATAAGATGCTAACAAAAAGGATGTTGTATGTAGTTATCATAAAATACTGTTAGAACTGTCGTTAAGATTACAATCTCGCAGATACAGTTAGTTGAATGCAATAAGTAACTCATCATATATAAATATATCTAACACACCAGATAATGTGTTTCAAATGATAATATGATAATTAGGGACCATAATTTGGACATTATTACTAACGAAATGGGAAATAGCATTTGCCGACATTGTTTATCATGTAAAAAAGAAAAAATGTTGTACTCACAATTAATTAGCGTGAAGATAGATTCGCCGTGATGAAACGCACTGTATGCAATTATTAATAAAAGTATAAAGTATATATTATATTAAAAATCAGTCTTGTTATAGATTCAGCAGGTTACTTGTCAAACGATTTATATCGTTACGTTAACGCTTGCCATATTTAGATGTTTACATCAGTGTTTACAATCGAAAAATATAACCACACCCAGATACTAAAAAAATAAACATCAGATGAATTTTTCTTTGCATATAAATATAACAATTATTAAAAATCGATAATATTTAATATTATAATAGTCGTCAAATGTTTAAAATTACAAAATTTTGCCAAAATTTTACACTTTGTATTTAAATTTTTTACTCATTACATCCTAATATCTAATTTTATATAAATTAATTTAATTGATTCGATAGTTATTTATATTAATTTTTTGATTTGCTCATAAAATACCCAGAAAAGATATATTTATAAATTGTCCATCATACATCTGTATGAATATATTTGCCAGCTTTCATTACGACATGAAAATGAAATTTTAATTAATTCTTGTGTAATAGATACACAGTTCCTCTACAATAAATACCAGGTGACAAATTGTTTTATTGATTAAAAAATTAAACATCGTCGATTATATTATATAGGTCATGTTAATGAATGCAAATGCTGAAATTCAAGTAGCAGAAGGAAGGAAACAGTGGCATGGCATATGGATTACAGAATTGACAAAGCGGATCATTTGATATCAACAAAAAATATTAAAACATGGTTACTTAAAGGTGATAGAGTCTAGGCCCTAGCTGTGGTCAGTTACTACATCTCGAACATAGGCTGACTCAACCGGGGAAGTACCACCCTCTCACAGAAGGTCAGCCTCAAGTAGCCTTTAATGGCTGCGTTTCGTTCCGATTAGTAAGAGACCCGGTTGCTCTTTCCCTATTCCCATTTTTTCCTACCATTTCCCTATTCCACCGCTCCCTAACCCTAAAAAACAAAGTTGGCAAACGCATCCGTAACAAAGATGTTGCGGATGTCCATGAGCGCGGATCTACCTTCCATCAAGAAGTAGGCCATCTGCTCGTTTGTCACCTTTCACATGAAAAAAAAACGCCGTTGTAGTTTCTGGAGTCAGGTCATTAAAAGTAAATTTTTTTTACATGAGCAAAATTAAAAAATTGCATATAAAATCACAAGAAACTATTGTAACATCCTAACCGAAACTAATGGGATTTGGAGTCCCACATAAGTAGTTGTAGACTTCTCAATAGTATCGCGGCGGAATTTTATTAATAAAAAGTACTGTATAAATTGGCTTCACTCGATCTTATGATTTTCCTTCTTTTTATGAAGTTTTTCTTAATTTTCTATGATAATAAGCTTCAGACTGTTTGCTTCATATTTACATAAACTGTTAAAAGCAAGTTCTTAAAACAAGAATAAAACCAATTATTTTAATACAGGTGTTACACTGTATACATCCAAACTGTCTTTGCATGTCATTACAGAAATCAATACTGTTAATAAAATTACAATATCTGTATTTAAATCCGAGTGCTAATATTTCAATTTCCTCAAAAACCATTTAATAAACCCAAGCTCATAGTACATATTAGCGTACAATTATTATACCTGAAAGAGATTTAAAACTAAGATTTGAAGAATACTTAAGGAAAATGGCAGAAGCATACATATACATTGTCACATATAGATCTAGAATTATGAAATAATCTTGCTATAGTTTTATTAATCAACTTTATTAAAAATCATAATTAAAGGCTGTTTATAATTCCTGCACATCTACAAAACAATATGTGCGATATTATGACAGAAACATCAATCTATACACATAAGGGACATATAATAAACATGTTCTCTATAAGACGAAAGAAAAAAAATATTTATTTAATCAGTAACAAAAATAAATTATCATATACTAACAAAGCATAAACGAAATATAACTTAGACACAAAAAAAACAATGTTTTTGAAATAAATACGCACTTGTTAAAAAATTCGAGTTATCTAATAAATAAACATTAAAAGCAGAAATATATAACATATATTCCACATATTAAATTTATGAAAATCATATATGTATGTTTGTTAATAGTAGATAAGTTACTATTCTTAATAAAATTTCTTTTAATACAAAATGTATGCTTATCTTACAAAAGTTTTTGTGACATGAAATTATAAAATGTAATATTTAAAATAAAAAGATAACAATTATTCCCTTAATATAAAGTTCAATGATAACGGTACTTAATTTGAAATATATAAACATAATTTAAGTTACATATTCTTTGGGTTCTTTTAACGTTTTGAACTTAAATCTTATATATTACTCTTAATTGCTTGCATTGCAATATTTCTCATAAGTAATTATATTTTATTATGTCGTATGACATTTATGTGCTCTTACAATAAAAAATAATGTTAAAAATTTCTTAGTGTTATATTTTTTGCTTAAAAAGGACTAATGCATAAGTTACAAAAATGGCGTGTGTGTCTTTGACGAATAAGGCATTTTTTCAAATCATATTATTAAATTGCTTGTATTGAATGTTATAAAACATTATTTAGACCCTATTATTTGTATATGCCAAAGTTTTAAGTATTTTTTTATACAGTATATAAAATCTTTTATTTAAAAACAATATATGTTAAAATTTTGTTCCCGTACGTCATACATTAGGAATTTAATTAATTTTAATGATGTACAAAAACACGTGCGACTTTAAATATTCTAAATTAATATTTGTGTACTAATGCTGTTGGAATGCACCGATATTAAAAATTAAATTTATTAACAAACAAAAAAATCTAATATTTAGATACTGACTAGGGATATAATTTAGAAAAAGAAATTAACCTGTTTGGACATCTATCACAGTCAATAATATGTGTAAATCTTTTAAAATTACATTATATTGATATATATATTTTATTAAATTTCACAAGATCTCTAAATCAATGCTTAATGTTATAAAAAATAATTAGACACTATTTTTTTCGTGTTTTATATATAATATTTATCTCAAGGTACATGGCAAGTTCATATCTCAAGGCCATATGTTAAATATACCACAATCATCGACATAACAATCTTATCGCACAACAAAAATTGTGGTTGTATAAAGCGTCTGACGTCATGTACTTATAAATTATATTAAAATATTTACTTAGAGGCATCTAACATGCAAGCATATCATTTATACGTGCTTAATAATTAATATATATATGTATTATCTACACGCGTTATTGCTCATTAAAGCATTTAATTAATATTATTATATGAGCCCTTTAGCTTGTAATGGGGTTGATTTGTTTCCATTTCATCAATAGATGATATAACGCCGTTCTGTTCTCATGATAGTTCTCCAATCGGAGCGTTTTGCAGCCACAGGTCGTGTATAAAGTTGTATAAGTCGTCGCTAACAGCCACCTGAGGGAACATAATCTTTAACACAAAACTTATATAGCTGTAATACCTACCTGAGAATAGTATAAATAGTAGCAATAATATGATCTGTGATAAATAAACTCATCCCTACTAATATTATAACGAAAGTAACTCTGTCTGTCTGTTACGCTTTCACTCCTAAACTACTGAACTGATTTACTGAAATGATTAAAGAGATGGAATTTGACCTTGAGAAAGACATAGGAGAGTTTTTATCCCAGACTTTTTTGATTTTTTAACCGACTCCACGCGGGCGAAGCTGCGGGCGGAAAGCTAGTAGGAAATATATGTCTTTGAATTTTTAAGATTGAAGGTCATAACGAATGATGTTCTAAAAATGATCATTTTAAATAACAGGATCAAATCACGGACATTCATAACTCCTCTACCCGTGATTACTGTTGCAAAGTAACAGAAACAGAAATAATTATAAACGCGATAGTGAATCAGAAAAATCCTATTTTTATTTCAATTTTCAATGAATCTCAAAAATCTTAGATATCCTTAAATGATCATGATATTAAAGTAGGGCATGAACTAACTTTATAGGGGGTGGGGTTTAAATTCCTCTTGATATCTTGTCGCAGGGTCCTCAGGGAGGCTTGTACTCGCTCACGGACCTCCGACAGCGGCTTGGGAGCTGTGCAGATACGACCTTCACTCCAATACACCTGGATAAATAAATAAATAAATATATGAATGGGAATATTATATGGTAATATGGTTCTGGAAATAAAGTGATTTATTATTATTATACTGTTGTTACAATACTTGATTATGGCTGGTTCACTTGTTATTTGGTATGTATTGTAAAATTAATTTCCATGTAACTGTAAGTGGACTGTTTATGAGTCTAAATAAGTGTCTCCATTTATTCTGTCGCTTATGAACATTTCCAGGGAATTATTTGAACTATGATTGAAAAATTGTAAATACAATAGAGAATAGTGCATAGCGCTTCCAAAGGAATAATGCAGTGAAACAAATGCAGCAAAATCTATAAGATGATTCTTCTTCGGACAAGATAGAGTATTTATATACCACAGATTATTTTACAATATCCTCACAGCACAGATAAAATATAGTAATATAGGACATATATCTCACCTTATAGAGATGTTCCACTTTGCTAGGTATGACATAAGCTCTCTTGGCTTCCTGGAACGGGTGTCGACACAGAACTTTCCTTCCCACGGCCGGCGGTCGTTCATTAGATCTCTGTAGGAGGTCCACAAGCGCATGGCCGTCTGCACCGAATAAGCGGTAAGCCTGGATATGTTTATATATTAATATTTGTTTATAAGTCAGTGGTGGACTAGTGGTTAAAAGGTCGGCCTCTCATGCATGAGGGCACGGGTTCGATCCTGGCAAGTACATGTGATTTTTTCGAGTCATATGTACTTTCTAAGAGTATTTAGACATCACTGATTAATGCATTCCCAAAGAGGGTTGATGTCAGGCAGGGGGCCGGTCATAAAAACAATTAGCCAAAACTATCCACAATATGTAAGGCAGACCCTGGCTAAAGCTGCAAAATTGCCAGGTAGATGAAGATTAATATTTGTTTTTATTACTATAAAATATTTGTTTTTATTAGTATAAAATTTATACTCTTATCTATGACCATTCGAGAGGAACCAGATTTAATTTATTTTCTGTCAACTCAAATATAAAATGTGTCACGCAGATCACAACTATCAGAATGTTTAACTTTTTGGAATCATAAAAATAATGCTCTGTATAAAAAAATATTCTTACAACATATACATATTTTAACATCTATGTAGGACTTATTACAATATTTTCATGTTTAACTCTTGGATAATACAACTTTTTCTCAAGTGTCTATTATATTAATTAGATATATTGTTTGTGCTTTCGGAAATGCGATGCGATTTATAATATTATTATATTTGGCCTCACGTTCCGGCTACTTTAGAGTTTTCATTATGAAGCTTTTGATTATTATCAGACATCCCAATTTATATAGAGATCATGGCTGGCAATTATGTAATATCTACGCATTTTTATCTCGTATGCCCGTGATCAGGATTGATTTAAGGTAACCAAAATTTCGGGTAGAATACATGTATAAAAAATGTCGTAGCTCCACCCGAAAATAATTTTTATTTACATATCTACTGATTAATTATTAATCACAAAATAAGTGCATAAAAATATCATGTAAATGCATACATGTCGAGTGAATATTTAATTAGGAGATAATTAACAAAAAATAACATGTTTATCATTGGCAAGTATTGTAAATACACAATATATTTACTAACAAGATAACATACATAATACATATATGATTTAATTCCCACAATCCCTACTACTATTATAAATGGGAAAGTAACTCCGTCTGTCTGTCTGCTACGCTTTCACGCCTAAACCACTGAACTGAATTTAATAAAATTTGGTTTAGATATACAGTTGACCTTGAGAAAGATCATAGGATAGTTTTTATCCCAGACTTTTGAAAGGTTCTCTTGGAAACGCGATATAACCGAACTCCACGCGGGCGAAGCTGCGGCGGGCGGGCGGAAAGCTAGTATTTCAATATAAGGGCTGATTTAGTTCATATTTCACATCCAACTATAATTGAAAAGTGTACCTAATATTCCATGATTTATTAAGGTTCAATTTAATTCGACTCTTTTGCCAATTGCTTCTACCTTGTTTTCTACTATGTACCCAATATGATCCAGGGTTAATTAAATTTCTCTCTCATATATATAATGTGTGTTTTATGTTATATATGCTGACCTCTTTGTGTCCAGGGATTGTAACTTTAGCGACGTCCTGACTGAGTTTTATCCGCGGCTGTCCATTAATCTCTACCAGCTTGTAAACACATCCTAACGCTGGTTGACGTTGACATGTTACTGGAATATAGAAACATATCATTAATTATACATATATGTATAGATATATATATGTATATACAATTTGTATAATTAAAATAAACATATTACTGAACAAATATATATGTTTATGTACACTTAATATACAAAAAAATATCATTTTTTGTGCACTTTTTGTCTGTGTGTTTGTTCTGTATAATTACCTAAATGACGATACCAATTAGTCTGGGACTTTAAACGGCAGATAACTGATGTAATATAGAGTGACTTAGGCTATTTTTAATTATATATATATTCATAATAATATAAATATTATATAAATAAAAATATGAAGCAGTACCGCCAAGTACAAACTACTAATCTTCTATTATAATATGTCAATTTATATGTCATACGTTATCAAACTGTATATAAAATAAAGTCTTATAATAAAAACATGTGATGTATTTGTATAATAAAAGTCATTCGTGTCATGATTTAAATTACAAATACAATTCCAATGAATTAATGTTCCGCTTCTGATACTCTTGACCCATTTGAAATTATTTATATATTATTTTATTGCTTTAATATCATAATAAAATAAAAATAAATGCATAAAAATTCTTTGAAGTAATCTGTAAGACTTTTGATGTATATATTTATAACTTAGATAATTTTCAAAGTTAATTATTATTAAGGGCTAGTACACATGCACAAGAAACATACTTACATAAAATATTATTAGCCAATATTTTTATTAAATAAAAAAAATTAATAATCAGAACAAAGTCATTGAACGATTAATTCCTTTGTTATTATAAGATATTAATAATTAATTACTTAATGCAATATTAATGTGTATGAGTTATTTTTTTTTATTATTATTTAAGTTGTTAATAAACGAGACCATATTGTATAAATAACTTATATTTAGCTTCTTCTTTACTTTTTAATGCAGTTTCTACTTTAATTATGGTAGTTATATAAATAAATAAAATAGTCATTGAAATAGTCACATTTAAGTATAACATACTTGTCTCATTGTTTATATATATATTTTTTAAACTGTTCTAATATTTTTAATATCCTTATCACAATAACCTTATCAGTCGCTTATTATCTCCTCTTTGTGTGATAACACTGTCAATCAATTTTACAACTGTCTTACACATGTATAAGTGTTATACCTAAGTCACATAACCATATCATCTTTATGGTGTACTGATAACATGACTGTAAAGTTACATGAAAATCTGTTCAGTTCAAGTTTTTGTCTAACAACGAACGACATATAAATCTCGTATAGTTTATTATTTAGTAAAATAGTAAAACCTACCCAAATGTGTTCCTATACCAAAGCAGTCTATAGCATGGCCCTGTTCATGTAGACTGAGTATTGTTTCTTCATTGATATCATTAGAGGCGACGATGGTGAGGTCATTGAACCATGGTAGTTGACATGATTCGGCCACTTGGCGGAAGGTGTCCCTCGCTAGTATGGACAGATAAGCCAGGTCCCCACTGTCGATTCTAACTCCTAAAGCACGATGCCCACAATCATTCAACGCCAAAGCCACGGAACAGAAGTTAAGCAGACCGCTCCTGGAAACGAAACATAGTTCAGTCTATAGTATGCACATATTAAGTATGGTCTCTTAGACTACAATTTATTTAAACGAGCAGACAAATCATAGAAACAAAACCTATAGAATTATTGAAGTCTATAGGCTTTGTTTATAATTATTTTATTCTGTTTGCATACACATATATCATGTCATTTACGTGCTTCAATCTCCATACAACCCATGCAAGTATAATCATTCGAGGTTCTAGAGATTGTACGGTAATAGAATGGGGGAATAGAATATTTTTCTTATATATAATGCGTTGTGATGTCCGTATGTACGTGCATAACGAATACTGTGACTGTGCTCACCCATACAATGCAACTGTGCCCAATGAGTAACTGTTCGAGTAAAATACACACTGAAGCAAAATGTAAGCCCCGTATATAATGAAGCGCCGTCAACTTTCGCTTCAATGCAACGAATGTGGCAGCAAACGAGACATCAGTGTTAACCACGACCAAGTGGATTTGAACCCCGGTCCCTTGATGAATGCATGGGTGACATAGGTCGTATGTCGTAATGTATAGGATGCGATATATTGATACGTGTTACATACAGGCCGTCATGTTTACCTCAGTGTGCGTTCGACCGTGCTATATCCACGTGTACTACGTATAGTAGGTATTTGTATCGTAACATTGGATCCACAGTTGCTATTGTAGCCGGCGTTATGTCGTGTCGGTAAGCCTTGAAAATTATACCTCTTGACATCGTAAGTGTCCACGAGTGCCAAGAAACCTGAGGGGAAGGCTTGGGCGTATGATATGAGGGCGGCCAGTTCACCGTCGCTGGCTTCCTCTGGGGAGACTCCGATGATCATGGACAGCTTCTTCCTCCAGTCCAGAGACAGTTGGAACAGGTTGCACTGGGCCTTCGTCTCTGGATGCGTCACACTCACGTTCTGGAGGTCGTCCAGAGTACTGAATGACGTCACGAATGAATGCGCATGGGTCCCTTTGACTGGGATGTTGAACATTTTACCGGCCAACACGTTACTGGTACCGTCGAAACCACCTGGAAATTGAGATCTGTGTTAAAGCAGTTCATGATTATGTAGGTGTATACCCTATTATAGAAGCAAGACATTCTGGAAACAACAGAAATAAAACTTATATTATCTTTTCCAAGTCATGCAAACCATAAAGTTATGATGAAACATCAATTGACGTTCCCATCAACACTTCCATGAGTTCAGTAATGTAAAAAGTCTGAAACTTAATTTGCCAACTGCCGGTTAAAGTATTCAATGTCAAGGCTTGCATGATTGCGGCAAATTAAACTAAGTTATTCGTTCGTGGCATCTTATGTCTGTATAGCGCGCTGGGCGTTTTGTTGCTCGCGAACGGTGCCTGGTACGGAGGGCATGCTACAGAAGGACTACGCTAATGTAATCAATAATTATGTATCACTATGTAACATAAAACTATACTGGAATATTCTAGATGTTTTTTGCGAAGTATGCTCTAGTTTCTTTGGTAGTGAAATATGCTCACCGATGTAAGAATATTTGGATGCTGATAGACCTCCATCGGGTCCTTGAGCTCTTCGTAGCCCGAATTCGAGCAGAGATATGTTTTTGCCAGCGACCATTCTATATCTAGCTGCGTTTGTGGCCATCAAACTAAAACAATATTAACACATAAACTTCTATAATTTTTGTATATGTTATCAAGGATAAAACAATTAGAAGAAGTTAGGGTAGTTTTTTATTTGGAAGTTTCTGGAGAATACTTTTTGTTACATGTATGTAAGGTTAGGTTAAGTAATGTATAGAATGAGTGAAATACGATCTTATCGCTTATCAAATTTCTTCAAATTCACCTTGAAAAATGATCTATTAAACAGTAAAAGAATAAGTTTATCCATGAAATATTCTCGTTAATGCAATATTATAAAAACATACGAAAGAAGGGCATCATATATAGTTGTAAGACTATAATTAATTAGGGAAGTAAGTAATTAATGGCATGAAGTCACAAGCTATCATTTGTTATAACTTATAAATAATAAACACGTGACGTCACTCCACTGATCAGTGATCACAGTCTGAGTTATACTGATAATGTTAACACATTATTTCAAACCAGTGGAGCCTGACCTGTAACTGATAGTGTATCGTATGAAACAAACAGGTCTTAACTCTGATATTGGATTTAATCGTATGTTATATTGAAAATAGCTTACAGCCAAAGCCATAGACCGTTAAATGCGATAATATTTGGAATTTCTACTGGAATTTTGCTGTTTTTATTATTCTACGTCTTTTTTTGCGTAAAAGTTGACATTATTTTTATGGCCTAAGTATTTTTAGGTACATGATGTTGTTATCATTAATAGTAGTAATGTATTTTAGACATATTTCTGTCAGAAATATGTTCAGAAATTTTCTGATAATGAACAAGTTCACTTTCTTTTTGTCACATTAATTGCTCGATTCCTATTGGTCATAATTTATTTATATGGATTATGGACTATAGCGTTCACGATACATATATACAAAAAAAATATTACTTAGATATTTTTTAAATTATTTTTTGAGATATGCAATAACAAACAAACATCTCAGCTTTTTAGTACTACATAGTACATAGGTTAGTATTTTAAGACGCGCAGATTGATTGTGTAAGACTTACGACCTAAATTTGTCATTAGTTAAGATCTAATAATATCGATCCATGATGTAAATTGAAATGCGTACCAAATTACTTACAATAATAATAAAATAAAATATCCTTTATACTATTGTATATATTTATAAAACAAACTTAATTTGTATAAAGATATGGGACATATCTTAATACATGAATTGGGAAATACATAAAGTTGCTTACCTTGCGAAGTTAACTAGTGTCAGTAACGTTGTCTCCAATAATTGCGTTATTATGAGTGGACCTTCGATTCTCAATAACGGCACTCTGAAACAATATAAAGATAATACAAAAACTAGATGATAGCCACGTCAGCGGATACGGATGTTAAATTGCAAATTGCAATTCAAATAATGTAAAAGATTGTGTGTGCATATTCTGTACATTTAATTCTATGCAAATATATAACCTTCATGGTTTTTTTCTTGTATATTTAGAAATTTAAGTCCGAGAGACATTGGAATATCCATCCATTCTCTTATATTTGCATATTATTTGAAGGTTTTATATTCTTATACATTCTTAAAAAGTTATACCTATATAGCCAAATAAAAACTAAATAAAAACTTAAATAATTAAAAAAAAACACGAACAAAATAGCATGTGATTCATTATTAAAATAAAATGACTCTAAATATTGGTACTGCGCTTTGCTAACAAACAAAAATATTCTTTATATTATGTTAAATAAAAAAAAAACTAAGAATCTAATAACTTCAATTCAGATATCGATTGCCATAACGCACGAAGAAAATTATTTTAACGTATGAAAAGCTTTTATGACCTAGTTTAAACCATTACCAAGACAACACATCGTAATAAAAAAAACCGACTAAAACTGAAAACTTACTATTTACTGGCTGATTACAAAACAACCAAATTATAAAACTATTTAGAAAAAAAAAAAAAAAAAAAAAACCTCTTTTCATTAATAGAAACTTTTTATATAAATTAAAAAAAAAAAAAAACAAATATATGTAGATTAAAGTAATGTATGTATGTGTTCCGGCGTCGGGACGTGACGACCCCATCGCCCACTGGTGTATTCCGGTGCAATCAGTCACGGGGGGGAGGGCTGGGGGTACAGCCCTGGGAGTAAGACGGTCACGGATCTGGCAGGAGGCCGTCCGTGGCTGTCTTGGGGGGGAGGGGATACTCGGGTCTCTCCGGAGGCCTGAGTTCGCTTGTGGTCGGTCGGTTTCCTCTCTGTCTGCCGTCGGGCGCTTGCGCTCGTCGGTGGGTGGTTGGAGACTGGCCGCGTGGGCTTGGGTGGGAGGGGTAAGGGGTTAACCCTCTCGCGATTAAGCAAGCCCGCCAGGCGGGGGGACACTCCTGGTCACTTGGAGTGAGCCCTCGGGGGGGGAGGTGGCCGTTCGCGGCCCGCCGCCGGATCGTCGCGGATGCATGCTTCGGCGTTTCCCGTGGCGATCCACTTGGCGGCAACGGAGAGTGACCGCTGGTGTTTTAGTGGGTAACATAGGCCCTTCTGGCCGTGAATCCCACATAACCGCCTCTGTCTCCCCTAGACGGAGGGGTAGGTATAAAACCTTTCACCGCGATAACAAAAAAAAAAAAAAAAAAATGTATGTATGTGTATGTATACAGAACTGTTATCTATATGGATCAAACATGCTTTTATTGTGCACGTTAATTATATGTACCGAGGACGTGACTTGTAAGGAAATAAAATAAAAGTTGTAAAATATAACGAAGAATAATATAAGGAGTGCAAGCTCTACTATAATAAAATGAATGATATTTTTGTCATATTAAAAGAAAATTATGGTCTCGTTATTTTTTATACAATACACTTGCCACGGGTTTGCTTCCCAAACTAAATACAGTTTGTATTTACCATAACTGTATTTATGAAAGTTTACGACTGAAATACTGGAAACTATAAGTTTTTAGTTAGAAGACGCGAACTCGTGTTAAAGGTATATATATATGTATATTCGCCATATAATACAATATATAAGATACATATAAGAAAAGTACCAAAATGGATCAGGTATTGAATACAGTCAAATAACTCAGCCGCTGTATATAATTAGACTAATGATTCACTTACATTATTTATAAGTTCATCGATTACACTTTCTATAGAGCAATTAAAATATTGACGTTTTGAAAATTCTAACATATGTAGGTATTTAATTTTATTTAGTTGAAGGACTATACATTATGATAATGTTCCAATGTCTTTCAAATCTGTAGAGATTTCAAAAATTGTAACTTAATTCGTACATTTCAAATCTGTTAAGATTTTTATAACTCGTATTATATGCAGTTACTTATTTACATTAATAAACAAAGCCAGTTGATAGTGAGGTAAGAAATACAGACGGATATCTTATTTATAAACACAATGCGATGTTCATTATCATAGAAGGTGAGAATAAAGCCTCATTATCTAATACTATGTATAGTTAAGATAAAACTGTACAGTGTAAGCAAGATATTACAATACATACTCATATATATTATGAAAATAATATATAAAATAAATATAGAGAGAGATAGAGAAAAGTATAGGGGAGAGGGAAAGAGGGGGGAGATAAAGGATTTTAAACTTACATATATGTAAATTAAGTATTTAACGAATATTCCTTATTTATATTTCAGTTGAGTCACAGTAGTTTCCCATGACGAGACCATGATGCTTCTATCAATATCTAATTACTGAGCCAGTATCCCTACTAATATTATAAATGCGATAGTAACTCTGTCTGTCTGTCTGTTACGCTTTCACGCCTAAACCACTGAACTGATTTTAATGAAATTTGGTACAGACATAGAGTTGACCTTGAGAAAGAACATAGGATAGTTTTTATCCCAGACTTTTGAAAGGTTCTCTTGGAAACGCGATATAACCGAACTCCACGCGGGCGAAGCTGCGGGCGGAAAGCTAGTAATATATAAAATCCCATCATTGTAACACATTCGAGGGCGTTCGTTCGTAACTTAGTAAAAAGTGTTTTTTTTTATAAACTACTAATATTAAAATTTAAATTAGAATTACCTTAATATACGCTCAGGATAGCTTGTGATATTGTTTACATTTAGAAGACAAGAAACATATTGATTTCCAATATAAAGGAAATATATATGGAAAAAATTTTTGATTTATTCTTCATATGTATTAAGTTTATATACTTCACTCAAGTGGAGCAATAGGCGTTATATAGCAAAATTAAATATAACATATATATTAATATTAATGCTAAGATATAATACAAAATTTACAGCAGAAATTATTGTGCACATGATATCATAAAATTATTTTATAAATATATCTTTTGTCATAAAAATTCATTGATATTTCTTTACGAGGTCAAATGTTGTCAAGCAAACATCATTATGTAACTAATAGTTGAGAAAAATTACACTCAGTGCTAAGATAATCACAACAGAATATGTATTTACAGACATATTAGATAAATCTAGAGCATTACCCCAACTGTTAATTGTCAAAATAAACAGTTGGCAGTTTTTTGTGGTAGGGAACTTGACCCAAAAACATGTGGTAGGGGATGTGGCCTATATACTCAGATCTTAAAGGAGTGCTATTCAAGCTATCTATTGAACTACTTTAAGAAATAGGGTTTTTTTATTGTTTTAAATATTTTACATTTTAGACAAGAACGAATGGACTGTCAAAGACAAAGAAGGAGTAATTAGGGTAAAAAATTGTCTAAAACCCTATTAAAAGACTTAATTTAGGAGCAATTAAAACATAATTCTGAATACTTTCAGAACTAGAATGATTGATACTCAGCAATTTGTCCACAAAATTGTTTGTATGAAGTTGAAACATTGTTCATTATATTAAATTGGTGTATATAATTGTGAATACACCAAAAAGTTTTGAGTTTCTACATAAATATATTATGACAATTAAAGAAACTTTTTAACAAGAATCTACTATATGCTTCATAACTTTAAATAAGTCTTAACTGTCATACAATTCAGCTTTGAAGTAGACAAGCCCAGAAATTAAATGTGAATATATTTAATCAATACAATAAATTTTATGTATTGTATGAAATCTTTAAATATATTTCTAGACTATAATTTTCTTATGGATACTTAAGTACTGAAATTACTCAAAACTTTTTTGTTAATCTAACTTGAAAAACCAAATTTAAAATTCAGGGCCAAATTTAAGTGAGATATAAGAGATAAGTCACAACTCTAAATATACTTAAAAAAAATAGTTTTCAGATTACTTAGCAAAATTGTTTAAGATAATACATACATTTAGACAGCGCACGATTTATTTCTTACTGGCAGCAGATATATAAGTAAAAAGTAGATTTTATGTAAAAAAGCAAACAAGTAAAACCTGTTTGTCCTTATGCTGTATATTTGTGTGCAATTAAGTTTTTTTTTATATCTTACGTAGATAATAAAAAAATAAATATAGATAACAATTTCATCCCTTTTATTATAAAATGTGCTATGCAAAAGTGAAATATAATTTAAATTTATTGATTTTTTGTTTTAAATATATATTTTTTTGTTTTGTTAATTCAACTGATATATAGTATTTTATAACTACGGTTTTTAGGCAAATTTAATTCATGTTTTTATTGAGGAAAGAGTATATAGCGACTTAGTTTTTTGCAAAGTCCCTATCAACTCGGTATGAGGTGGGGACTTTACAAAATAAAATTAATTATATGAAAATCAAGTTATATGTGTATGATATTATAAAAATACCACATTGTTATGAAATTTATGAGATAATTAAAATAGCTTTATTAAATGTATAGGTTTTTTTCCTTTATTTTCTGCCAAAGACTCTTAACATATGATATGACCTAGTTTTAATAATAAATGAGTCCCACACACAGACACAAGTAACTAAGAGACTTTATTAAGAAAATTATATATTTTATAATTATTTAAAGTGTAAACCAATGATAATAGCAGAAAAAATCTGTTATTTAGTAAATTAAAATGCAAAAAGAAATTATTTCACTCACCTTGGAAAAACAACAGAGCCTTCTTCAATAGCACTTAGTTTTACATCATTACATGTTAGATCTTTTAAATAATCAAAGAATTCCTGCTCAATATCTGAAGGTAATGTTTGCTTTAAATATTCTATATCTGAAATAAAATCGTAATTATAGTTTTAAAATTTAAATTGTTACTCAAAGATATTCAAACATTTTATACATACCACTGTCAGAATAGTGAAAATTCTCCAAAAATTTCAAACATTCTTCAAGGCCTGCAAAAATTGTAAATTCTCCTTGAAAAGGATTTGTTCGAAAAAATAAATCAAATACTGCAACATCATTGACTTTGCCAGACTTCCAATAAGCATAGGCCATAGTTATTTGGTATAAATCTGAAAATAATATATTATTTATAACCTTATTCCCTAAAGAACTTTTGAATAAATCCAAAGTATTTTGCTTCTTCTAATAATGATAAAAGAAAAACACGTTATATTCTAATTTTGAAATTCGCTCCAAATATTGTATGAATGAAAAACTCACCAGTTAACAGGGGTTGTACGATACCATTCTGCCGAGCCATTTCTCTTTGGGTTATCAATTTACCGCTAGACATTTTCAAAATTATTAAATTCACCAAAGTTATAAGAGCAGAAGTTTACGTGCCGAATGTTTGATAACTGACGAGCAACTAATGAGAAAAATAATTTCATTGTGTTCAGCGACCGCAACATACAGAGTACGCGCCAAACACTGTTTGACAGGGAATAAACTTACATACCTACGCATGCGCATTTAATTTCCTATTGACTAATCAACCTTGAGGTCATTTTCAAAGGTCGAATAACTAAAATGACAGTAAGTTTTTTTAATTTTTACTTTATCGCAACAGGCAAAGAATTTTATTAAATACAGCCAAAGTCTAATCGAGTGATTAAAGCAATTATAAGGTGATCAATGAGATTATCCATCATAAGTTATAGATAAAAAAGATATATCGCGAGTACACGATTGAAATAACTATGTTTTACATCAAACTATGAATTTTATGCGAAATACTTGGTAATATTACATTTATATATTCTTAGTGAATTAAGACTAAGTTTTTGAAAATTTTATGAAAGGTTTCGACTTTTAAGGAGTAATATTTTAATTATTAAAAATAGGTAAATCAGCTAATTGCTACATAAAAAAATTTATACACCCAGATTTGTGTATATTTCAAATTGAATCATGTTTTTATTCATTTGTTTCTTTGATCTTAATATCCAAGATATCAAGCCAGACATTTGACTTATCTTTATAAACTTATCTCTTTATTTTAAATTGCCAATGTTCATTTTAAATGACAGTGGTTTTTATTAAAATTTCAAATATCGAATTGTGTGGGTATGTAGGTACCTACCATAGGTCTTAGCTTTGTAAATAAGATAGGTTACTAGTAATTGAATGCGCTCAATGAATTATACCCATCATTTTTTCTTTTTTTTATATTTAATAAAAATGTATACTAGATCATAAATTTGTAAAAAATGCAGTATATAAACATATTTTAACATTTGTATCATTTTACGTAATACATAATTTCTAGTTATTTCTTTAAGAAATAAGACCTGGAGAATTTAAAAATTGTTTTCAAAAAACTGAAAATTAAAGACTTACAAGAAAAATATTAAACATGCAATGTTTTTACTGTTCATATTTGTTAATGCTTAGTTTTACATTTCAAATAACTGCCACAACGACTCAGATCAAATTCAAAATTAATAGACCGTGATCACGTCTCGTCTGCCCGTGATCACGGTTGCTGAAAAGTAGCCGAAACGTCGGGAGCAGTGGCGGTTGTACCTTAAGTGCACTCGTGCGCTGAACCACCAATTCAAAAGATTTAAAAATTACAAAAATATTACTTCATCTATATTTTTAAATTATCATTTTAATATTTATTTTCTAAACATACAAAAACGTATAAAAAATTAAATTTCTAATTATAGTCAAAAAGTTTGAGCGCTTTACTAAACTAATATCTCGTGCGCTTCGGCGAGTGCACGAGGACTGCTAATACATTTTGTATGAGATACGCATCAATACGCCTGGCGCGTGAGACAAAAGATAGTTCATAGAAATGTACCGAGTAACGAGTCGGTTCTCGAACGCCGCACGAACGGCCGAAGATTACCGAGAGCACCCGATGTATGACGAATTGGAATCAAAACTTTTCTACGAAATACCTTGCACTTGCTAAATGCACTTTCTCTGCTTAGTATTGAATTTAAAAAATATACAAACAATACCCGATTTTAATAAATAGGTGATTGAACATTTCGCTTCGGAAAAATGTCGTTGCAGTAATTAATGTATAAAAAATAAACATATTTTATGTCAATTGTGTTTTGTAGCATTTTCTAATTTTAATATTTTTGTAAAGTGCACCACCAGTTTGATAACCCACCAGCCGCCACTGGTCGGGAGTATGTAGTTTCTAAAATAAAACGCTAAGTAAAATCCGAAAATATTAGTTTCATTTAAATGTGTACTCGCGAAAATCTTAGATCTCATTAATAGACAATATGTTGAGTACATACAGACTGTAGGTAGGTATAAGCAATATTTTCATTCTTTACATGGTATTGCTATTTTCTAGATGACATCGATTTTTCCTTAAATTCCAACCTATGCTGGATAAAAAACTGCAAAGGGTCTTGAGCGGCTTTTCTAGGCCTATTGATGTGTGAAAATAATGATCACTGGTATTAAAAATTAAAGAATGACTTTGCCACGAAATTCACGTCTAGTACTTAATAGAAAAATAGCTTAGTTCAATGACATAATGGGAGTATTTCGCAATGCTCAGATACTTTTTAAAATAGGTTTAGTAAATATGAAAGTACAGCAAATAAGATTGAATGAAGATTAAACAAAGTTATAAAGAGAGCACCAAATAATATTATGAATTGAATTAATCTTAAAATGTGACATTCAAAGAGCAAGCAAATTCAATGTATTTTTTTCACAGTTGGCTGTACTGGGAACTTCACATATAATTACAACTTATTGTCAGGGATGTTCTTCAAATTTAAGACTCTCTGAAACGTAACATAAAAATAAATATTTAAAACGGCTCAATAAGTAAACAACATGAATTATTTGTTTATTCATTTAATTATGCTTACACAAAATATTCTTCAGACAATTGTGAAAATTGTTTAATTTGAAAACCAACCTGTATAGTTGTCTTTTAAAAACTTGCATAGCTATTCAGTGTAAATAAGTGTAAGAATGTAAAAATTAATTTCTTTTTAACTAAGTAAAATGTTTTTTGATACCAGCGCTAAGGGGCGATCTTGCCCATTATGAACCATATCATGGTGTATTAAAAGGCCTTTCCTTGTTACAAATTTTTCATCACAGTATAAGCAGTGAAATGGTTTTTCACCAGTATGCTGGTACATGTGATACTGAAACAAAACAAAAATAACATAAAGCTCTTTTATTCTCAATAAATTTATAATTACAGGTAGGAGTGCAATTTCAAAAATTACATGATAGCACTTTAGTGGACACAGATAATTTTTAGGTGTCCAAAATATTCATTATATTTTATTAACAAAATAACTTAAAATTATATAAAGTTTCTTAAAAAAATATTAATCAATATGATGTGAAGTTAAGTTCAAAATCATGTGTTTTTTAATAGAAAATATTAAATCCAGACATACCATAAAATTATCCCTTTTCATAAAGCTGTGATGGCATATAGTACATTGAAATTTAAAATTAGCTTTGAATACCACAGGTTTTGGAGCTATTGGCCTAAGTTTTAATTGTTCTTTAACTTCCGGCTTTTTTGTTTCTTTTACTTTTTCGTGTACATCTTTCTTCACCTTACCATCACCTATTGGAAATTCTGGATGCATTCTACTCTTGTGAGAGTAACAATTACCAGAACTAGCAAAACTCTTATCACAATACGGACATTTGTATGGCTTGGCACCTGTGTGCTGATTGATATGAAACTGAAACATATATATTAAAAAATAAATATCTTTTTTATTTACTTTGCATCTACATATAGAACCTGCTTTTTGTATCGAAATTCCTTAGCAAGAAAAAAGTATAAGTTTTTCTTTAGGATAGAAAGAGTAAGTCAAACTTGCTGCAGCTACTATATAAAATGTATATTGTTGATGAAGTATGTACCGATAATCTAATTTTATACCAGAAGAAAAAACTTTTAAATAAAAAGGGTTTTATTTATTTTGATCAACTATAGATAGTAAAATAGTTTCTAATACATTTCTTTTTTATAAGTTACGAATGGATATGGTCATGTTTACATTTTATAGATATTTAGTTACTTAGAAGGCAAATATAGTTACTTAGGACAAAATTGACAATACCTCCTGCATTGGTACTTCATCGACGATATATATTATGGTCTTTTTGCACTATTTTCTACTATAATATTTAAGTAATAAAATAAGTGCTAATACAACAAAATTATCAGTTTAAGCAAAAAAAAACTTCATAATAGTAATTCAAGTTACCTTTAAGTCTTGATTTCTCTTAAAACTCTTCTTACAATAAATACACTTGTAAGGTCTTTCATTGCTGTGGGTAACCATGTGAGTTTTTAAATTGCTACTTGTGTTATAGGAGCGGCCACAAACTTTGCATGTGTATTGTCTACTACTCGTCGAAGTGTGTGCTTCCATATGCTCCACTAAATTAATTTCATTCCTGAAACTGTTTGAGAAAGAAAAATGTTATGAAAAAGTATTGAAATGTAATTAGCAAGTGTGCCTTAATTTTTTAAGTACTAATAGTTAAAATTTTCTTTATTTTAGCTTAAATTACAAAGTAATTATATGCAAAGGAATGTTATTATAAAAATTATCATAAATTCAATCTGTTGGTTAGATACTTACATCATTATAAAAAAACATTAATTAAATTTAAGAAAAATACTACTATCACATTACACCCATTTTGTTATAAAAATGTTATTTACTTATATTAATAAAATTATTTTTCTGTATTTTATGATACAATGGATCTTTGTTTTCTTATTAGAATAAATAAGTTTGTTCCTATGACAAATCCTAAATGATAAGTTACATGTAATTCTTACAAAAATAATAATTTTATTCTACACCATTTTCAATGCAAAATTAAAATAAATGTTTGTAAATCATACTCACAGTCGTCCACATATATTGCACATTCCCCTTGATCTGTGTTCTTTAAGATGTGATATCCATTCATTTTTATATTCAAACTGGTCGCCGCAAGAGCCACATTTGTATGGTTTAACTATTTTATCTTCATTGAAATGTATCCACGAATGATTTTTCAGAGCCAACTCTGTATAGTAACCCCTATTACAGGTGATGCATTGAAATGGCTTTGTGTCCTTTTTATCATCTTCAATCACTTTATCACCTTTTTTAATTAATTTGATTGTTACATTTTCTCCATCAGCGCCATTCAAGTAAGTTATTTCATCTTCATGTTCGACGGATTCACAAGATTTTTCTAAATTTGGTGTCTCCTCTACTTCTGAATTCTGAAGAACCATCATTGGATCAACGTTGACTTCCATACATTTTGCATCACTGTCGAAATCCGTTTCAGATTTGATTTCAGTAATCAAAATAGGTTTATTTTCATCATTATCTTCTAGCATCATACTCTGCTTAAGTAAAACCTCCTGAGCCTTGTGTGCATTGTCAATGAATTCACATACGTTTTGTAACTTTGAACAGCATTGGATGCATATATTTTTCGGCAATTTATCATCTTCGTCGACCTTTAAATTGAATGTCATAAGTAATTTGAGAATTTGTAAGAGATCGTAAGAGAATTGGAAGAATATAAATATTTACCTCTATAAGTAAGTATTTATTTAATTTATTTTGCAGTAGCATGACTTCAGCTTCCTTGCTGAAAATCATTATGGTAACTTCTTGCTCCTCCGCACACAGCCGACAACATCTTTCGAAATCCGAATTTGATTCAACCATTTTTAAAAAGTAAAATACATTACTAACATTTACGTATTCTTAATTCTTACTCAGTGCAAGCACGTATTAAAATTGTAATGATTTTTCGACTTTTATGCTAAGTTTTAAAACGCATGCGCGTTTGAGGATAGCGATGTTCGTGGTTCGTATACTTCATTTTTATTTATATTTTGTCTTCTTAACGCCAGTGCGCAAACTCGAACATAACTCTACAGATTCAATTTCAACCATCATTCTATATTAATGTAATATTATAGGCATCCAAATATCGCCGCACTAGTGACACTTGACAGTTCACTGTTGAGACTTGGCATGTGTCATAATTTAAAACCAATAAGAAGTTTTATACAGATTTAAAAGTATAAAGATGGTACAAAAACGATCATACGACAAATTCATAGTTTTTTTCTTAAGTTTATGAAAAATGTTTTTAAATTATAAAGCATCTTATAAAAACTATATGAGATACTTAGACGATTTATAAATTATAAAAAACTATTTTTTTCCTTGTTTCAATTTTCGCCAGCAAGTCGATTATGTCGTGATTTATCAATTGTTATAATTATAATGTTCCTATTTAATATGTTCATCAAAAAGTTGTGTGACAATAATAACTATATATTACGGATTCAAGAATATTATTATACTCTTAAAATATCGTTTTAAATTGCTTATAATTAGAAAGGCATCTTTATTTTTATTTTATTTCATTGATTACTTCTAGATAACATTTCGTGAATACCATCAAATCGTAATATTTGAACAGGAACACTAGCCTTGTAAAAAGATTTAAACAACCTGTCCAATCCATAGCTTTTTCTCTTATTCAATTATATTAGTATAAGGCTTTGTAAGTCTTTTGTTTTTTTAATTGTTAGTTACATCAATGTATGTTTATATTAAAATATGACATAATTGAATATATCAAATAAAACAAAGGTTAACATGCAATCTGTCGAAATTAATTGTTGTATAATAATACTTTACAGATAACTAGAAGTCATAAAAATACAACGAAATTAAATTTTTAGAGCTCACTCACGTATTTTGATATAATTCTAAATTGTCTTATTACGTTTTTGAGAAACAGCTTAGGGTTTTTCTTTGTGTTTTTTCTTTATACCTGTTCAGCGATAGACTTGTTTAATGTCACTTATCACTTATGACCAAGCATACACAGGTGGTTAAGCATATTACGATAGATTAACTTTTTTATGTAGATTTAATTATTTGCAGTCCTGTAGAAGATTCTCTTTAATTTTATATTTCTGAAATCTTGTATGATGTGTATCAAAATAAATAAATTTAAGTTGTATTCAGAATGTTATTCAGTCAATACAAAATATTACCTAACAATTTACAGAGAATAAATTTTACATAATCATTTATTAATAATTATAAACACCAATTATGACTTGACGTTGAAAACGTTCTAAAAATATAACGTTGATATGATTTAAAAATTTTTTTTTTTTGCATTGCCCTTATTGTAATTATATTTAAGTAAATATAATTGTAATATTTTTTAACAGTACCAATGTAATGGTAAACATCGAGTTAGTATTGTGAATACTAAATATTACATACTATTATAATGGGAAATAATTTCAGAATAATAAAAAATGGTAAGTAAGTATTGTTAAAGCAAAAATATGTATGGTTTAGGTTTTGTTCTTTGTTGTGGGTGAGAATATGTGAAGGATAGACCATAAGTCTATAGGTAAACGGTGAGGTAGAAGTAGTAAGCGGGTTGAGGGGCATCGTTCTCGAAGACCGGTTGTCGCGGGTGTCGTGGATGTCGCGGGTGTCGCGGGTGTCGCGGGCGGCGCGGGTGCGCGTGGGCAGCGGGAGCCGGCCGCGCGGGCGGGGCGTGCGTCAGTCGCGCACCGAGCGCTATACTACGAATACGTCGGGTGGCGCCGCGCCGACCCGCAGTGTGCTGGTGTTGTGTCACAGCGGTGGGCCAGGTCGGTTTCGAGATTTATTCGTTCCGACGTAATCATGGCTCTCAATACGGACGGTGAACAGAAATCGAACCTGGTCCTCCGCGTAGACCAGGATTCTGACTCGGTTTTGCAGTCACTATTCGACACAGTGCTCAAGCCTGACTCAAAACGACCGCTACAGGTGCCTCTGCGTATGCGACAGCTTCCAAAGTCGTTCTTTAACCCGCCGTCGACCGGTTCCAAGTCGCCATCTGTGTCTCATTCGCGTGAAAATTCGGCTGATTCTGCGTTTGGGTCTTCTTCGGCAACTGGCACAGCTCCCGTGTCCCATTCTCGTGCACACTCGTCTCCAGCTAGTTTACAACAGACATATGCTGCGGGTCAACAGAATCAGCAACCACCTTTACCGCATCAACACGCAAAACAGAGATCCTACGATGTCGCTTCACATATTCCAGATGAACTGGGACCTTTACCAGCTGGATGGGAACAAGCTCGCACTCCAGAGGGACAGATATATTATCTCAAGTAAGTTACAAATATATCGTACCTTATAAAGAGTTGAAAAAAGTAAGAAATGGTCTAAAATGTACTGTAAAATAATCACGTAAATCATTGTTTAATGTATTCAGTCAAGTGCAGCCTATTGTGTGTGGGGTTGATAATAATACCAAGCAGATTATTGTGGAAGTAGAATGGTAGTTGTTTATAATCACAGTGCGTACATTTTGCATTGAGGTAAGCCTTTGTCTGCAAAATTATGCGAATACAGAAAAAAACAATATTCGATATAAAGTCTCTTATAGATCACGTCTTGAAAAGTAATTATCAGGATTTAGTGAAGCATTCCAAGTTTTTCAGCTCATATCCTTGTATAAATAAAAAAAAATATATTTTTATTGTGTAACTAGGTTATCGACACCATTATTATAGTATGATTTTGATTATCTAATTAAGTTCTTTATGTTAAGTAGGAAATGTAGGTGCTCTAGTACGCAATAAGGTTTCTGTAGTGTTGCTTGTGACATTTAACATATATAACACCTCATGCCTCTGCGCTCTCTTAATTAAAGATACATTTTACAGCTGTTCATATTCTGCTTTAATTATAACCAAACAGGTCTTTCTTGGGTACAATATATACTGAATATTTTTAATACTTACGTTATTTAATTTAATTTAACTTAGCGACACAAATCGAAAATATTATTTGATAAATTATCGAACGTACCGATTAGTTATAAGAAAAAGAGATAATCGATGTATTCAGATAAAAATAAAATGTATAGAAAACATATTTTCTTTGGAACCGTTCAAATAATATAATTATAAATCTCATATTGTTTACGCACTCGCAATGTTTTATCATTAAAGAATAATAATAAGCTACTCATTTCGGAGACAAGAAACCTAAGACAAGAAACACTAGAAGTAATATTAATTAATTATACATATAGATTCTGTTCTAGCGAAAATAAGAATCAATTTTATTATAACATTAGTTTTTGGTGCGTATCTTATCACGCTTATCTTGAGAGCACTTGGGTGATAAAAATTGATATAACTAGCAAAAAGGAATCGCTCAATTGTCTATTGTTTAAAGGTAAACCCCTTAATGGCTGTATAATTATTATTAATGAATAATATTAAACAATAATTAGATTATTGGGACCTTTATATTTTTTTAAACAATTAATTCAAGAATTCTTTGAAAGTCTTATATGATAACTTTTTCTTATATTTTACCTTACGACGGAATATTGTCAGTATATTAAAAACCTTTTTAATAGAAGGTTGATAATATTCGACATTATTTAAAAATTATAAATACGAAATTTTGTTTCATATCGTGAATACGCATTAAATAACAATTTTTTATGATTAACTTCATAGAAATCATTAAAAAGTATTAACATAGCTGTCGTTAAGCAGTTCGATAATCATTTTGGGAAAATTTTAAAAAGTTTTTTTTTTACAAAGGTAATAAAATAAATTCTCGTAACTCAGAACTATGTATTCGTTTTAATAACGTCTTTATTTATACAAATGAAAAGATAAGACTAAATTTACCACCCACACCATAACAGTTTCTAATATAATTGTTCTATAATCTGTAATGGTAGCATTGCGCAAGCCTGGCGCCGCTGCCATTATTGTTACATTACATTTTACGTGCGTAAAAACCTATTATTGACTTCAATATTTCTCATGTTATTATTTCATATACAAAATATATAATATTTTTATAATTATTTGGATGAATAAAACAGATATTTATATATGTACGTGCCTGTGTTCGGAAATCAATGATTAAATTGTTTTTAAACTTTTGTGTGTATTCTTTGAAGATTCATCATTCAAGTATTTTATTAAAAAATATTTATTATTATTATATTTTTTGTTTTTGAATTATTTTTTTTTGCTTTATTTTGCATGTCCATTTAAATCAAAAAGGTATATAAAACTTCATTTCAATAAATAATAAATAGTATTCAGTTATTAATGATGAACGTAATGATGTTTGTAAAGTTAACAACGTCACCGTGTACAATGGTTTCGTGGACGGAAGCCAATCCAACTTCAAAGCTTTTGCCACCTAGTTAATAAACATATTGGTACTACACGAGTAGGAACGCTAATATTAATGGAGTATTGAATGTATTTTTAATATTTACTTATAACAAGAAATACATATGCAAGAACTCCGTACGTATAAATCTTTTTGTTTGTAGACACTAGGACAAATCAAAATGGCGGAAGTCCTAAAGCAACAGTCGAGAAGCTTTCATTTATTATTGATATTTGTAATATCAAAGGTATTAATTTAGATAGTCAACTGTCATCTGCGAAAAGCACGGGATGGTCCATTGCGTTGCGTCTCTTCCGCGTCGACAAATATACCTACATACGCAACTCGTCTTAATTGCGACCCAACTGGACCGCAGTGGTAGATGTTTTGTGAGCTCCATAACGGCCAGCGAGTGTCTCGTCTGCGAAATGTTTGCTTTAATTATTATTGGAATGGAGGGTAATTCTCTGTGGTTTTGTTCGGCTAGACTTGGCGATGTTCCGAAATGGGTAGCGATGCAAATTGCCTTGGCGGTCGCCCAACGCGGCGCTATCAGCCCGGTAGCTTACAGTAACACCTTACTCGTACAGATGACTCTTGACCTGTTGCTGTTTTTAATATATAGAAATGTAATCAAATATGAAGTAACATACGAAGCACTAATGGCATACTATACTCCGTATCGAGCCACTTTAAAATTATGCTCTAGTTTGGAATCAGAGAAGCGTAAATGACGTATTAATGTATAATTTGAAAATTTTAATTATATTATGACACGGATGTGTTCAGGAAAGCTAATACATTAATACATTACACACCGGACGTCGCTACGGGCAATTTAAATTTTCTTTCACAAGTATCGCAAAGATTAACAAGCACATTGTTTACTTCACGGATGACGTAATATTGAGAATAGCGTTCATCTAAGCGCTAATATGAATTCGTGTAAAATTATTACCTTAATTTTAGATTAGAATTATAACTGAAATTATGAAAAAATTTACATTCAAAGTTCCATATTGGTAGAAATTGCTCTTTTTAAGCTTATAATATCTTAAATTAGTTTAAATAGAAATAAATCCAATTTCCAATGTTTATTTCTTTGTATTTATTTTTTAATAACACGGCTGTGATCGCTTATCAAGAACACATTCGTAAACTATGCAATGCCATGCATGTGAATTTTGTTGATAATAAAATGCTGTAAGTTATTTGACATCGTACAATATTTCCTTTTAAGTTTCGTCCTTTGAATTCTTAATAAGAGTAACATCTCCTGAATACTAATACTGTCGTTAAATATGTTAGTTCATTGAACCTAACCCTCGACCATTGATGCAATTTATTGATTACTCCTCTATATAAATAGGAAAGGATGATGATAATACAGCATCTTCAATAAATTTATATATAAGAAATGATGTTTTCAACTTAAAAACCGTTCCATTTCCTGGTTAAAATATAGGGCGGTCTTTTTATTCAGTAAAAACGACTTACGTTCCTATAAATATTGATTTAAAAATGAGAAAATAGACTCTTATTTCAGACATAGTCAAATAATTTCATCTTTTTTTGAATATTTGAAAATATAACATCACTGAATTCTACCTAACTATAAGAATATAATTTATTATAAGTTTAAATTTATCGTTATCACTAACCAAAAATACATGTAATAGTTATTGTACTAACGATTAAACGTAATGAATACAATCGTTAGGAATTAGCCGTAACGTAATTAAGGGTATCTAATTAGTTAAAAGTATCACGATTGTTTCCAAGAAGTACGTTGAAGTAGTCACATGAACAGCTAAAGATATCGTGGTGTATTCAAAGCGATAACGTTTTAAACAACAGTGCGGACCTTCTCGGAAACTTGTCGCCTGTTCTGTACGGACGACAGCCGACAGGTAGCTAACGGTAAAATTACAATGGGATTTTTATTTAAACCGAACTTATGGTATGAAATCAGCCTTACTTTCATTTCTGTCCTACCTTAAACTTATTATATCACTGTTGATTGAGATGTCTTAATTGAACTTGTTTTGTATCACACGGTTTTATTTTCATACCAAAACAAACTATAGGTGCATCTTCACAGATAATGTAGTAATGATTTTAATAGTATATAAAAAATATTTAGCAGTTTATATATAAATTCTTATAAAAGTATATTTATATGTAAGTCATATTGAAGGCATTAAGTCGACAATGAAACCTTGTTACCTCATATATGATAAGAACTAGATAACTTCACATACATACATTTCTTTAAACTTTAAAACTGTGGCTGATTTTTTAAAGTTAATCTTATCACAATGTGTTTATTGTATTCGTTATCTTGTCAACAAAATGTTTTTAAGTTTTAAACCCTTCCATACGAGACTTAAAATCTGTAATTTCAAATAAATAGTTAAAATATAATATAAATCTTTTTATTAAATACATTTTAATGTTTCTGTTACGTGTGAAATAATATAACACATACATATAGCGAATGTAGAAAACAAAATTGTGTTCACTTGGAAGAAAAACAAGGTAGTCAGTTTTATACGCTCTGATTACTGGATGTTGGCTCTAGACAGTGTTTATCGGAATCTATCTGAAACTTAGTTGGACGGTAATGGTCTTATGAACCTTATCTACAAAAAATAACTAATTATGTGACATAACTAGCTTTAAATACACGCTTAAACTACATATATATTCAAATTAGCGATATATCACAAAAAATAACAGTCATTTTACCATATATAATATAGATAAGACTTAATATATAACAAAGTTAGGTATTATAAAATCATATAATTAAGTATTTCCTATAAAGTATGCACAAATACAAACTAGCGTTTTTTAATACACAAAAATTTATGTACACGCTATAACTACATAATATATTCAAATTACCGATATATCAAAAAATAACAGTCATTTTACCATATATAATATATAGATAAGACTTAATATATATAACAAAGTTAGGTATTTCCTATAAAGTATGCACATACGTGTGTGGCAGTCAAATGTATCGTGTTGTACGTCGGTTTGTTCAAGGGTAGATCTTTGTACGCGGTGCATCATAGTACTATCTGCTGTGGACACAGTTGTTCTCATCTTGTGTCATCGGTATTAATGTATTCAATAATACGTTTGTTAAGATAACGTGAGACAGGCCACACCGGTTGAAAATATATATGTATACATACATACAAACAAACATACCTACGTTATTCGGTATTATGTTTCTTTATAAAGGAATTTTCTATGTATTGTTATTGTAATGCAACGGGATATTAAATTCATTCGCAATGATAACACAAATTAATAATTATTAAAGATATTCCAATTATTTTAAAAATTTTTACTTGCAAATTAACATTGCAAAAGATATTTGTATTGTATTTAACCGACTTCAAATATTGGAGGTGTTACTACATAGATTTATTTCATAATATTTATGAATATTCTTGTTAATAATAATTTGTGTGAATTGAGTTGATTACTCCGTACTTAGGTACTCTGATATGCTGGGAGTATTGCCATGCCTAATTGTGAGATCAAAAGGGGTCAAGTGTGTACATTGACGGGCTTTGGGTCGGACGTCATCTACCGAAGTTACATTTATAAAAGTTCCTCAATTACATACACTATAATATTTACTCAGATTTTTAGTACTTTCTTTCTACTTACAATACCTGTATATTGAGCGAAATTTACTTAAAATAGCGCTAATATTGTAAAGGTTTATTCCATATGTAAATTTACTTTCTGCTGTATAATTACATAGAAATAGTAATGACACTGAAATAGAAACTTTTAAGGTAATTAGATACGTCATACACGGGTAAATTGAATATTATCTATCAGACAAGAGTTAGATAAGAGTTTTTTTTGGGTTATGTATAATCTTAACTACCTAAAACGCTTCGTCATGCAGACTACATAGTGTCGGTGTACTGAGATGATAAATTATATTTACTTGTATGAAGAATTATAATAAAATACACCTTTTAAATTTTTAAATAGTGTATTTTTTTTTGTTAGAACCAACATTTCAAAATAGAGGGAATTAAAAGATCAAAATTTATTTAAAAAAAAAACATTAATGTAATATATTTATGACATTAGAAAAAAAATTGTATATATAAAATTCAAAAATGGAATTATTAAAATCACTCCTTAAAATACATTATGTACATACAAAAGTATGACATTTAAGCAATATTGTGAAGTCGTCAAAAAAGAAATGGTTAATGACTAATGAGTTAATAAAAAAATATATATTTTTAAGTGTATCAACTTAGTGGTTCTGAGAAGGAAATAGTTATTGAATGCCACTTAATTGTGTTCCATTTCAATAAGTGTTTGGGAACCAAATACTCGCTATTACTCACGGACCGCAAAACCGACGCCATTATAGTTTTGGTTATAAAATCATAAGTTCTCACGAATATTGAAACAACCCTTTTATAATATTAAAAATATATACCTACTAATTAACATCTTAGAACTATCATGAAAGATTTTTCAAACAGAATTTATTACAAAATTAAGTTTTATATAAGCATATTTGTAATTAATTAAGCAAATTTTAAAGGTCACTGAGTTTTAACAGGTCGCAATTACCATTCAATATGTAAATCACCAATGTATTGTAATTTTATTAAAACTAAAACTTCTTATAATAAATATATTTGACAATATAAAGCGTCACGCCATGCTGTGTGAGTCGGGATGATTTTTGTGTGAATGACCTTAATTTCGAAAAAATAATCTTTCCAGCTCCAGTATTTTTCGGTTTCATGCTACACGCGATACAAATCATCGATACTACATCCGTTACCAACTTATAATGCGACATATTATAATAAAGAAAATCGATTTGATAATCGATTTAATATTATGACGTTGGATGTTGAAGTTTAGTTTTATAGTGTCTCAGTGAAGGGAGTGATCGGCGCCTGTTTTTCGAGTTGTTTACATCTAATTCGGGCTCGGGCGCCGCGACGCTCCCCCCTCCCGCCCCGCAGACCCCGAGCCTCGAACACTGCCCATTGAACACGGCATGCGGCTAATTCGCCACGGTGGGCCGGCGGCATCTTTACTATACACACATACAGTCTATAACGCCATAATAATGGAAAAGGATCTTTAAATACTCGCTAGGAATTAGATTAGTTTTTTTAAGTTGTTGTAAAAGTACTTTATTTCCTTAATTTGCACGAAGCCCACGTGATGCTTAAATAAAAATATGTCAACGAATTCCATTGTCTGTAATACTGCTACAATATCGATGTATAGGTATACCTTTTTTATATCAATCCGACCTCAAATATCAATATATTAACGTATAATATTAACTATAAAAACATCAAAAAACCGAACAAGTTTCGAAAGTAAAATCGAAACAGAACAGGCCAGGCGTCTACATTTTAATTGAGCGGCTGTATTCTAAGTCTATTCATTTACCGCGCGTCCATTTTTCACCTTCCATCGGACACGGAGTTAACAAGATTGACTTCTGTGATGTTGCCGCAGCCTCCGAGGCTCGATTCAACTTCTTGGAAACGAATCCCCCCCCTCCCCGCCCTCCGCCCCCTCCCGCCCCCTTTATCTTAATAGTCTGTTCATATCCCGAGGTCCGAACCTTAAAGTTTGCCTTTGTAACTACGATGCACCGGCTTTATATTTTCAAACCAGTATGTAATTCTCTAGCGATCATTAAATATAGAATTACGGGTTAACAGATTCTATTTTATTTGTACAAAAAAAAAAAAACAATTAGTATAGATTTGTTTTGTATATGTATTATATTAGTTAATTGTGTTTAAAATGTGTTGTTTTTTTCTTCATCGTTTTTTAATTCAATATGTTTTTTAGATCATACTAAATAAGTTTGAAGTCAAATTTTATATTGTACTTACACAGTCAGTGTCAATAAATTAGCCTCAAAAAATGATTCTGAAATACATCCCGGCTTTTTATTTATATCGATAAATTACATCGTGCGCCTCCCCGCAAGTGCAGCGTCAGTTTGTGTCTAAGTTTTATTTTATTTGGGTACACCTGAGTTGTCAGTAACAAAGGGATTGATTTTTTTCTCGGCTCCACCCCGGGCTTTGAAGGAATCGCCGCTTTCTTGGAAGCACAGCGATCATTCTGTAATCTCCGATAGTTATCGATACCGCTCCGAACATAACCTTCGCCAACATAAATATTGATGTACTTAATGCTTACTTTCAGACAGGCGTTGGCGTTGGCGGGTTATTTAAAAATTAAACTATTGTTATCCTTATTATTATAGTCATAATTCTTTGTTATATTCTATCCTAGATATGTTCAGACCTTGATATTAAAAAGAACAATTGGTTACGCAAATTCATATCAAATTTTTCAAATGACATTTCGCATCTCGATCGATAGTCTCACACCCACGCAATTTCGTAACTGTCATGTTTTTTTATATAGCCACAATGTGTTCATAAACCATTACATTACACTACACATTTATCAAAGTTAGTAACGTGTTTAGAAAGGCTTAAAGGTAAACCAGTCGCTGATGCAGATGGAAATGCTCGGCTGCATTGACTTGCGAAATGGTCTTTTGTTTCTCTAGGTGAACAGGAATAAGGAGGCTAAATATATTTGTTCAGATATTAACCAGGTAATGTCTAATTCGTTTAAAACTTTTGATTATAAATTATTGTTATTGTCAGTACTAATTTTATCTACTTTATTTTATATTTAAAATTGGTTTAGTTAAAAATGAGTAACTTATACAAAGCTTAAAGAATATAATTACATATCTCGTATTTAAAAAATTTCTTTGTCCATTTAATATATATATTTATATGATCGTTTGTTTGAGATTTTACGTCATATACGGTATCGATACTTCCTTAGGGAAAATTATACATTATAACATGTTAAGATAGGTCGGTTCATTTATTCGTTCTCAAATTTAAAAAAGTTTAATCTACAGTATTAGTGAAGTAAACATCAAAAAGTAAATGATTGGAGCGCATTAGAATCCAGGATTTAGTTAAGATTAAAGCTTTCATAATATCCCTGGTGAGACAGGTTGCTGGTGACAGCAAAAAGACTTCGAAACGAATCTAGCGGTAAGGTAATGATGCGGGAGGAGTGAGCGGGACGGACGGAATTCTAAGACGAGGGAAAGAGACGGACATACAAACAGACGGGTCCAAAGTCCGCTCCGGCCAGGACAGTAGCCTCACCAATAAAACTAACATTGCGCTTGGACTATTGACTTACCTGTTGCGTCTCACAGGTCTAGGAGCGTATATATAGGGTTAGTTGATACTAAAACATCCTGAATCAAATATAAATCAGAACGTACATGTCGTGCAAACTGTAAATCCGGTGCAGTGCAGCATAACCGAACAAATGGTATCGACCATTAGAATTTCCTGTGCGTATGCTCGTCTCTGAATGGACGCATTATCCGCAACCTGGCCAGTGGAAGCCATATGAATGGGTAGCGCGTAATGCACAATGAATTATTCGTGGCAGACCCGCTTCCGTTGGCGCCGGACATATGCCCCACGTTCTGCCTTCTTCTGATTAACGTCTAATTATAGGGAACAGATCTCCGAAGGATTCGATTCGAGCTACGTACTACAAACGGCCGGATACTTACATGTATTGTGGATTATCAACTTATATATAACAGATTGAGAAATATTCATAGATTTTACTGATTATTCAAAATATACTTCCTGCTACAGAAGGTACAAATAACTTCCACGTTTGACGTGTTTATTATGAATAACTAAAATCTGACGAAAAACAAAACAAGTGATGATGTAGATTTTTTTAATATACTAATCGATTAAATCGTAAAATTCATTTCCTTGTGACATAAACAGCTAATCTTTGGAAGTCATTTAAAGTAGAATTTTGTCAAAATAGCGATAGTGACCAAACGGCCTCCGAAACCGGTCGTCAGAGGTAATGCAGGCGCAGTTTTCGTTTTGGTTACCGTTTAGAAGTTCAGTAGATTAATACTTGTGCAGCCGACCCGGATGCTTTAATACAAGCTCTGTCTCGACTCGGTACAAAGACAGGTCACGATTCACGACTCCGTCATACTTGTCACGTCAACTTTGACATTTAGATTCATTCAAATATCAACGGAGACTTAATCGTTGATTCCTTAACAGATGATTCTAATGAAAAAAATCATACTTGATGTCGTATCGTACTATGTATTATAATTGCGAAAGTTTGTATGTGTGTATGTTTGTTACTTCTTCACTGACGCTGACGTCCAGGAATAAAACATAGGCTACTTTACTTTACATAGGTAATACCGCGGGTCGCAGCTAGTATTTATATAGTGTAAGGTGTTATATTAATTAGTTAGTGATAACGTTATCAAGTTACTTTCTAAAGTTAGATGAGAAACACGTTAACCTCTGCCAGAGAGCGGCCGACGGCCAGCAAGGTCGTCTACTAGCGAGCAAGACACCGCCTTGTACCGCTTGGCCTACTATAAAGTGACTTACGTGTTCATTATACACGTATTTAATTAAATATATTTTATCATTAACATAATAAAACGGTGAAAACGATATTCAATATTTATATATTATAATTTACATCTTTTGATTTTAGTTAATTTATAAGATAAATTATTAATTTGTATATAACGAGATGAATTTATTGGCATTAATATAAATGTGAAAGTCGTATGTATGGATGTTTGTTTATAAATATTGTATGAATAGTAATAACGGATATCATGGTATATTAAACCGGGATACATATCGTGATAGTTTTCATTCCCTTTGATTTAATTTATGGTGAAGCAGAAAAAGACGCGGGCAGAAACTAGTTCGGTAAATGTTTACGATGTCTTCCTGTTCAAGGCGTCATCGATTTCCGACAAACATAACTAAAAGATCATGTAAGGATCCAATTATACTTTAAAAATATCATCTTTAATAACTTCCTTGTAAAAATTAATTATTTAACCCTCCTACATACTGTTACTGTTTATTTTAAACTTTATAAGGAAGCTTCGATATATTAATTTTAAAATAATATACTATGAGAGGCATATGTACAACATTGGACTGACGTAGCTTATGATGATAATAATAATTGGCAATAATAACTAATCAATATACATATCATTGGATTGATAAAAAATATTGAATTTTATCAATAAAATTACAAGTAATCAGGATTGATTGTTAATTTAAATTTTATCTAATACACCAGTGACCTAATTGCGGATACACTATCATAAAGACACTCTCTTGTACTGTTTTAAACTGGTGTCAAATATTTATTTAATTTATATTAATGAAATATAATCAAAACTAAAAGCTGAACAACAAGTTTACGACTTGATACTTTATTTTTTTATTTAACATATAAATTTCGATATTAAAAATTTCTAATTTCATACTAAATTATTTCTTAATAAATTCGTAGATACGATTTGATTAAACATTCACGAATAAAACTTATTAATATTCAAAAAAATATTACTTCTTTTTTTTCGAAAAAGTAACTACTTATATCATTTATAACAATTACAAAGGCAAGACTTTTTTTTCAGTAACTTGTGAAAGAGTTTACAGAAATCAAATACATATAAATTAGTTAGTAAGTTATTACAGTTACATAACTTACTTAGTTTATTATAAATTATTGTGTTGTTTAAAAATGAAGGCTTCAATCGACAGATTTTACACCTATAATATCCGTCGATGCATTTTGCTTAAAAACTATTAAATTTTTCAACATATTGCATTCCACTTATCGGATTATTATTTATTATTATGTCATATAAATTTATCTTCCTCGTGCCCGTAACTGCGCATAAGCGGTTGGGATTCCATAAAAAAGACCTTTCCCCATAGAAATATATTAAAACAAATATGAAAATTATGCGGTTAAATGATATTTTTTGGTCTTCCCCGACCTCAGTGTTTGCGTTTTCCTTCTGTTTGTATGTAATATTAAATTATGAAATCTATTTCCTTACATATATTGACCTATTGTACTTTGAATAGCATTTTGCGTGATATTTTTGGTAATACAGAACAAAAATCTTTTAAAAATCAATATGCTTCTTGTTTATTTGTTTATATATTATAAATTGTATTTTTATTTATTTCATTCTATCCTAACTCTTAAAATTTCTAATATTTTCATACTACATATGAGCGACGTGTATTATTCCACTATTTAAGCATAGCATTTTGTTCGTCACTCTTACGATATAAAAAAAAATAGTTAATTATAAATTACGGCACTATTGTCTCATTGTTTTCTATATATTATTATTTTAATTATATATCTATATTAATTGAAACACGTGCTATTAAAACAAAAGTAATTAGAACTCATTTCTTTCGCAATAAAAAACTGAATTTTGACATAGGTACGTATTCTTAATTTGAAATACATAAAAATTTAAAAATGGAATTACCTATATTTTTTTTTTTTTTTTTTATATTTCTTAAGTATTCTAAAGTCAGTTGCTTTGATGCCGTACGTTCTATAATGATATAAATACATCATTCTCCTTTGTCGCGACTGTCGAGATGGCGCCGGCCGTTCGTAGAATATAGATAAAGTAATCCTTTTGTTTTCTTGAGTGCAACATTAAATTTATGTTGTTTTAAATATTTATTTATGATTAATTTTAAAGATCATTTTCAGTTTTATTCATCACTTGTTATATTTCGCGGTTTCGCTCGTGAATCCAATGATTTGCTTACATTTTGCTCTATGTACATTTTCAAGACAAATTTTTCATATTATTACGATGTTTAATGTTCAACAAGTGTCCAAAGAAGGATTTAGTTGCGTATAAAACTTGTTAATCAGAATAAAACAAGACGTATTATAAATTAATTGTACTATGTAATTATCTGGTAAATAATGTTTTTAATATACGTAATAAGAATATTACTGTGGAAAAATTAATGGCTTCTTGAGATCTTTTTTTTTTGGGACATTTAATATTTATAGAATTAAGAATATATAAAGCTTATTTTATGCTTAATAAAATTAATTTCATTTTATTAAAACCGATTATACCCCAAAACTTCCTAGTTTTTTTTAAATATATTCCACATCTTATATACTCTTTTTGGTTGTCATAAAAAATGGAAAACCGCTTTAAAAAATACTATTGATTTATAGATTTTAAAAATATATTTTACGTAAGCGAACTCAGTTGCAAAAAAAATAATTATAAATATTCCATGTATTAGCTGTTATGAGGTATAACATAAGTGTCCTGTGATATAATTATAATATTTATATTTATATATAAATTCATATAATGAAATGCAAACTACTTTTAATACAGTTTGGCTGAAACAGTAGATCCCGTAATAAAATCATCGGCCGGAAGTCGATGCGTCACTCGAACGTTTTCGTCCACCTATGTTTGTGTGTGTATTCGTATGTGCAAAGTAGACAATATACACATAATACTGAATTAAACACACATATTTACGGGTTAAATTATTGTAAGAAGAGTGTTTAAATTGTGTGTATGTGTGATAATTAATTTAATTGAATATTTTTAATATATATATTTTACAGTACTCGTTTGTATAGTGTTACTGATTACTTCTGTGTGCGTTTATTTACGTACTCGAGCGCCGACTCGTCCGAGATTCAAATTTAGAACGCCGTCCCCGCCATGTTGTTCTGAGTGAAAAATCTACGATCCATCTTGTGGTAGAAATGGAAGTGTCACATTATTTAAAAGAAAAAACTTTTAAAAAGTTAAATATAATAATTTTGTTACCACATAATAAATAATCATTGTATATTTATATGAAGTTTTAATATAACAATAGTATTTCTTGGAATATAATCGCCATAAGTGTTAGCAAAATATCACAACTATATCGGTTTGGTCTGTCTGTTAGCGTAAATAAATTTCGTTGGTTAGTAAAGCGTATATGAATGAATGACTCACGTACAGAATTAGTTCATTTATCCACCAGATTGTTGTGAAGTACATCTTTCATTTAAACTTGTTTGATCTGCTTCTGTTGTAACTTCTGTATCACAAAATATTATATTCGTTTTAAGTCGCCATTATAGCTTGTGACGTAATATACATTGATGCTGCCTATTGAATGAGGATAATTGATAATTATAATAAAACTAAAGAAAAAAATATATTAAATTACATAAACAATTTATATTTTATAAATTTAATTCATCAACAAAAATTAGGTATATTGTATATTACGTAAGTGATATGGCTGAATAAAATGTAGACGTGAGTTATTTTTTGAGAGTTGTATGAAATTTTTTTGTATGAAAAATACTATAGATTATTTTTTAGCGCCAATATTAAATAAGCTTACTTGGCCCTAACTTTTTCCGGGTTTCAAATTGCGGCTAGTAATTTATTCAGTTACGCAATGAGTAAATGAGATGCTTTGTTTCGATGCTGCTTCCATTATATTAGGTATTTCCAGTGTAAAAGCAGGAAAATTACGTTATACGTACTAGTTGAAGGAGGATATGCGTACGTGACGCGCATCCGGCGCGGCTGCGCCATCTAGGGAGCGATCAGGTGCACTCTCTATATGTACATGTTGAAAGGCATTATCTGTTAATTATCTTATATAAAAATATACATATGTCCTTTGTTTATGAATAATAATAAATCATTAATTTTATTTATCAATCCTCATAACATATAATTGGTATGAAAATTATATTGAATAATTTATATACTGTATGACGAGTATAAAAATAATTAATATGGCTGAATCGACTTATGCTAATTGTTTCAGGTTCATGTTTTATATGTCTGTGATGCAGGTGTTTATAGATGCAAAAACAACTTGTTAATTAATTAGTAATAATGAACTTCATTCCTATAAAATGGCAACACTCGAATTTTTAAATGTCACACTTGTTTATGTTATGGTTAAAAATAGGTTATATTTTTTTTGTTATCTCTTAATATTTGGAGCTCGCATAAGATAATTTCAATAATACATATTTCGGTTTATGAAAATCTTTATAGATTTAAAAAAAAACTTATGTCACTTACTCCAAGTGTGACGTGCATATTACTAATAGTTGTCGCTTGAGATTCAATGAAGTACGAACTTTCCTTGTTATATGTATAGTTTAATTCATAATATAATAATAATATTTATCTGTTTCAACACACCTTACTTGTTAGCTCCAAATTGATCATGTCAAACCTCAAACATCATTGCGCAACAGACCTTCGGGAGAGAAAGATATATTTCTCAATACATCTGTCATATCTGGTAATTGTTATGTATATATTGTATTCATTAACTAGTTGTTACATACAGATTCGGCTGCATCGATTATTTTCTAAATAAGTTTATAAATTCTATAAACTTATTAGGCTTTGTCTTATTATTATTAAAAGAGTGATATAAATATCATTATAAATTCTTGGTGAAAGATTTACAAAGCATTCGTATTTCAAAATTTTTGAATTAAGAATGTTATAGAGTTGGGCATTAAACCTTTTTGGTTTTTGTCATTTGTTTTTTTTAATCAAATTGAATAGACTTACAAATGTTAATACATATAATGCATTTTTTAAAATAAATATCGTTTAAATTAAGATCTTTAGATCCTATTGAATGTAAGGAAAGCTTTTTGGCAGAATCAAGTCGTATGCTAGCATAACATTAGTACGTGAATTAAACGAGAATAAATTTGTAGTAATCAATATAAAATTATGATGAGTCCCCGTTTGTCGTGTGTGTGAATAATTGCGTATAAACATGATGCACTGGTGAAGGCTTGCATAACATTTTAGTGTTATGCAACTTTGCAGTCAGCCTGCGCTGTAAATTGTAATTACAGACGCTGCCCCCCCTCCCCCCGCCCGAGCAGCCTCACCCCTCCCGCCACAGTCACGTGTCATATAATATTTACAGTATTTTATTACAGTACATTAATGCCATACACATTTTAATATGACAAAACAATGTATTGATGTAATCAAATTAAATTATATTGTAATTATAATAACTTATAATTGATCACGTTGTAATAATCCTTTGAGCTTTTTTTCCCTCGTTTGTATAGTTTTTTTTTGTAGTAATAAAAAGGTGAAAGTTTGTGATTTATGTTTGTTTCTTTCACTTGAAAAATTCTGAATGGTTTTTAAGGAGTTTCGTTGGTATTATATAGAAAAAAGAAAACATTTGATAAAATACATATTGTTTGATTTCTCATTCATTTGTAATAACCACGTTTCAATATGTTACAGTGCTTTGTATGTCACACACGTAATTTATTAAGAAAATATAAAATATATTACGGAAATGACATTTACGTTGCAGATATAAACGTCAATGGTTTAAAAATAAAAAAAAATACACAATATTCACTAATTATAGTCGTAATAAAAGTAGAAATGCGTACGATTGTACAAATTGTAATTATTATATAGGACTATAGTTAAAAATGTATATGAAGTTAAAGGTGCAAAACTTCACAACTCAAAACAGCTGATGCCGAGGCCAAGTTCATTAACGGGCAAATCAAACCGATTCATTATGGTCGTGCCCTCGCTTTCTATTGAGAAATAATTTTCTTATCTCACTTTGTTACCAGAACCTTTGTTTTATGTCTAATTCAGCCGCATGCTTTCTCTTTTAAACGTTTTCCGTTAACAATATGTGCTCGTCATATAGTATTATAGACGCGTGTAATACACGAACCTTTATTCAAATATTATACTCACACATGTATATTACGAGTTGTTTCTACAGGTGTGGTTTACGCAGACGATGTACTCGCTAAATGCCTACTTTCGGCGTAAAGAAAGTAAAGTAGCCTTTCATCAGAGTGAGTGTACGACTAGGTCGAAGCGGTGTCCGGTTTTACGAATCGGTAACATCGACCGCTAAGTAGGAACGGCTGGCTCACTCCAAGACTCTTACCTACGGCCTTTTAATTGTTAAAAGATGGCGACCTTCCGTACGCGAACATTTAAGACATACGTACTCAAAAGTAAAAGTACTTTTTAAATTCGCTTCTTACGTTCAGCGAGTTTTTGCTTAAAACGCGTCACTTGTTTCGACAAACTGTAGCTATATGTAGTAAATTTCACTACTTTTGTTTTTATTTTTTTTAATATAGATATTTGCCATCTTATATTATTTTTATTATTGTAAATTTAGTCTATAGATATATTATTAAAAATGAATTATTCGTTGATATCAATAAGATTGTTAGATTGTATTACTTATGTATTTATTTTTTTTTAACTCACAAAATTAAATATGATCTGTGCTTATGTTAAACGTTATATTTTAATACTTTCCCAAATTGTTTACACAAAAACTTGACTTTTATCAATATTTAATAGTAATAGTAATGATACTTTTAAAAGAACACTCGAAAGTATTAAATCTCATTAATTGATTCGTACTTAAACAATAAAGTCTTGTTTATTTGTTAATAAAAATAACATAACGTATTTACCTTTTGCGTAGAGAAAAAAAAATTAATAAAAAAATCAAAACTCCATAATTCTAATGCACCGTTTTACCTTATACGGTGATATATAATGATGTTCTGTACTCATAGTCGAGTTAGTTAGTTAGTTCATGTGTACTTGATGTGTGACTAACATATATACAACTATTGTGAGACACATGTAGTACGGACCATTCACTATATTGAAACACAAAATGTATGAATAATTATAATAAAACTATACTCTTTTGTCATTTGTATGTAGTATTATGCTCAAATATGCTATTATTTAAAAAGATAAGCAGGATTTTTGTTGTTTCTTTCATATTACTTCGCAAACATTAAACTATAGGGTCCTAACACAGGCAGTTATTATACTTTGAACTGACAATAGAGTTTCTATTTATTAGGTTTTCCTACTTAAAAAAAGAGAAAACATTTTAATTTTTCATATTGTTGAAATGTAACAAGTTAAATATATGTATTTAAATATATTTGTTGATTTAGACAGGCACGTTTTATGATGAAAGTTTTGTGTTGTAATGTTTCCTTAAATGAGATTGAATAAACTAGAGAGAGCCAGTGACATGACTTTTTATCTCATGCACCCAAAAATTTCGTTTCACTTTCAATGCGACATCACTGTGGGTTTATGGAAGCATTGAATAACAATTAATTTGATAAAAAATGACTTTTTAAAAAGAAAATTAGTCGAGAGTTGCTAGGACTACTGCTATAAGAGTTCTATCCCTTCTGAGACAAGATCAATCACTAAAAGGAGAATTGAACGCAGATTTTTTTCATAACATTTTAAAAGTATAATTACGTATGTGGTTTTTCATAACTTATGTTATCAACGTAGGGCAAATTAATCTTCTATACTGAACCATATATCGTCGCTAACTGTCGTAATATAACTTTACAGTCACATAACCAAGACGACCACATGGGAGGACCCTCGGAAGACATTAGCGGCGCAGACAGTGTCCGCTGGCGTGCAGCATCAGAACGAGATCCTCACCCCACCACAAACTATAGCGACACCTACTGGTTAGTTATAATATATTAATAGTTCTTGTAATAATCTGTATTATATTATTATTAATTATAAGTATGATTAATTGTAAGTTTAAAAACATATTGCATAACTTAACTAACTACTTATAACTTTTAACAATCCTTTAGTATTGATCACTAAATATTTTTTTTCTCTTTAGATTTAGTGATTGCGTTGTATTTTATTATATTTAATATAGAAAGGTCAATTGCGTATGAAAGAATACTTTGTAAGTCGAATGTAAATAATTAAATATTAATTACATCAAAAACTGATTGTTTATTGCGTTTTAGATAAAAACACATTAGACGATTCCGTTACCACTTGATCTAATTGGCTACGGAGCGACGTTTAAAATTATCATGGAACTAAAATAAAAACAAGTAAATAACCCGAATTCTAAAACTGATTTTATGACGGGAATTAACGCGTTGTTTCCGTCGGACGATGCGAGACGAGCGTTGAAAGCTGTTTGGAAAATACATTGGTTTGTCGGCGCCGGCGAGCACCGGCCATGGCGCCCGCTAGCGACTCGCGCCCGCCGGTTGCGACATATTCTTTATTACACTCCGCTCCACAGACTGTGTTGATACACCACCTCTCTGTAAGATAAAGCCGAGATAGCGACAGATACAAGCACGGTCTAGATACTAGATAATATACATCAAACAAGTTATGAATTATTGCTTTTATTAGCTGTCGAACTAACATAATTCGGACGTGAATAACGGCGCAGTTTCTATATTTGTCCAACATAAAAATGTTACGCATTCTTTAACGTCTATTAGTTATGCCTTATATCTTAATAACTCTCACAAACATCGGGCTCGGATTTAAATTAATGCAAATATCGTACATTATAACGCCGACTTGACAAACGAGTATCGATGTACGACTCGCGTTCTCAAAACATCACTTACGGTGAAAATATAAACATATAGGGATCGAAAGACGTGTTTTTCCGTTTTTTTTTTTCGACGGACGGTTGCAGAAGGCTTTCTTTAAATAGTCGCGTACGTTTGAAACATGACAGTGTAGGAGACTCGCGAGGCCAGCAAAACGATGTTTGGGTGTCACGTGTGTACAATTATATGCATTGTGTTCTGATAGACAACCCAGTACGTGATGTAGTCACGTTCCGTTTATTCAGAAACAACCACAGTCTAAAAAGTCTTCGAGGCATTTCTTATCTCTGGTTATAAAACAAACAGTCCTAGGTAGATCACCTGACTTACGAATGTTTTTATAGCGCATTCCTGCTTATAATCTTATGTCGCGATAAAATGAAACAGTTTTCTTATGATGCATTGCATGTATATGTTGTAAGCGTGTTTGTACAAAACGTTATATCATTTTTAGAATTGGATCTCTTACTAACAGCTTTTATTGTACCTTGATATAAAATTTTGTTGTATAATTATTTATATAACGCCTTGTAGATAACTTGTCATGTGTTTACAATTAATTAAGTTAATTGTAATTGATATCTATTTTTAATCTGTATATCGAAATGTCGCCGGTTGAATAAAATAATAATAAAAAATTATACATGTATATGTATAGCATAATAATCTGATTTTGTATATACATTGAGTATTGTGTTTATATATAAAAAATGTTTAGTTTATGTTTGTCGAGGCTCGTCTTAATGGTGTAGACTGTAGAGGAAGGACAAAAAATATATGATTGGATTGTATTACGAGTATGTGGATAAGGGGTAAATATATTATAGGAGATAACAGCATGGCTGTCAGATAATGATCACGTGATTGTAGGCATGGCTCCAAATAGTTATTCCTTGCCATTTAAAAAAAATGCTGCTACAATTACTTTGCTTACTAACTAATATTTATTTCATTCTTAATTAAAATGTCGCTTGATTTAAAATCATTGAAAGGTATTCAAATTACTTTCAAAATAACGTATTAAAGAAACTGTTATCTTTATTTGAAAGTAATATTTTATATTTCGGTTGCATTATAAAAATCAAATGTAACTTTGACAGCTCGATAATAGCGAGGTGATATAAGCTATAATAACAATAAGCTAAATTTCCTTGTAAATAAATCTGTCATTAGTTTATTAATTCTATAATCCGTTCGTAATCAGCTATAAATATATAAATTAATTATGTAACGTAGTTTATGAATGGCCGTCTATATGTTACACATCGCATACCTTGAGATGCGCGCTGTCGGAGCCGTGAGTTGGCGTTCGCATCCGCCCGCCGTGATTCATTATTCCTCGTACTCCGAACGACAACATCCAACAATAATTATTGGAGGAAAATTTTATATACTAACATAATTAGCACTAAAAAACTATCACGCCAGCTTCGAATGTCTCATTACTATTAGGAACTGGATATTTTTAACCGCTTGCAACTAGTCGCTGTTGAGAGAATTAAACGTTTCTATGATATAGAAATAATAATTTCAAACAGTCACATATTAAACGTACAATTGATTTCAGCAGCGAAGAGTACAAGCACTAACACGACGACAGATCCGCTCGGACCTCTGCCGGATGGATGGGAACAGGCTACGACACCAGAAGGAGAGATATACTTCATCAACCACGCAGCACGAACTACGTCCTGGTTCGATCCCAGAATACGTAAGTCATATACACTAGTTTTACGAGCTGTTACTGTATATGTGATTTTTCGGAGTCATATGTACTTTCTGAGACTATTTAGACATCACTGACATACGGTGAAGGAAAACATCGTGAGGAAACCTGGACTTATAGTTTCCCAATTATAAGTTTGAAATCACCAACCCGTTTTGAGCAAACGTGGTGATTAATGCTCAAACCTTCTCCATGTGAGAAAGAGGCCTTGCTCAGCAGTGGGGTTCTGATAGGCTGATGACATGACTGTATATGTGAATGATTTATTGTTTTCCTTTCCAGCACAACACTTACAGCGTACGCCTACATCAGGCGGCGCGGCCGGCGGCGGCTGGGCGAATGCGGCTTGTCAACAGAAACTGAGGCTGCAGTCGCTACAATTGGAACGAGAGAGACTCAAACAACGCCAGCAGGAGATACGACTCCAGGTCTGTATCATATAAACTATGTATATTCAACACTACTTACATACAAAACACATGGAAATGTCAGTATATGTATATCAACCAACTTATCTGATAAAAAAGAATGATGCCATACTTTTTTTTCGAATTAATTAAGCCTTTTACGATGTATTCTTACGTCTAATTAAACTCCATATTTAACATAATTTCAATTATTTTCAAGTCACTTTTTATTTATTATATTAAATTGCTGTAGCATAACTAACAGAATAATTTAATTTTAATTACATTTAAAACCAAAACCCATTCTTACCACACAAGGAACATATTATATAAACTAGAAACACCTAAAACTCGAACCAAATACGGCATTAAAACTATTTCATTTGAAGGAGCACAGCTGTATAACGCTTTGCCTCTAAGTGGTGTCAATTCAAAATCTCTAAATAATATATTAAAAAACTATTAAGAACCCATATATTAGATGATTTCACTGAACTTGTTTAATATCACTAATGCTTTTATTTGTAATCTTAATTGTAGTTATAATATTTAAAATTTCCTTTGTAAGCGAACTTTGTTCTTTTTGAAATAAACTTCTTTAAATCTAATAATTTAATTCGTTTGGAGAGCAAACAACGATAGATAAAAGAAAATCTCAGTTATTGTCGTCTAGGATCATTTTTAAGAATCAGTTAGACTTTATTAAGTATAGAACTTTATACGATGTATAATGAGTGTGTATTGTTTATATTTCCAGCAAGAGCTGATGGCGCGGCAGTCATCGTCCATAGTATCGTCACTAGCTACTACAGAGGTGTCCTTGGACCCGTTTCTATCCGGCATCAGTGAACACACGCGCCAGGAGTCAGCTGACAGCGGGCTGGGCATGGTGCAGTATTCCGTGCCTCACACTCCCGAAGACTTCCTCGCTAGTATGGACGACCGTATGGACGTAGCTAGTGAGCCCGGCGCGCCTATGGACGCTGATATCACACTCGGAGACACTGATCTGGTATGATCTTCAAACTATAAGACATTCTCACATATATTGTAATGATTACGATAATGATATCTAAGGCTTACTCGAGAATTCATTGAAAGGAAGTAATATTTATCGGATTACTACGCGTATTCTGATTTCGGTAGTCATTGCGATGCAATATGTGCAATTATTATTAACAAGCTGCTCCCCGCGGTGTTACCTTCAGATTTTCGGGATTTCCGGGATGTAAAGTAGCCTATATGTTATTCCTGGACGCTTCCTGTATACAAAATTTTATCAAAATCGGTTCAGCCGTTTGAGCGTGAAAAAATAACAAACATACACACACATACACAAATTTTCGCAATTATAATATTAGTAGGATTTAAATTCTTTGTATATTCATCTGATATTACTGAAATGTTTCGTAAAATCAACTGGTAATATCTTTTTTTTGTATATTGTTGTATATTTCATACATATAATTTCTGTTTCAGCTGGGCGACTTCACAAACGATATACTAGACGATGTACAGTCTCTGATAAATTCGACACCGAACAAGCCAGATAACGTTTTAACCTGGCTGTAGACGTCGGCGTATGTAATGTCGGCGGGCAGTGTCGGCGAGTCCGCGTGTTCTGTCTGCGTGTCTGCGAGTTTGGGTGTCGTTTGCGGCGACATTTAAAAACTTTTACTAGGTGTTACATATATCATACGATGTAGAGTACTTACAGCTTCTGATAGCGTGGTCTATAAAACCGACAGTTATGGTGTAAATTTCAATAAATTGCAGTATAGTAACGTGTGAATGTACGGACGGTCAGGATTACTGTAGATGAATTAACTTGTAGCTAACATTGTCCAGAGGTGCCTTAGTTTAATGTTCAAAATTTCATGTCTCCGCATTTACCCGAATGAGACAAATGATGGTTATGCGATAACTTGGATAAATGCGTTTGTTAAAGCGGGCATTCGATATACCAAATCGTCGAGTATCTCAATATAACAAAATGTGTTTCTAGTAAGAGGTTGCGTCTATCAAAATCTGGTAAAATATCTTTTTGGACCGAATGAAAGTATATATAAACAAAAACGATCGGTCTCTAAGTAAACGACGCACCCCATACTAAGGGCCCTGTTTAAGAATTCGATCGAAATGGATTTATTGTGTAGCCATGACTATCTGTATGGCTAGTCAATATTGTTATAGTGTTTAAGTATTCGATATTTGGGCAACCGAGCGTCGATGAAGGGCTGCAAAACTTTCTTTCGCCTCCGAAAGAAATCTCTTGCATTTTATCTTGTGAGCTAGGTTTCCCATACTCTTCGCTTCTAGACTATCGGAAATCCTACATTTCACATAACAACTAGACAATGATGGCTGCACCGAGCGCGTGCCGTTCTTTTAATCTATGTAACTGTGATTGTGATAACATCTTGACGTAACAGTGCCTTATTGTGCCTTTATACAATTTATTTATTGTGTTTTATTAATTAAGATGTCGATGATTATATTTCTACAATTATTTTTTACGATCGGTCTTTTTGATGTATGTATTAATATTACTTAAATAAATACTACTTATGTAATCTTCGTAGTTACGTGTTTTTGTCTACTTACACCGTCCTTGTGTATTTTCGAGATTATGTCTAGTAATAGGTATAGGTGTCGAGACCTAGTTAGTTATTTTGGCAACTATTATGTTTACTTATACATTATGTTTGATTTGTACGATGTATTTTAGTATGCATGTGTTGTATTGGATGTAGGCTGTAGGCTGTAGGGCGTTCTATAATGCTATAGTTGTCGCGAGCTAAGCGTCATCGTATCGGAGTGCTTGTATATTTGTGTGTCCGTGAGTGCAATATGTGTGAGTACTCGACTATAGCGGGCTACAGTGCACTGGTGCCTTTATGATACACAATAAAATAATTGTTTTTTTTTTCTCTAAATTGCGTTTTAGCCCACCTAGTCTTTAGGATGTGTATGATTCAGTAAGATCGTTTGGACAATAATGAAATTAGGACTAAAAAAAAATATTTTTAAAAAAATACTACATTGAAAACTTTGCCATATTAGTAAAAGTACTATATTCTTGTAAGACTTAAATGTAATTATCAATCTTATAAGTAAATAGCAATTCTGTAACTATATGTAGGTGTAACGGTGCTGGGTTTTTTAATAGGTACATTATATCTTGTATCCCTTCGTCGTACTTTTTATTATTATTCGTCTTTTATTAATTCTTATACATTGTAAGTAGAGATTCTCATATTGTTCGGTTCATTATTCTGTAAACGCTTTTCCTTACCTTTAGCTTGTAAATTATATACAACTGTCATTTCGTTAGTGACATTTTTAATGTGTTTGCTATTTTTTATCTGTGTACAATGAAAACAGATAATGCGATACATTAACTGAACGTCAGAAACTTCTTGGGGTTCGCATGTAATGAGTCGACGATAGAAAAACTCGCAGCGATGAGGCGATTTCAAAGCTTTAATATTAATATACTAACTTCGTTAACCAAAGATCGATGACTAATCAAATTGACAACGAACATATCAAAGTCGTAACTATTTCAATCTCAGAGTCGAGTTGAAGCCAAAAAAAATATATCGCCCATCGTCTTGAAAGGAATATACAAGTATTTCGACGTGGACTCATTACTTACGAGTTTCAAACAGTGAGTTGTAAAACAATGTGAGACATTCCATGTTTACCGCGTCTTTAGGACAAGTCTTCGGGACAACACGAATAATCATCGGAACAATATATCGTTTGAACTCTAATAACTTATATCTTAAGTATAGAATATATTTACATACATATCTTTCAGTCTGACTCATGCAAGTTTTCTTTGTAGTGTATATATCTAACATTACTTGTATCAGTGTTATAACAATGAAATTATGAATGTCATTTAAACTAATTTTTTTTTTTAATAATTTCATTGTAAATAATTTGATATTCTTATATGAATTAAATAAATATTTGTTTTAATATCCTCTGTAGTTTTAATTTTCATCTCTTCTCAGGAATCTTCAGAGTTCTATTCTCTGTTTGCGCTGTAGACAATAATTATGGTTATCTTTAGAATATGTGATTCAGATTATTGTAATATATTGTGTTTAAAAACAAAATACAAACAGAATTGTTCCAAAAGCTATGTCAATAATTAACAAAACAGATTTAAATTTACTTTGAATTTTGATTGGAATGAAAAAAAGAAGAGCCTATATTCACTTACCTTTTTATGATTGGTTATTTAGGTAGAAATAAAAACCTTTCTGAATCCTACTTATCAAATATTCTTATACGATATTAATTGTATAAATATGAGTAGTAATAGTTTATATCTACACCCCAATAAATACTTTAAGCAAGTTCAAGTTTAACTTAATATTAATAGTGCGAGTTTCCACGTTATTTGGGATTTTTAAAAGATCATGCAATTTTTTTTTTTTTATTTTATATATTTCAAGCCATACCATACAAGCCAGCCAGTCTCATCTTTATACGTCATGAAACAAACCAAATTACATATTTGTCATGCTATACACTATTTTTCTATTAAATGTTAATTTTATTATAAAAGAAACTATGTTTTTCAGAATTACTTAGGGTTTTTATTGTTCTCTATTTTTAGTGACATTTCGGTTATCATGCAGCAATCTAATAAATTCGTTTAAAAAAATGAGTGAAGTAAATCCGAAAAATCTAGTTTTATTTAAATGTTAACTCGAAAAATCCTTGGTAATCATTAGTTTATTTCATAATATTTATGGATACTACTTCTATTATGTGTATATAGGGACATCGACATATACTAATGGACGTGCCGTACGCGTATAATCTGCAGTAATTTTTTGGTTTAAAAAAGAGAGAAATATCTTATGCCTTCGGCCTAGCACTATCTCTTTCCTCATAGATGATTGAGAGAGATAAAGATAGACCGAAACTTCGTTTCCTTTCTTTCTTTTGGAGTGCCACAATTCTCATCTCCAAGGCATGTCCATTAGTATAAGTCGATGGTAGAGGGATACAGTTTATTTGACATACAGTTTCAAATAATATGCAAACTGAAAGGGTTGAGAAGCATTAAATAATACACAATTTTAACTATAGTTAGTTATATTAATTAATTATTGGATACTGTTTAATTTGTTTAGTGTTATGCTCATTTTATTCACACACGTTTCCGTACCTGTAAATAAGTAAGCGTTATGAAGCAAATCAATTAACGAAAGTCATTTTCATGCAGTAGAAATATTAGCATTAAAGATATAATAAATATGACTAAATGTATATTTTAATTCTAATTAACTTACAGCTGGATCCTTGAAACGTTCATCTTGAGGTATTTCCTTCGTTTCGCATAATTGCTTGTAGTATTCTGCAGAGAGTTTAGGTGTTCTTGGGAGATTCGGATCCGTTATGTCAACGTGGTAAAGACCGAAGCGTTCACTGGAATATAAAACAACATATTATTAAAATAAAATAAATTATATGAATATGATTTTGAATTCAGAATAATTGCTTTCAGGTTAGGGTCACGATTTACGATTTTTTGTTTCGTTTTTAATCGTTATTTATTAAAATGTGAATAATCAATTACCAAATTTTATCTTATTCCAAATTATAACTTACGAAAATCCAGCTCGCCATTCGAAGTTGTCCATTAGGGTCCATGCAGTGTAACCAAGGACTTTGACATCATCGTCATAAATGACATTCAAAATTTCGGAGAGGTAGTCCTGAAAATATAAAAAGACAACAAATTACAAATTATAATTCGATAATGAAATGCTTATAAATATTTAATTAATATATTGTGACATACGTTGTAATATCTAATACGGTTGTAATCTTCTAATTCTCCACGATCAGAAAATCCGTTCTCGGTGATGTAAATTGGAACATCGTTGTACGTGCTCTTGCACCAGCGTAATAAGTTTGCAAAACCGGTTGGCACTACCTGAGAAAAAATAATATATCTGTAATAACAATGTTTGTAATGTTCTTTTAGATCCTATAGGTAAATTAATAAATGTTTTTACATCTTTTAATAATTAGTAAATCCTTCTTTAAGTCTTTGACATTTCTTTTCGCACAATACAGAGAAATATCGAAATATTTCAATAAAACATGTGTGATAGTTTTCAAAACATTTTGTTTTCTCTCAATTATCTCACATTTGATATAATTTCTATATCTTTAGAAAGTCTAATAATAATACTTACTCTTAGCCACTCTGAGGCTGAATCTCTGCCCACGTCCAAACTTACTACCGCTCCAATATCTTTTAGCCAGGACGGGTGTTTGGCGAGAGAGTCCACTCCTGGGCCGGTGATCAAATGCGTGGTGTAGTGATTGATACCAAGGAAGTCTGATGTACCCTTAATTCTTTCAATCCAGTACTCATCGAATTGTTCTAATCTAGGTTTATTTAATCCTTCAGCTCTGCTTTGCTCAGCAATATTTTCTACCATTACGACGGGATAGCCACCTTCTTCGGTGAAAATAGGATTTGCGAACCATCCGAACTGAAAAGGAAATAATTATTTTCATATGCTCACTAAATGACAAATGTAAAAGCGATGTAAAACAAGAGGAAACCATACTTTGAATTGGTTAGCAACTTCAGCCAGAGCAACTTGTTCCGCATTATCGGGATCACTTGGTTCGTACCAAATTGAATTAATTGAAATCATTATTCTTCCGTTTTGTATGGGTCTGTAGGTGTCGTTATAAAGATGATAAACTTCAGCGTGAGCTTTCAACAGAGTGTCGCTGCACAAGTAGTTTCCTACACCGTGGCTATCGATGGCGGGAGCTTTCTTGTCGTCCCCATAAGCATCTTCGCAAATTTCATAGGGCTCATTGAGTGTGATCCAGGATTTGACCTTATCACCGAACTCTCTGAAGCATACGTCTGCGTAGTCGCGGAAGTAATCAATCATTTTCGGATTCGCCCATCCACCTAGATCTTGGAGTGATTGTGGTAAATCCCAGTGGAACAGAGTGACCTGTGGAGGATCAAATGTTGGGAAATTTATTTATTCAGAGACGTACCATAACTTTATGTTATAAAACTGTATAAATATATTACCAACGGCTCAATTTTTTTTTCGGCTAAAGCATCGAAGAGTGCGTTGTAGTATCTGATACCATCAGGGTTTATGACATCCATTCGTCCAGTTGGCAGAATTCTGGCCCAAGAGAGAGACAATCTGTAGAAATCTACACCCATGTATGCCAGCTCATCAACATCTTCTTGGTAACGGTTGTAGGAGTCGCAGGCTACATCCCCATTGGTTCCGTCAGCTATCATCCACGGCCGATTGTGGCTCAGATGGTCCCACACATTTTCAGTTTTTCCTGTGGATTTGATTGAGATAAAAGCTTTTAATTTGAGATAAGTCAATGCATACTTCGAATTATTTATCAGTTTTAAGATATTTTGAACTAAACAGTGCGCTCATCTGTTTATTATGATAAAGTTTTGGATTATGATTGACATGTCTTAACAACAAGCTATCTGTACCTTAAGAGTTCCGATAAAATATGGAATCTTATCGAATAAATACTTGCTGTTTATTGCATAACGTTGTTTTTTAAACCACACAAGTTGTATTCACAGTCGATTAAAATGAAACACAGAGCCTAAAGCGATTAGTTCTATAGAGACAACACATCAGATACAAATAAAAAAATAATTGATGAATAGTTTTAATCGTAATCTTTTAAATTCCATGGATTCAACTACATATTGACCTTCTACGATATAAAAGGCATTTAATTTTGTTGATTGATTTGCGTATTAAACTTATTGTATCCGTACATTTTTGTAGTACATAAGTATTACTTTTAGCCCTTCTGCCTTGGCAACATCAGGAAAAGAGGCGTATGCTGAGACCCAAATTTATCAACAAATTTTCCTAACGTTACATCATATCGTCTGTTTTTGTGGTAAAAATATCCTTTTCTATAATCTAAGATGTTTTCATATAGGTGTCATTATTTGTTTAAATATTTCTCATTATATCTTACCACTGACGTTCCATGAGCCTTCTATTTGATGAGCAGCAGTCGCCACTCCAAACGTGAATCCTTCCGGGAACTTAGTGTACTGCGCTTGCCCCCTTTAAAAAAAATATCTATACATTTATAAAAGAAATATTGTAAATTTTATAAATAGATTTTTTTTATCAATTGCACTTTGTTAAAGATTAAACAAACTTAAATATGTTATTATCAATATCAGATTTTCTCCGAGTATTTGCTAAGGTGATATTTACAAATTTTATGCAAAAATTTATTATTTAGACTTTTTTACCGATCCTTATAAAGTTAGAAAGTTTATTTTAAATTGTGGTATCAGTTTTCCTTTTCCTACTTCACACGAACAAAAACACATTGAACTAAAATAATAATTTTCTTTTTATAAGAAATTTTTGGTAGTAATAATAAAATTTTTACACTTTATAAAAATGCAACGTTTTATTTCGATTGTTTAATAGATCATCTGAATCTATTCAACAAGTCTTTTTTATTGATTGTGAAGGTTGTGTATTGTTTATTTTCGTTCTCGATTGAAATTGACTCATTACTATGCCATTAAAGAATCTATAATAACTTTTCTCAGAACATTTCCAATGGTTTGTTTTTCTTAATTTCTTCTACTGACTTAAATACAAAAAGAAATGTTTTTTTATACATATAATTTTGTAAATACATATCATTATATACATATTATTAATTTAAACGGTTAATTATTATCATTTAAATTTGTTTACAGTCTCGTTTGGACAAAAAATATGCAATTATGCAATATTTTTTTATCTACCGCGGCATAAGAATGTATTCTTATGTATATTGGAATAACAAAAATACTCACAATTTATACTTAAATTATATTTAGGTAAATAATTAAGTATTTGACACATATAACCTTAATTAGTTATTTTATATCCGTTTAACGAGTCTAGTAATAAAAAATATATATGGTGGCGATATTTCCTTTATAAGTGCTAATTATGGCGATAAAAAAGGAAAACCGATGATTAAAAATGATGGCTTTTCTAGATTAGTAGTTATATGGAGGTGTAATATTACTTTTTTTCAAGAATAAAGTACATATTAGTATCTTGCGACCGTGGCTTTTGAAAGTGAAAATTTTTGAAAACCTTTTTCGAAAAATTTAAAAGGTTACTGTTTTTTTATTATTTGAAGAATAGTTGAAATTACTGTGGGTTTATGTATTTTAGGACAAAACTATTAAATCTGTTATATTTACTTTCCCTTATACTAGCTTTCTTATTTTTTCTGAAACACCACTTCGCTGTCATTAAAATTAAACGATGGTGATATGGAATTAACCAGGTGAACTGCTGTTTTTTCGGTAATTAGTTAGATAGTTATGTTGGTATTCAAATAAAATTAGTCATTAGGCCTAAAACCGTAACTTGAAAAATGTCTTTATATTTATAAATATTATCCAAATTTTAAGTCAAAATAATGTTATATACGCAAAATTTTACTGTTTAATCCAGATAGAGCTTATAACTTTGAAACCAATACATGATTTTTTTTTCAGTAAATGACGAAAGAAATTTGTATTAGAATTTAATATAATTTGCGTCTTGCCATTGGCCTTAGGTCACGGTTTTCCTTCCTAATATTATAATTAAGTCAAGGACAGTTTGTTCTGTTAAAAAAAACATCTAGTTGAAAATCGCCACAGCTAAAAATAATCAACTTAAATAATAAATATACACTTTCTCTTTATATGGCCTTCAATACTATTGAATGTCAAAAGAATATTAGATGTCTGTGAAGTTTAGGAAGAAGTATTATATTATAATAATTAAAATATATTAATAATTAAGTTGTCAATGTAGTTGTTGAGAGATTTTCGATCACATCAAACACGTTTCCATTGAATCTAATTATAATAACGATGTATTTATAAATTCGATCACTATGATTTGTATGAATACAAGGTTCTAAATCGCACAACCTGTTTAATCTTTGTCTAAATTCCGCTACGTTCAGTGACTAGTTATAGCTGTGTTATGATTAACATGGAACAAACAATGGTACTTACGAATGTACTAATGCCAGGAGGGCGATAAACGTTGCCTCTTTGATCGCCATAATGTCGTGCTGCGTCAATGCCTCACAGTACAACACTGTTTGTATCAGCTAATCTCTTCTTTTTATGTGTACAACATACAACATCTAGCTAACGGTAATCTTGAGTACCTGCTGGATATGTCATTTTATATAGATAAATTTATGTGAAGAGTCAAATATGATATAACTATGTAGGAAATATATTTGCGAATCTTGTTTATTCAGCTTAAAATTGTTGAATCAGAATAAAATTATTAATATATTTTTAGTCGCCGAAAATTATTATTATTTAATTGTCTTTCATCTTTTGTTATATTTTTATTTTACGTTTACCTTGTTTCAGACTCATTTTCTTTGGATTTTTTTTTTGTAATTATAATACTTAATACTTATGTTGGTATAAAAGTAGTCTACATGGGTGTGACGTAGAAAATTAGAACTCGGTTATTGTATAACAAACATAACGAGTATGTTTTTCAGATTCATACAAAAGATTTTCCTTTTTATATTTTCTACCATTTGTAAAGCTTATCAATAAAATAATTTTCCACGTCCACAGGGGTCTTAAGCCTATATTCTGTAGATAACTTTTAAGATGAGATATTTTTATTTTTATCTTATCCACAGTTTCTAAGTGTTTTCCTTTTACATAATAACTATTTTGGTAGTTATAGTATGAAGACTGATCATTTTGTTATTTGGACAAATTTTCCAAATACAAGAAAAACTTATTTTTTCAAAAATCACCGGTTTTATATAAAATATTTATTTATATATTTGGCTATATTTAATTTTATAATGTTGGAAAACATAAATCTCATAATGTAAACATCAAGAAATACTATGAAATTTGACTTTAGTGCCGTTATTATTGATTATTTTAAAAAAACAGCGACTGTTAGACGAAAATGCATTCGTGTAAATACTGAATGTAAAAAGTATATTGTGATCTGATAGTGTAAAGGTTTAGGTACTCTATCTTCTATCTTCTTCTTCTATATATATAAAAATGGATTGCTGTTCCTTAGTCTCGCTAAAACTCGAGAACAGCTGAACGGATTTGTCTTATCTTAGTCTTGAAATGTTTGTAAAGGTTCAGGGAAGGTATAAAAGGTGAGAAAAATTGGAATAATTGCCGGGAAAACCCTAAAACCAGCCCTTTTCTATTTCCCATACAAACGCTTTTTTTGACATTAGATTTGACAACTAACTAATATGTCAATCATTCTGTTTGATTGAAACAGGAAAAACCTGATTATTTATGGCCTCTAAGACGGAATAGAGTTCGCCTGGTCAGCTATACATATATTACTAATGACGAAACTAACGCGGACGAAGTCGCGGGCAAAAACTAGTCTTTGATAAAAAGGGAAATAAATGGATTAAGTTATTGTATTAAACATATTTAATAGACTAAGAGCCAGTGATTTTCAGACTAGAGTTATATTACGAAGCTATATATTGACGAGTATAATATCGCAGTTGAAATAGATTTATACGCTGGGTCGATTGCATCTTTTAAGGACCTTTGGTCTGTTGTGCAATCTTAAGTATCTGTTGCATGATTTGTAACTAATTTAAATAAAACAATAACTATAGTTTTACGGTTTAGTGATATCGACTATATTCAATATATTATTGTTTAATGAGTTTTATGATTAGAAAAACACACGCAGTAAAGATGACCTTAGCAAATTCCGCTTTCGCTAATTAATAGTTCATACTTTATCTGGCTCTAGGTTTTTAAAGTAAAGTTTGGCAGAAATAATTATATATCAACAGTCATAAGAAATTCCGATAAATTCAAATAATGTTATTAGCATATAGTATGAACAATGTCGTCCTTAGCTCTTAGTCTATAGATTATACGCTACTTTCACTTCATTTACCAGGATTATAAATAAATGGAACTGTAGTGCAAACATTTTAATGTTTTTATCTAATATATTTTATTTTATTTTTAGCTTACCTCCTATTTTATATTTGGACAACATTACTGTATTGCTAAATATGTAATTATAGATATTGATATTATAAACAATATCTCATTACTTTTTTTTAATTATGACTTCACTCGCTCTGGAATCGTGGAATATTTTGCCAATGTCAACGTTTTTATTTGTTGGGCGAATTATATCTTGGATACCTTACTAATATCACTACTTTTTATATATTCAACTAGAAAAAGGATTTGAATTCGTAAATTAATGTACATTTTGGACATTTAATATACATTTTAAAATTTTAGACAAAAATCTATATAAAAATTTTTTACTTAACCTCGATCGATGACAGTGATAAAATAATAAAAAATAGTCACTTACGCGTCATGTCTCATCGAGTAGACCCTGCATAACACAAAGATAGTCCACGGAGGTAGCCAGTGAGTGAGTTAGTAGAATTCCCCTAGTAAGGACATCCCTGACTTTCCACACGTCAGTAGCATTATAGTTCTGTCGCAATAAAGACGCTACTCTTCTAAATATTGACATCGGATGGAATCTCCAGGGCTGGTCGAACCACCAACTGACAACATTTTTTTATTACCAAAATTGGACGAAAAATTCACTTTCACTGTATTTTATCACGATCTACAGCATTAATTTGAAACCATAGTTAGTAAAACGTTATTTGAAGATTGAAATTGCTTTATAATAATTTACCTGAAAAATAGGCTTTCACACGTGAAATAAGTGAAGGCTAAAACGAAGACCGGGTATAGGAGTGGCAACAGTATTAGAAGGCAAGAATGAGGGATCCGATCAGTTTTAGAAAGGTGGGGAAAGCGGCGCCATATCGCCACAGCGAATGAATATCTCCTGCGAACTGCACCAATAACAGTCGAGCCTTTTCCAATCTACTCGCTGAACGGAACTGTACATATAATATAGATTAGTTATGTTAAAACAAATTATGTAGTTAGGAGACCATACTTTCAGTGTATCAAATTCTTACCTTAGCCATCATGACTTTATTAGATCGGCGATATGGTTTCATGCTATTATTTTTTATTTAACCGTCTTTACAATTTATTTATTTCTTTGGTCATTTTAATTTGGTTTTGGTTTATTGATATTTAAATGCATATTCAGTACATTGTTGCGTCATGTAGGAAATTATGTCAAAATTATGATTTGATTGTCACAACTGATTATATTTTTTTAAATGTACTAAACTCTAGCTATTGCGGGTTATTGAGAACCAATTATAAAATAGTTTTGCTGTTCAATCAAGGCCAAAATAAAAGCATTTCGACAGACTTGATAAAGGCTTTATTGGCTTCATTTGAATCAGTCTACTATCAACAATAAATCGAATTAGAGAACTAAAGAAATATTTTGTTTTCCTATAGACTATAGTACTTATGTCAGCATGTATATATTTGTGCAAGTAAAGGCGGGTTTCAAACATCTCATACGGCTTTGAATTGGGAGGAATATTACCGTATGTATTACATCCTTGATAGGTCAAAAAGTTATCTACGATCCTCATTAAATATTAACCGCATTTGATTAACCTTCAATTTAAATTTATCTGTGATTAGCTAAAAATAACAATCGATACAACTTCTCTGCACTTCATTTTTTGAATTGTCTAATTATTCTGAATATTTTTAAAACTATCCCAAATATCATGCTGAGATGAAAATATAGAAAAATATACCAATAACTGTCTGGGCTGTAATTCGTTCCTTTATAAACCATATAATTTGGTAATGTGACATTAAGTTATTTATTTTTTTGATACAATTATTTTGATTACAAGGGCAAAGGTCTTCGTCTTATCATAAAAGAGTTAATAATATTGCATCGTCGGTTTATATATCACCAGTAGTTATGTGATTATCACGTATAATTCTTTAGTTACTTAGTTGCTTTAAATAAAATGTTGTTAACTATTTTATTATGTTCTATAATATTTTTGATTATTCTCTTGGATTGGTTACACAAAGATGAAGGATTCGAAAAGATTCATGGTCCGAAATGTATATTTATATTGGGGAATTCTTTAGATTTTCTAAAGAATTCAGGTAAGAAAAAAATTTTTATTTAATAAAGTATAAGTTATAATGCTTAATTTATTTTTTAATTTTATTAATGTACATAAATACGTTTCAGTTAAAATATTTTATCTATTCCGAAAATTAGCAGCTATCTATAAGAACTGCTTTAAATTAAAGATTTTTACAAAAAAAATTCTCATGGTTTATAATCCGCAGGACGTTGAAGTAAGTATTTATTTTCAAAGCATTATTAATATTATATCCTTATTTAATGTGCACACTTAAATAAATGTATATATTTGTTCATTTAACAGATCCTTTTAAGTGGAAAAAAACACAGTAGCAAAGGTTTTCTTTACAATTTTCTTCGTCCCTGGTTGAAAGATGGCTTGTTGTTAAGTGACGGTGAGATGTCTTTTATCTTATAAAGTTATTTTAAAGAACTGTTTTTGTTAACTTTTTTTTTAAATTTATTTCAGGTATGAAATGGCACTCGCGAAGAAAAATTCTCACACCTACATTCCATTTCAACATTCTACGTCACTTTAACTCAGTGCTGTTAGAGAAGGTTCAAGCATTCGTTGAACGTCTGGATTCTGAAGTTAATAATTCTGCCACGGAAATTTTTCCTCTGATCACCGAGTTTTCTTTAAATTCTATTTGTGGTACGTTTTACGAGTTATCATATTTTGATAACTACAAAAAACGATTTATTGGCTTTTCTTTTTTACAAAATGTTTATTTTCTAAATTTTACAAAATATTGGTTGCGTTTTTGTGAAGAAAATATTATTTTTGATAGCTGCGGAATTTTAGATTTAATTTAAGTATGTAATTCGAATTTTAGATTTGATTAATACAATACCGATCGCTATTTAAACAAATATTTTTTAGAAACTGCAATGGGTACAGCATTGGAAGACGAGAAATGTGATATGGGGGAAAAATATAAAGATTCAATTCATACCTTGGGAACATATGTATTTTCTAGAAGTACGAAATTCTGGATATACCCTGATTTTATATTCAATCTCTCGCTGCTTGGAATGAGTCAGAAAAAAGTTCTGGAAGTCATAAGCCAGTTTCGAAATAAGGTGATAGCAAAGCGCAAGTTGGACACAAATGTAAGACATATAGAAGATACTTGTGACGATGATGAATATTTTATTAGTAAAAAACAGAGGCTGGCCATGTTGGATCTATTATTACAAGCTGAGAAAGAAGGACTCATAGACTCTGATGGCATTACTGAAGAAGTGGATACATTTATGTTTGAAGTGAGGCAAATACATTGCAAATTTAAATTCACCTTTACGTTTAAGCCTATGTTATTAATTTTTTGTCAATTTCTAGGGTCATGACACTGTAGCAACGGGTCTTCAGTATATCTTCATGTTATTGGCTAATCATGAGGATATTCAGGTAAATGTTATAATTTATCACTGACTGGCGTTGCGGTTTATATTTAATTATACCTCTTGAAACTTTTTTTAAGGACAAAGTTTTCTTGGAGTGTGAAGAAATACTCTCGAGAAATAATGGACGACCTTCAATCAATGATATGGCACAAATGAAATTTTTGGAGGCTTGCATTAAAGAAGCCTTAAGACTCTACCCACCAGTATATTTTATTAGTCGTATAGGCGATGAACCAATCGAACTAAGTGAGTTTTTTTAATAACTATTACGAGTATTTAAAATCATCATCATCAATCTGATGATGATGATTCATCAGCCTACCAGAGCCCACTGCTGAGCAAAGGCCTCTTTCTCACATGGAGAAGATTTGAACATTAATCACATCGCTTGCTCAAGACGGGTCGGTGATTTCAAAATTATAATTGTGAAACTATAAGTCCAGGTTTCCTCACGATGTTTTCCTTCACCGTAAGTCAGTGGTGTCTAAATACTCTCAGAAAGTACATATGGCTCCGAAAAATCACATTGTTACCAGGTTTGAACCTTCGCCCTCGACAACGAGAAGCGGACCCTTTAACCACTAAGCCACCACTGACTGTATTTAAAATATGATTAATAATTTAATGTTTTTTTTATGTAAATAATAGGTAATGGTCACAAATGTCCAGCTGGAACAGACTATAATATTTTAATTTATGAACTGCATAGACAAGCGGATCAGTTCGAAGAACCTTACAAATTTTTACCAGAACGATTTCTAAAGGAACCCACTTGGCATCCATTTGCGTATTTACCATTTAGCGCTGGTCCACGAAATTGCATCGGTAAGGTTTTTTTTTAAAAGAAAGGAAGTTCTTCTTTTTTACTATTTTTGGAAATAAAATCATCGATTTGAATGCTATCAGTAATTTTTTAAATAAAGTAAATAAATGAAAACTTCAAAAAATATATATAATTTCGGAGTATGCTCAATGAGTTAATAGAAAAAATATGTAATTTTTTTGAATATTTAATCAGATGACACTTTAGATTTATCAATTTAGTACTCGTAGATGACCATAAAATTATGCTTTTGGATTTAATAACAATTTTACATTTAAATGTTATTGAAAATATTTGAATTATTTTTGATATTGTATACAGGACAAAAGTTTGCGATGATGGAGATGAAACTACTTCTGTCAAAAGTCTTGACTGAATACCGTCTGCTGCCGGTCACTAAACCACAAGATATTATATTTTATGCTGATATACTACTTCGTTCAAACCAAGTAAAAGTTAAAATCGAAAAGAGAAAAAAATAATTTAAGGTACGAATGCAATAACCAAAGACGACATTTAATTTTTAAGCATATCAGTTTTTTATGATTACGAAAAGGTAAAAGACATGTAAATTTACTCCTAAAAATAAAAGTAATACCTTTTGATTATTATTGACATTTTATTTTTTAGCATATTTTTTATGCAACAAATGGTTGAGTTATAGAGATATAAATTTTGTTATCATGTTTTAAAAGTACCTATCTATCACAATAAAGTTTAATAAATTAGCTATTAGAATAATAATTTATGCTTAGGTATGGCAAAATGATGTCTGAAACCTAACATAATTTTTAATTTTAATTTACTAAAAATACTTACTAAATGTAAAAATACTTCTGTTATGCTATAAATTAATAATTCATGAACGTTCATAGACAGGTAGGTGTATTGTTTGCTATAAAGTAATAATTCATGAACAAAAAATGGTTCTGAATCCATAAGCCGTCTTTCATGGTACTTTTCGATACAAAGCAGTGAATCGCCGAGACAAGTTTTGGTTGTACATATTACTATCATTTTCTTTGTTTTTAAATCTATTTTGCAACTCTGTTTAGTAACGCTTCACTGAAAGAATTCAATAGCCAGAGTATAGTTTTGTTACATTTTTTTTTAAATATTATATACAATGTCACATAATATATCCCGATTATGTAGTATAATTATTTTTATTTATAAAGAAGATTTATTAAGACTTTATTCTGATTTCTGTTAATATTGTTAACTGATATTTACACATTAAATAGTTATGGGTCCTGCAGTCTCTTATTATTCCTCTTTCTTAATGACGTAAAATGAAAATACTATGAATGCAAATATAAATTTTCGACGTAATCTGACTAGACCTGGGAATTTACATACACTAGTTAACATCAAGATTCCTCTAACTCTAAAAAACATCTACTAATAGTACTTTTTGTAAAAATTATAAGACTACCACTGAAAGGAAAGCAGTTTTCTTACAAAAAATTAAAAATACCTTAAGATAACTATGAAAATTGTTGTAATGTTTTTTTTTTTACACCGAGAGTCTGCTTTGTCCGGTTTTTTTATAAATTTTATTACCCGACTTCAAGAAAAGAGGAGGTTCTCAAATCGTTTTTATTTTGTGTACTGTAATAGATCCAAAAATATATGTATTACGACAAAAGTTACCATGGGATCGTTATAAATACTAAAATTAAATATAATAGAAATTATGGATCTTTATTAATTTTAAGCAATTTGTCAAATCTATAAATTTAATAAAAAAAGGTCTTTAAAAAAGTATTTGAGTGTTTGGATTTGAAGATGTATGTTTTATATTTATTGATCTTCCAAAAAACATTAAGAAACACCTTTGTATAACTCAATCTTAAAGAATTTTATGTATAATGGTTAATTTTCCATGTTGTTTTGGTGATCGGCAATTTCCTCCAAAAACGATGGATTTTATAAAAAACGACAATTCCGATGTAGTTATTACTTCAAACTAAAATTATTTATACCTAAGTACAATCACCAGGTCGTTTAAATGTCAATTTAAATTTCTGACAAGTCATTTTAAATGTAATGTAAATAAAACTTGTGTTATTTACATACAGCTTCAGAGAATAATAAAATAATATTTCCATATAGATTAAAAAGAATTTTATTTCTATAACAACAAAATATTAATCTTAATGGAAATGGAAATTAAACAATACTTATTGGTCATTTAGCGCATTGTTAGAACTCAAAAACCAAAAATATGAAATGGATTTAAAATTATTTGCAAAAGATCTGTAATTTTTTCCGTCTTTCTTTTGCATGTAACTGAAAACATTGTATAATTAAAGCGATGAAAAATATCCAACGGACGCGAAAAAACCACATTGCTATTTCTTTTTTATAAATTCTACTTTCATAATAAATTAGAATTTATCAACAAAGGGACTAACAAAATAAATTGTAAGTGTAATCATATACATATGTATATACCTACTTAAAATGATACTTAAATATAGGTACTTATAAATTTAGTGCACTATAGGTTAAGGTAGTGCATAAATAAAAAAAAATATATAAGAGAAATAAAACCAAGAAACTAATTAATAATATCAATGTAATTAATTTGCTAAGTACTAAATTATTATGTAAATGTTCCATGTGGTAGATAAGATAATAATGTATGTATGTTAAAAAACTGTTTATATGTGACGACTAATGAATATCATTAATATATTAATGTTAATTTTGTACAAGTTAACAATATAATATTTAAATTTTAAGTCAGTGTCACACAAGTAATCGTGGTAGCATTTTGAATTAGTGTTTAACAAGATGTTTACTGTAATTTGTGTCATTGTATTGCTTCTTTGTTTAATACATTTGGCATTCAATTACAATAATAAAGCAAGATTGATGAGAAAAATTCCAGGACCCGAAGAAAGCTTCATCTTTGGAAATGCTCCTAAACTTTTCGTGTCAACAGGTTGTGTACTTTTAGTGGTTTTTTTTTGTTTAATACTTTTCGTTTAATGTAAATTTTTTTTAGTGGAACTATTCGCACTGAGTCGACAATGGAGTTCTACTTTCAAGAATATATACAGGTTCTATGCATTCCCTGTGGCTTCAGTTAACATATACAATCCAGAAGACGTAGAGGTAATTTACATATGTTCTTATAAGTCAATGAACTTAGATATAAAATTATAAAAAACAAAGTGCCCAAACATATACGCAAAACTTCATTATGAAATTTCTTCTTTTAGTTCACATATTGTAAAGAAAACGTTAATGAAAATTGAAGGAAAAATGATTTCATTATAACGTACATCTACAAAACTGTACTATTTAGTCAAATCACTATTAGAAATTCCTTGATAAAAAATATTTACCCATTTAATGCTGATAACCTTCGCTTCTTGACACACATAGTATTATTTTAAGTAAAAAATACAAGTACAATTTACTCACAATATAACGGAGTTCATCGGATTTTAGTTATTAGTTATTGCTTGTAACTAAATAATTGAACATTCCCATTCGTTCAAATCCATTAATTAATGGAACTTTACATATTTAAAGTAAGATATTTGAAACAAAGGTTTAACTACTATAGGATGATAATAGCGTATATACAATTTACGAAAAAGATATAACGGCGTAAAAAAGATATTTTCAATATTCTTATAGTCTATATGTACTTAGTTCTTGATATCGAACACCACTTAAGCGATTTGAAAGGACATGTTTCTGTAGATCTATTTCCTCATAAAACAATCGAATCATGGCAAACTTTGTAAATTATTTAATATTGACCAAATATATGATACAAACAACCTTGAGAAAAGTGTAAGGAATATTTCTTATTTGCTAAGGTCTCGTTTAGTAATGAATTTTATTTTTAAAACTTTCCAGAAATATTGACAAATTTTTATAGAGTAACCACAGTTCCATGTCATGTATAAAACAAGTCTTTTATGAAAAATATAGTATGAAATTAAAACATATATATTCTTTGAAACAGCTGATATTGTTACAAAACTATTTTCATATGATTTCAGATTATAACTTCGAATATGAAATATCACGAGAAAAGCCGTATTTATAAATTTTTTGCGCCATGGCTCAAGGAGGGATTACTGACAAGCAATGGTATTTTCATAACTTGAAATTTTTTATGATTCTTAGCATCTTATTATGTATTTATAATATTTGAATATAATTTTAGGTACCAAATGGCAGCACCGAAGAAAAGTTTTAACTTCAGCATTTCACTTTGACGTTCTGAAAAAATATTTCGACTCTATAGATGGAAATAGTAAAAGACTTGTTAATGTCCTACAACAAACTGACGGCCAATCTGTAGATGTTGTGCCAATATTGTCAGAATATACACTCAATACTATTTGTGGTAAATATTGTACTTAGTCCTTAAAATTACACAATATATAAATGTGTTTCTAATATCATATTTTTTTTAATTAGAGTCGGCAATGGGCACTGTTTTGAGTGACGAATCCACTGGCGAAGGAAAAATGTATAAAAATTCTATCTATCAGATGGGACATATACTAGTGAAAAGATTTACGAACCTATCACTTCATCCTGATTTTATTTATAATTTATCTCGTCTGGGAAAGAAGCAAAAAGAACATTTGTCAGTTATTCATAATTTTACTAAAAATGTTATCAAGAACAGGAGGAATCTACTTGAAATAGATAATGTACCCGAAACTAAAGTTGCCCAAGCAGATGGTACTAATATTTTTAAAAAGAAGAAAGCTGCCATGTTGGATTTATTACTTCTAGCTGAAAAAGAGAATTTGATAGACGGTGATGGAATACAAGAAGAAGTTGACACGTTTATGTTTGAAGTAAATCATTTTTAAGTACCTTGTCAGTTTTTATTAATATAAAATTGTTTCAAATTTTGTGTATTAAACAATGATTTTCCGTTTTCTTTCAGGGTCATGACACTACTCAAGCTGCGTTGACTTATTGTTTGATGTCTTTGGCCAACGAGGAATTGGTGCAGGTAAATCAATAAAAACAGAGAAATCTAAGGCATTATTCATAATTATCTAAGTTTTCAATTTACAATTTGAAAATCAATGTTTAACCATAAACCAGTTTCATCAGTATAAACATTCAATATAAAAATAGTACTACGAGTATTTCTCTGCAATTCACAAAATGCTACTCTTAGTTGTCATTATTATTTCAGCAAAAGGCGTATGCTGAACAAGAGTGTATATTTGCTAACGACGACCGTCCCGCAACCCTAACCGACTTGTCAGAAATGACTTATTTGGAGTGTTGTATCAAAGAATCATTACGACTCTATCCACCTGTGCCCTTCATCAGCAGGAAAATTACTGAACCGACAACACTAAGTTGGTTTGATTGTCATTAATATTATTATGATATAGTGTCGCTAATTTGTATTCTACAAGAATAAATAGTGAATCTAATTATTACTTTACTAAAAATATGTATAATATCATGTTAAAATAAAAAAAATATAACAAAAAATCTGTACTCTTTGGTACATCAAAGTTTAAAATTCACAGGCAACTACACTATCCCTGCCGGAACTACATGTCATATTCATATATTCGACTTGCATCGTCAAGAAAGTGTTTATAAAAATGCCTTGAAATTTGATCCTGACCGATTCTTAAAGGAAAACTCAATGGGAAGACATACTTATGCATATATACCATTTAGTGCAGGCCCTAGAAATTGTATCGGTAAATTTAAGTTCGATTAATTTTTAACTTTTTGAAATTGTGTTTTGTTGTTTTGCTATAGTTCTTTTACTTTACTTTCAGGTCAGAAATTTGCAATGATGGAATTGAAATCAGCTGTCTCCGCCATATTAAGAAATTTCAAATTGGTTCCCGTCACTACACCAGATGATCTTTGTTTTATATCAGACATAATACTTCGAAATCATGGACCGGTGTATGTTAAATTTATAAAAAGAAATAGAAATTGTTAAAAGAAAGTTTTTATGAAATTTATTTTATTCTTAATTAAATATTAATATAAAATATAATTTTTGAAGAAGTATGTAGAGTTTGTTTCAAAATCGTATCTTTTTAGTCGTGCTTCATTTATGTTTTTAAAATTGATATAATTTTTCATACAACTTCGTAGTCAGTCCCATAAAGACCAGGTCGGATATATTCCTAAACGACATGTTGAGTTGGGTTAAATAGTTCATTTATGGTTTAGTTTATACATATAAGAAACACCCATCGACATGAAATGCTTAGTCTTAGTTCATTATGCATTTGAATAACGAGAATATTTTTAAAAATCTCAAAACTAAGTGTTAAAGTGTCATAAGGCTTTTGTTTAAAGAACATTTATCCCCGGCAAAAAGTAAAAGAATGATTGGATGACGTGTTTATAACTGCCCTTCCTATAGCACAGTGAAAACTTGAGAGAAAGAGTAAAATCTCTGCAGAGAAGCCGTCGAAAACATTGGACCCGATGGTCGACCTATGGAGGTGCTTGCTCCCAAAATGATTGCCCTTATCATTGAGGAGGTTCCTTTTGACAGCCGTTTGAATATTAGAGAAATTACAACTAGGCTTGCGCTCTCTAAAACTACCGCTCATTATGCGATGCCTGAACTTTTTCACATGAAAAAGTGGGTACAAGATGAGTACAGAAACCTTTTTTAGCCTTACAGAGACAGGAAAGAGTTCTCTACGGATCGGAGTTTTTTGGATCTCTGTGGTCAAAATTCAAAGACTGATCAAGCGGCTAGTGAATAGTGAAAATGATCCAAAAAGTTAGCGTGTGTCAAATGAATGGCCTTATAAGCGGGAGAAGCCCTTTAGAAAACCAAAGGTGAATGGAAAATTATGCTTCATTTGGAAGTACTTTTTTGTATTACTTTGTTATAATAAGCATATTTTCTTTTTTCTACGTGCCATGGCCGCTGAAAAACAACGTTTCTATAATTTTATGCACATTTTGCAATTTTCATTGCATTTATAGCAGTTACCTGTTTACGCCAAAAAGCAATAGAGACTTGTTAACATTTTGCTATTCTTTTAAAAATATTATGTTCAAATGATTTTCACTTAAACTTTATATTATCTAGGCGGCCACTTTTTGAAAACAAAATGCGGGATTTTAACCTTTCGTGAATAAAGGGGGGGGGGGGGGATGTAGGGATTGGGAATGTCAAAAATCTTCGCAACTGCCCATATTAAATTTAAGTACTCTCTTATGTTTCATGTTTCAGAAGAAAAGAAGAAACGAGATTCGTTGCGAAACGCTTGTCCCTAGTATAGGTAATCAACTCCCCTGCACTGTTGAAATTTGGTATGGGTGTTGTTAGAAGTTTGGTAGAAAAATTATGCGGGACATTTGGACGCATACACGTTTTACTACTTTACTAATAATTTCAAAGCGGGATTTCGTCTAGAATTGAGGGACGGTCCCACAGAATGCGGGACGGTTGGCCGCCTTAATATTATCAACTAGCTTAAATTAAATTAAGTCTTATTTATTTTTTGGTGTTTACCTTTAAGCCATAAATCTCCGTGTTCTGAAGTGCGACAGAATGATTGACATATTAGTTAGTTGTCAAATCTAATGTCAAAAAAGAGTTTGTATGGGAAATAAAAAAGCGCTGTTTTAGGGTTTTCCCGGAAATTAATAAAAAAAATTCAGCTTTTAAACCTTTCGTGAACCTCCACAAACATTTCAAGACTATGATAAGATAAATCCGTTCAGTCTTTCTCGAGTTTATTTTTTATATATAGATATAGATATATAGATTAGCTTAACAGAAGTTTGAATTGTCCCAATACGTAAACACTTACCGTTTATATAAACAATAGTAAACAATAACTGTCATTGATGACTCGAACTCAGAGGAAGCACGCTGGTGACCAGAGTTTTATATAATGTATAAATGAAATAATTCGTTAGAAATGTATTATTGTAAGATATTAAAAACTTATAATATTAAACAAACGTGAAATACAAGTTAGACATTTGGAGTAGATTATTTTGATAGAATTACTGTAATTTCTTTATATTTTTATAATGGAATAGAGAACATATTAACGTTAGATTATATGAACAACTTATGTGTACCTCCTTGAATTTAATTTGATAATTAAACTACATGTTATTATCTTGTTTTTTCCACTTATTATTCACTTATGCCATACCTTGCTATCATTTTAAACCTTTAATAGACGTGATATCTATGCAATATAAAGTTGTAAAGAAATCTTTTAATAACAAATATTTTTTATTCTTAAACTTACTATGAATATAATAGCATTAAAGTATTTTAATCAAAGGTTTTCGTCTACTGTATATAGTATTAAAGTAATGAGATCTAAGATTTTCGCGAGTACTCATCTAGTATTAAAGTATTTTAATCAAACGTTTTCGTATTAAGTGTGATAACAAAATATGCAGCAGACCTCATGATGACTATGTGATGAAACAGTCATCTTTCTATAAGTACTTCCAAATTACGCTTTCTGTTCTTGAACAACACCTTTTGTATGTCCTGTGATATGCGTTAAAATCGTTGGCAAGTAAAAATCTGCCTCAGATCTATTTTATGGATGTAAATGTATGAAGTATGAAGGTAAATGTATGAATATTTGTTAAAAAAATATATTTTATTGACACTTTACAATAACTTTGGTATCACAATAAGATAACTTCGGCCACACGGAAGTCCAAACAGATCAAGTCGCGGGAAATTTCCTATTCCAGTATGATACCTAGTGTCTTGTCATAAACATTGTTTGCATAAATTATGACGAAAATAAATCTTAAATAATTTATTATGACATACATCTAATTACATACTTACTAATATATAGTTAATTCTAGAATTACAAGAGGTTAGTGTTGAGGCAATTTTTTTTAAAGATTTTTATTAATTAGAGGCTGTTTTTTTTCTTTTTTCTAAATTGTAGAATGAAAAAAAATCTTAGTAGCTAATTAACGTTTGAGCATTGGTGGAATAGTCCTGTAGCCGTGACATAGATGACCCGAAAACAAAATGAATAAAAAAAATTCGTTAGAGGTTGTGAATTTTTATATTTTTATTTATATACATACCTTCATTATCAGCTGGTGCTAAACAAAATCGAAAAAACAAGCAGTTCTTAAAATATTTTGTTGATTTTATATAGTAGTAAAATGCCTTTTAATTGTTATAAAAAAAATTAATTACATTGAAACCGACACTGCGATAACTTTTGCATATGAATAATAAAAGATAACATTTTATATGAAGCTGCATTAATTACAAAAACATTCAACATGTCTATAAATAGATTTCACATGAGTTCATTGTAATTCTCTTGGTAAAATAATAAAAAATAATAATCACCAAAAGTTTTTGTTGGACCGACGCGCGTACGAATCTCATAAATATATTAATAACAGTTCTGTACAAGTAATATTTATAATGTAGTATATTGATTTTATGTCAGTCTGAGATTAGGAGTCGTGAAAGCATTCTGGTTTAGTGTATAGTGTTTACGATGCTTACAATAATTTTAATAATTGTGCTGTTCCTTTGTTTAATTCATTTATCAATAAATTACAATAGGACTGCAAGATTAATGAGAAAAATTCCAGGGCCCAAAGAAACATTTATTTTCGGACATGCTCTTAAGATTATGGTGTCGCCAGGTCTGTTTGTTTTTTGTTCTGATTAAAATTTTTCTTTTGATTAATTGTTAACGATAATTTTCTTTCTTTCTTTTTCTTTATATCTTTTTATTGCAAGTCTAAATAATGATAAGTTTCTTATAAATTTCTAGTGGAACTATTTGCTTTGGGTCGACAGTGGACTGCAACATTCAAGGGTATATTTAGGTTCTATGCATTCCCTGTGGCTTCAGTTAATATATACAATCCAGAAGACGTAGAGGTAATATATTTGCAGCTTATATAAGTACAATACAAATATATAAAACTATAAAGACTTACACTACATACTACTTTTTAAACTGTGGTATTTCGCTAATTCCTCGAAATTGTTAGACAAAAAGTATAATTCTCGTACGTACCCATAAATTTACAAAATTTGTTACTCTGTAAAAGGATATCGTATAGATAAGTAAGTCATAATATTGATACTAAAAACTGACTTTATCACTTTCAATTTGAGTCAAAGAGTGATTGATTTCAAATAACTGATAATTAATTTATCCTGGTCATAGTCTGTTTATATTCTTCTGATGAGGTGTTGTAGACAACTAACTATGATAACCTTCACCTATTGACTGCATCTATTTTGAGCTAAATCACATGTTATATCAACAATAAATTTATGAACTTAGTCAAATTATTTTAATTAAAATTTTCAAAAATTATTTGTCTTGTCTTACAAAACTAAAAAAAAACATATTTACTTTGTATTTAAATAAAACAACAAAAAATATATATACTGAAAATCATTGCAATAATTAGATAGTTATAAACTCAGAAATACATATAGAAAAAAATTAAAAGCATAAAGTTATTACCCAAATGTGGCGTTTTAAACGTCGATATCAATATTCTGTTTTTTTTTTTTTTTTTTATATTTCCTGGTACATACTAGTCATTTCCTGAGAATTCATTGATAGAAATAACATTTATTCTTAACAAATTCATTATTAAATAACAATTCACTTTTTTAGCGTGTAATGCTATAGTTACCGTTGCTTATTTTTCGATAATCAATAATAGGTAGACACGACAACGAGGCTCTACTTACTCATGGTAACGAATATAATATTGATCTTGCCAATTCCAGGCGTTTAAAATTATAATCACTAGTATATCACCAAAATAGCAAATACTTATAACAATTAACATTACTTCGCGAAATATAAGGACATATGTATATGTATACATATGTATGTACGTATGTTTCTTCTACCTACTTTGTGTTATTTTAACGACTTCTTTAATTAAATACACTTTAAACGTTATAAAGAACACAAACTTAATATTATCTAAAATATTTTTTCTAATATAATAAGCTCAGTTATTCTAAATAAATGGTTCTCAAATGCGAATCATATTCGTGTAAATAATATTTAAAAAAAAATATTTACTTGAAACAAAACGCAATAAATAATGCTTCTCACTATGATTCTCACTTTCAAATACTTTGTTCTATGATTAGATAAACAGAATCAAACACTTCAGTAACCTAGATCTGATAGGAGATATAATAGTAAGTCATAAATAAATGTTAAGTTGGTTAAGTTGTTTCATTTTTAATTAAAGAAATCTTTAAACAATATATAAACTCGCCACTAAGCAATATATAAACTTAAACAATATATAAACTAAAAAATCGCCATCAAATCTGATCACAAAGGTATATTTTGTTTGGAATATTTTTTATTATAACTTTAATTTTAAAATGTTTTGCATAACGTGCGATAAATTTCAAATATTTAATTTAAGGTGATGAATATCCTTAATAATTTCTCACAAAGATATTTGAAATCAGACTCAATTGCTGATCATTACTTTGGGGAAAAAATGATAAAATGTCATTAGGTTCTTTTATGCTTTAAATAAAAAAATAAAAAAACTTTAATATCATCTTACATGATATCCACAAAATTCCACAACACCTGTGAGATGGTGTATTAGGCGCATTTTTTACAGGGTCTCTTCTGTAAACCTATTCTACTTACTATCATAACAATTTTAGTATAATTTAAGGCAACAATATCCTTCAAGTTCTAGATATTACTTTATTGTTGTTATTGATAATTGAGTTCACTATTATTTAGTATGATACTTGTAAAGAGACACAGATGTATACTATGTATTATATACCTTATGTAACTGATATGTATATATTAGGCTTATACACAGTGTCGGCCGGTGGGTTATCGAACTGGTGGTGCACTTTACTAAAATATTAAAATTAGAAAATGCAACAAAACAACAGTTGATATAAAATATGTTTATTTTTTATACATTAATTATTAATGCAACGACATTTTTCCAAAGCGAAATGTTCAATCACCTATTTATTAAAATCGGATATTGTTTGTATATTTTTTAAATTCAATAAGTACTAAGCACAGAAAGTGCATTTAGCAAGTGCAAGGTATTTCGGAGAAAAGTTTTGATTCTTTTCAATACCAATCCGTCATACATCGGGTGCTCTCGGTAATCTTCGGCCGCTCGTGTGGAGATATTAGTTTAGTAAAGCGCTCAAACTCTTTGACCATAATTGGAAATTTAATTTTTTATAAGTTTTTGTATGTTTAAAAAATAAATATTAAAATGGTAATTTAAAAATAAAGATTAAGTAATATTTTGTATTTTTTAAAACTTTTGAATTGGTGGTTCAGCGCACGAGTGCACTTAAGGTACAGCCGCCACTGCTTATACATATGTGCATAGCATGCATGATGTGAGTCTCAGAACCGCGATATCTTACTAATGGTAACTCTTAGAAAAGTAATAATAAGGACCATTTTTATTAACAGTTTTAAAATCTTCAGGGATTGTTTGATATTTGATAAAACTACCATTTTCGAGAAAAACCCAAAAAAACCTCAAATTTAGACCATGAACTCCAAATAACTTTTGAAACACACGTGTGATCGATAGGGATTTTTAGAACTTTATTTGTAAAACCTCTCTCCAGCAATATATGGTTTTTAGGAAATTTTTGTTTTTTGACCACTCTCATTACGTTTAAATTGACGAAATAATTAACATTTCCTTGAAACATACATCACTGTATATAATAGTAATAAAAAAAAAAAAAATTTCAACTTTATCGTATTCCTTTTACTTATTTATATTTCCTAGCATAAAACTAAAAAAAGATTCACAAGTTGAATAATATAAAAATTTATACAATAATTATTTTGTCTGGTCGTTTTTTGTTTATGATATCCAAATGTAAATGAGTCGCTTAATGATTCTACGCAGAATTAGCACGTACATGTTAAATACATTTATTTGTAGCGAGTAGATATAATAGAAAACTACTAGATGGAAATAGAAATTTATTAAGAAGTTTGGTTAAAATTATGAGTATTTAATATATGGTTTCAGATAATTACTTCTAATATGAAATATCATGAGAAAAGCATCATTTACAAGTTCTTGAAACCGTGGCTTAAGGAGGGGTTACTGATCAGCAATGGTATATTTTTTTAAGATTTTACTTTCAATATTTTATTTTATTTAATGTTGATTGTTTAATTATAAGTATAACGATTTTTTTATATATATTTTAGGTACCAAATGGCAGCACCGGAGAAAAGTTTTAACTTCAGCATTTCATTTTGACGTGCTGAAAAAATATTTCGATTCTATAGATGGAAATAGTCAAAGACTTGTAGGAGTCCTACGACAATCTGACGGTCAATCTGTAGATGTTGTGCCAATATTGTCAGAATATACACTCAATACTATTTGTGGTAAATGTTGTACCTACTTAGTCAGTAAGAAATAAAAACATATGAATATGTTTCTAATATCGATCCTTTTCATTAGAGTCAGCAATGGGCACTGCTTTGAGTGACGAAACCACTGGTGAAGGAAAAATGTATAAAAATTCTATTTATCAGATGGGACATATACTATTTCAAAGATTCACTAACATTTACCTTCATCCTGATTTTATTTATAAGCTATGTCTTCTGGGAAGAAAGCAAAAAGAACATTTGTCAGTTATTCATAATTTTACTAACAATGTTATCAAGAATAGAAGAAAACTACTTGAGATTGATAATATATCCGATACGAAAGTTGCCCAAGCAGATGGTACTAATATTTTTAAAAAGAAGAAAGCTGCCATGTTGGATTTATTACTTCTAGCTGAAAAAGAGAATTTGATAGATGGTGATGGAATACAAGAAGAAGTTGACACTTTTATGTTTGAAGTATGTATTTTTTTGGTTCCTTGTTAGTTTTTAGGAATATAAAATGACATCAGCCTATCAGAGCCCACTGCTGAACAAAGTCCTCTTGGCCACATGGAAAAAGTTTGAGCATTAATCACCACGCTTGTTCAAGACGGTCTTGTGATTTCAAACTTATAATTGTGAAATTATAAGTCCAGGTTTCCTCACGATGTTTTCCTTCACCGTATGTCAGTGGTGTCTAAATACTCACAGAAAGTACATATGACTCCGAAAAAAAATATATATAAAATGGTACCAAATAAATGTGCAATGATTATCCGTTTTCTTTCAGGGTCATGACACTACTCAAGCTGCGTTGACTTATTGTTTGCTGTCTTTGGCCAACGAGGAATTGGTGCAGGTAAAAATACATAAAAAAAAAACCGAATAGTAAGAAGAGTACATTTGCATAAATTTTTTTCAATACCCTATATGAAAATATCACTTTACTAAACAGCAATATCTTATAAATACTACTGTTTCTTTACTCTTTGGTAGTGAATTCTTCTGATCTTAAATGTGATTATTATTTCAGCAAAAGGCGTATGCTGAACAAGAGAGTATATTTGCTAACGACGACCGTCCCGCAACCCTTAACGACCTATCAGAAATGACGTATTTGGAATGTTGTATCAAAGAATCATTACGACTCTATCCACCTGTGCCGTTCATCAGCAGGAAAATTACTGAACCGACAACACTGAGTTGGTTTGATTGTCTTTAATATTATGATGATATATTATAAGTATCATAATTTATGAATGAATCTAATTATTACTTTACTAAAAATATGTATAATATCATGTTAAAATAAAAAATATGATAAAAAATCTATACTCGTTGGTACATCAATGTAGAAGTAAAATAAATATACCATTAATAATAAAGTTCAAAATTCACAGGCAACTACACCATACCAGCTGGAACTTCGTGCCACATCCATATATATGATTTGCATCGTCAAGAAAGTATCTATAAGAATGCACTAAAATTCGATCCCGACCGATTCTTAAAAGAAAATTCAGTCGGCAGACATACTTATGCATACATACCATTTAGTGCAGGCCCCAGAAATTGTATCGGTAAATTTGAACTTTGATTCATTTAATTTTTTGAAAACGTCTTCTGTTGAGATATAAGACTTTTGCGAGTATTTTTTTAAATGAAAGCTCATTTTATTCGGATTATACGCCTGTTTTACTCTTTTAAAAAAACTGAATACTCCCGACCTTTCGGTTACTTTTCAACAATCGTGATCACGGCCAGGCGAAATGTGAATGTTTGTTTTTGTTACTTTTGTCTTCTTTTGTTTTGTTGTAGTACTGTTACTTTACTTTCAGGTCAGAAATTCGCAATGATGGAAATGAAATCAGCTCTCTCCGCTGTATTAAGAAACTTCAAATTGGTTCCCGTCACTACACCAGATGATCTTTGCTTTATGTCCGACTTAGTACTCAGAAATCATGCACCAGTGTATGTTAAATTTATAAAGAGGAACAAATAATGCTAATAAATTATTCTAGGGTAATTTTTATTTAATATTGTAGAAAAATAATAATTCTTTCTACTCAAATTGTTAGAGGATTTGACTGAAATACAATAGTAGTATTTTTCATAATCATCATACAAAATCTAAATATGGGACGCTGTCGGAGTACGTCTTGGCACTAATAGTTGCGTATTTATAAGTGACATACGGGAATATTAGTTCAGTGTTGGCCGTGATATCGTTCCACAGATTTGCAACTGTTCTTTTTTTACTATTTCAATATTAAAACTTTGGTTTTGGGATCGCATGCGTCTTTTACCGAAGTGCAGTTTCGAAGAATTCGTGATGGAATCTGGAAATGAATTTGAGGTACAAGGTCCAGTTAGTTAATTTATGATTTTGTAATAATAAGACTAATGAAAAAGATGAGCTCTGAATTGAAATATATAAAGGTCACAATATTTTTAATAAAAATATTTTTTTATTACTACTTGCTCATTCCGTTTATTATTGTTTTCTTAAATTTTGTAATATGTATAAGAAGAAAACTGTAATATATATGTAATGTGTAATGTACATACTGGATGAAGGTGTTTTTATATTTTTGTTTCGTAATGACAGATTTCTGGGGTTGCAAAAAGATAAATCTTTGACATTGATACAAAATTTTGCACGCTTTGGACACTACTGTTGAAATAGGATTGATTATAGTTATACATATATCATATTTCTGAAATAAAAATAATTCCCAAAATTAATTTTTTTGTACTGTGTAAATAAATAAATACAATAAAATTCACGGGGATTAGTTTTAGTGTCTCAAACAACGAAAACATTAGTTAATTTTATTAGTTATAATTATAATCTAATTTATTTTTGCTGCTCCTTCATTTATTAGCGTTTTTGTTTTACGAATATTTTTGCTAACATATGGTGCTCAACTACCTAAAACAACGTCAGGAGTTGTTGAGAGTTTTGTCATTCCTCGAGAGTTATATCTAAACTACAAGATTGATTAGATGTCATAAAAAAACTATTTTATCTATGAATTTAATGCAGATTTTTAGTTCAAATTTGTATATCTGATATCGAAATATTATATTATTGCTTATTGCCTTTATGGAAGTAAACTTAATTTTCTGTACATTTTTGACAAAACGAAGTTTGTTTTGATTACGACATTGGGTTTGATGACAAGCTTTGCAAACACTAAAAGCCAGAAACTGCCCTAAAATCAAACAAAAGTCCCTTTGTATATATTTTCACAAGTTATGTATTTTAAAAACTAGTATTTTTATTAGATAGTTCAGATCATAACTTAATAAATTTGATGTGACTTAATGATTTTTCCGACGTACTTTCTAAGAGTAATGTTGATTCCCAAAAAAAGGGTTGATGTCAGGCAGGCGGCCGGTCGTAAAAACAAATCTTTTATTTAAACTACTTTTAAGGTTTTTGAGAAATATAATGTATAAATGGTTTTAAAGAAATATAATTTATAATAAAATGTTATCAGAATGATGTTTGTACTTAAAACCTACAAAAATGTGTCACTATTCCTTCTCAGATAATGTGAAAAATCATGCAATTTGCAAAATTTTTAGAATATTAAAATTATAGTGATTATATATATTATGTAATTTCCATTTATTATTATTTGATTTTAATTTTGGATTTTTTTAGGAATTAAATAATAAAAGAAAAATGTAAGCTACGGCTACGAATAAATAACATTCTGAAATATTTTTTGAATGAATTTACTCATTGAGAAAGATAACGTAAGTGCTATAAAGTAATCAGTGAATGAAACAATTTAGTGAAAATTCTCTTAAAAAATATCTTTTTGAAGTATGGAAAATTCTGCGTTATACATATTTATTTAAAAATATGTGAATATGTTACGAATATAGAAGCAATTTCTTTAGGTTATTGTGTCATTCAAACTAATATACACAAATTATACACACATCTTTATCATTATATGCAGTCCCTAATATCTTAGTTGATAAGATAAAAACTGATACTAATGTTGCATGACGTAGTAAGACGCTGAGATTTATAGTAAAAAGTTACATTTAAAAAATGTATCATATGTTTAATATTAGAATTTAGAAAGTAGGATACAAGTTGGTAAAAATTTTTAGACGTACCTACCTACAATACCCTCTAAATATAACATTATTTGACATAAAACATTCCTCACATTCATTCCGTCCATTCCACTCTCTAATAACAAAGATATAAATTATAAATAAATGTCATTCACGATCAAACGAAAAGAAAACCCAGTCAGAATTAAATTATTCAATATTTGATTTTCTTGTAAAAATGCGTCACAGTCGAGGTAAATAATGTTAGCTGATAAATCTGAATCGTTAAAACGAGGGGCCGTAGCGTCAGTTGGCGCTTGCGCGTACACGGTAGCCGTGAAACGAGTGGTTTTTCATTCTATATCGCCGTCCGCCGGTATGAACAGCCGTCAATTCCGTCGACTAGCTACCAGCCAACTCTTAAAACAGACAACATGTATCTGCTTCCGAAGATATAGTCAAGTGAGACCCGTCTATGTTATAGAACGACCTGTGAGTGTCCTTGCTTCTTGTTACGTCTATAACGGGTGTCTGCTAGCCGGTGTCTGTCAACATTTTCGGTATAGTCCGTAATTTTGAGATTAACATATTAATTCATATTTTTCAGAAATGGCGAAACTCCGCACCAAGCTTCTATGCCGCACAGTCGATTGATATGCGGTAAGGAAAAATTTCAGTCTATTTTTAGTTGCAAGTTGATATTCGTTTTAGTGATTTGAGACACTTTATTGAAAATCAATTGATCTTAATATAACGTATCAAGTTCTATTGATCTGTTATGTAGTCTGGAAGTAATAATTTATAACAGGCGCCGCGCACAGGTCCTTATTCAATTCACCCTTGACATTTAAAGTACAATACTTATAATTTTGTAACACTTCTAAAAGAAGTAATGTCTATATGTATATCTGTAGGGTTAGATCAGACATTGTAGAATGAATTTCTAATTTAAAATTGTGTTTCATGGTGCAGACACTACTCTTTCGTACACAACCTAGATCCAACGTGAGTACAACGGGTTGCATGCTTTTACTTGTTAATTAGAGTTAAAAAGTAGTTTTTATTCTTTTTTCACTTTGCCTCAACGCATGGCAATAAGATGTAACTCTGGTTTTATATTCAGAGAATATTCAAAATCAAATGAGAGTTAGTGTGCTAAATTGGCTTTTTTTTTCAACGCTTTTTCAGTCGAGCTGTTGTGGTAGTGCTATTTCCTGAAACACTTCTTTTTATTTAGAAGAACATCTTTCTTTTTATTTAGAATTTGTTTTGTTTTTCCTATACACATATTAGTAATGAAACATTCCACTACATCCTTGATTTATTCTATTTTGGACGCTATACAAATATATAACAGTCAGGTGATTGTTGACATATTTTTCGGCTGGTCGCCTACGTTGCAGACACACCCGCCTGACGCCAAAATATACACAGGTTTAAAATTAGACTATGACGAAAACCTTTTGTAACTTATAAGTTGGTACGTGTAGTACTTGTGACTAATTTATCATATCTTATTCAACACCTACGCGATAATCAACTCAATAAATAAATCTCCGTGATATCAGTGCATGACGACAAATATTTTACCTACAAGATTGAATGTATATATAAAACAATAACGTATACAACGTGACCTAAATATTATATAGGTAAAATCTAAATATTATAATAAATTTTTTTACAGAGTTCGTGAAGGATCTCATAAAAATGCTGATGATGTTTTATTTGACATGTTTAAAAATGAAGAAACAGGATTATTGCCCGTTGGAAAATTTTTGGCCGTAAGCTTAGATCTATAATCTTATATCTTATTAATAACAATGATTATATTTAATATTTACCCGAAACTTTGAGAAACTTAATTTTTTTGCATTAAATTTTCGATTTCATAAAAAAATTATAATCAATTTAAAATTAAAGTGGCTTGCTTTTACAATAATTGTTTTAAAAATTAAATGTAAATTATCCTTAAATATATAATGGTCTTTACTTTTTTCAGGCCTTGAGGACTACTGGAATTAAGAAAAATGATCCTCGGGTTAAAGAGGTCATGCACAATTTATACAAAGTTCACAAGGAATCAAATCTCGAAGGAGGATCTCCCGAGACGCTGAAGTTAGACAGAAAAAACTTTAAAGAAGTCATAGCTCCAAATATTGTGTTAATCACGAAAGCATTCCGTAGTCAGTTTGTGATTCCCGATTTTCAAGATTTCATTAAAGACATTGAAGAAATGTATTGGTCAGCTAAGAGTAATACAGATGGGAAAGTAGCTAGTTATATCCCTCAATTAGCCCGTGCGAGCAGTGAAAGCTGGGGTGTTAGTATTTGTACGATCGATGGACAGAGATTTTCGATTGGTAAGTTGAAGTTAGTACATATTTGAATATTTTAATTACTAGTAAACCTGGCGAACTCCGTTTCGCCACCAGAAGGCTTTTATATAACATTTCGTTCGGTGATTAAAAGATGAAGAATTTGTTTTTTGTTTTATATTTGAAAAGGAAAATTTTTATTTCATTTCACAACAGTAATGAATTCATTTCGATTCCAAAAATGAAGTGTTATTTAGTTGAACTTCTCTAAGTAAATGAAAGTGAATCCAAAGTATCCAAAGTATAATTATCCGTTTCATTGAACTGCTCCTTTGTAAACCACATTTTTTTGTTTTTGGTCTAACGTTAACACAAATAAAGCGCATGGTTTCCCAACACACACAAACTGTAACTGCCCATGTGAAAAACAATGATTTTCTAAATTTATCCCGCAAATACTAAATTACATATCTGTCATTATACGTCAATTGCATAGCTGTCAATTGTATTTCGTTATTCCACGTTTTATAGTGACTGACGTTTCATGTCAAGTCACACGGGAATGTTGTTGAACGGGATAAAAAGGATCCTATTGCAATTTACTGGCTCTAAACTACCTCCCCGCCAATTTTCAGCGAAATCGGTTCAGCCGTTCTTGAGTTATAAGTGAAGTCACTAACACGACTTTCTTTTACATATATAGATTACATACAAATGAGCTTGCTATATTCTTTCGTGATTTTTCAGGTGACGTCAACGTTCCATTCACTCTACAGTCATGCAGCAAGCCCTTAACATATGCGATGGCGCTAGAAACTCTGGGCCCTGACGTGGTACATAAGTACGTCGGCACAGAGCCAAGCGGCCGCAACTTCAATGAACTCGTCTTAGATTATAATAGTATGTATTGCACGATCCGCAAATAGATTCAATAATGGCCTAAACACGTTTGTTTATGTCCATACTCCATACTGAAATAGCCAGCAGCAAACAAACAACAGTCGCTAATGTTTATTACAAATTTATCCAAACATATTACGCAGTTTTTGTTGATAGTATTATTGCAATTACAATATAGGAAAGTAGTGCATCAAGGAATTTAACTTTATTATTTTAATTTACAGTGAAACCTCATAATCCTATGATAAATGCCGGAGCTATTTTGGTTTGCTCGTTACTGAAAAGCTTGGATAAGCCAGAAATGACTCTAGCTGAAAAATTCGACTACGTTATGTCATTCTTTAGTCGTCTAGCTGGCAATGAAGTTTTGGGTTTTAATAATGCCGTATTTTTATCTGAGCGCGAGGCCGCAGACAGAAATTATGCGTTAGGATTTTATATGCGTGAACACAAATGCTATCCTGAAAAGACAAACTTACGTGAATGTATGGATTTCTATTTCCAGGTAAAAAAAAACATTTGTTTATTATGTAATCTGTTCAAAACTTTTGAATTCCTTTTTTTTTATATCACAACAAAATATTTCAGTGTTGCTCAATGGAAGCTAATTGCGATATAATGTCCATAATGGCTGCCACTTTGGCAAATGGTGGAATATGCCCTATCACGGATGAAAAAGTCCTACGACCTGATTCTGTTCGAAACGTATTATCGTTAATGCATAGCTGTGGAATGTATGATTACTCAGGGCAATTCGCCTTTAAAGTAGGTCTCCCTGCTAAATCTGGTGTTTCTGGAGCAATGCTCATTGTCGTTCCTAATGTTATGGGCATATGCACCTGGTCTCCTCCTCTTGATCCACTTGGGAACAGCTGCAGAGGTCTTCAGTTTTGTGATGTATGTTATATTCACTTATTTCTTTTTACACGTCTAAACATAGGACTAAAAGTTTGCATATTTTTTGAAATAGATAAATTAATATTTACTTCTTTTATTTTAACTATATTTTTATGGTATATTGACGAATTGCATTATCATATTTCAGGAATTAATCGCAAGATTTAACTTCCATAAATACGATAACATCCGATACGCAAGTCACAAGAAAGATCCTCGTCGTTACAAATTTGAGTCCACGGGACTCAGCATCGTCAATCTCTTGTTCTCAGCTGCTAGTGGGGATATAAGCGCCTTAAGAAGGTAAACAAAATAAATCATATTTTTGCTAACAAACATTTTAACAAACATATCAAGATATTAAATATTCAAACAATAAATATATATCTTGTATATTTGTCAGCGAGGCACAAGATTCATCAACAAATGAGTCTCAACATCTGACTACGGAAAACCCATCCACCAAAGAATAGTTTTTATTGAACAAGTAAAACAACGTGCTTAAATTGAAAGTGTTAGCTGTAAAGACGCCTCTTTATGTTAATCACATTATATAATTAGAGAATTAGTAGTACTACAGTTCATTTCATAAAAACTGAATCCCTCTTATAAACGTTCACTCATACTAATTAGGCTACACGATAAAATTATGTTGCAGCTGCTTAGTAAATAGAGATGCTTTTGGTATAACATTTAATATTCTGTTATTTAAATTGTTTTTACGTTTAAGGCATCATCTGTCTGGTATGGATATGAATCTCTCTGACTACGACGGTCGCACGGCTCTTCATTTAGCGGCAGCTGAGGGTCACTTGGCTTGCGTGGACTTCCTCCTCGCTCAGTGTAATGTACCTCACGATCCTCAGGACCGATGGGGAAGTCGACCGCTCAATGAAGCCGAGACCTTCGGCCATGATGCTGTGGTACAATATTTGAAGGAATGGGAGAAAACGCATCCCGCCACCCAAAAAGAGGAAACCCCACAAACCGTTGATGAGATCCTCGAAAGGAACAAAAGGGAGGCAGATGAAGCTTTGAAAGATCCAAGTATCCAGGAAATAGTTACTAGAAATGGAGATAAAGTACAGTAAATTATATTTTGTCGCCATTTCAGTATTATTATCTTTGATGGGGCAATATGTATTTAAATACGACATTCTTAAAATATAATATTAAGCGTTAAATATTTATAACAAACTTAGATCCTTTATCAGTAGATAGAAACCAAAGTAAATGTGTTATGATGTAATTTGATGGTACACGTATTATGACAATATGTAGTTTGAAATGTGTAACGTTTTACTTATTTAAAATTTGAAGCTTCTCAAGCAATATTGTATGAAGAATCTCTAATATGATATTCTCATATTAAAATTCATATGTTATATTTTGTCAGTTTCATTCTTAAGTTAATATTTTTCGAATCTCAAGTTAAACTCTTGTATGACTATAACATAAAGCTAATTTTAATTTATTCGAGAGGCTGTGATTTGTTATCTACTTATTCATTACTATAACAGATATAAAAATAAAATTGTTGTCTGTCATCACAAAAAATCTGTTACCAAAAGTACTGACAAACTTTACAATATATTTATTCTATAACTCTTATACGTTTATTTATTTCTTTCTTTTTTCTGGTTTTATTTCAATTTATTGCTGCATGTCCTGAATTTTTTTTAACATTCCAATCTGTCAATGTTACCATAAAAATTATGTTATGCCTCTATTAAAATAGATATATATTATATGTATATATTGACTGTTAACTTCCTTGACATGACAATAATAAACTTTTAGTATTTGTATTTTTCAAATATCCTAAGGCAAATAAATTGAATGGTTATATAGATGTGAATCAATAGAAAAAAATGTCCAATAAAAAATATGGAAAAATTGGTGTTATTTATTTTGTCTACCAAAATTTTATATTGTAAATTTGTCTGATCTATTTGTTCCTAATTATTTAGAGACAAGACCAAACTTCTTAGCATTCCATGGATTCACCGTGCGGGTGCCAGGTCCATTGCATTGCAGGAAGAAGAGCTTCTAGTGCATCGGTGTTGCAAACCAGATATAAGTTTAAGGAGGCCCCTATCTAATGTGTGTTAAAGTCTTTCTTTGCCTAGCCAATTTTCAAAAGAACTTTAATTAATAGCTATAACTGTATAAGTTCTATCATCTGCAAAAGTATTGTACACTTAATAGCATTCAATTCAACAAGGATATCACAGGTTTATGAAAGGGATTATATTGAAGGGTGCTGAATAGCAGTGACAAACTGTTTCACATGCTGTGGATATATAGGAACTTCAGTTCAGTATGTTACATTGACCACCTACCATTTATTGCAATTAACTAATATATTATTTGTCGAAATTAAGCTTTACTTCAAGAATATTTACTTATCACATTTTTATTACTTTTATTTAGTAGTAAAACTCATAACCACAGATTATACAAATTACATAATTTTTGCTTATTAATTTACCTATCATAATTTCTAAACAAATATTGACCTGTATAAATTAAAGTGGTATTAACACTCAGATACATCCTTGAATAATGAAATCATGTCACTGGATATTGATTCTTATTTTTAATACAATTTCATACATCACTTGAATTCAATTATTAATATACCATTTAAATTATTCTTAAAATATTTATTTATTACTAAAAACTATTCAACACTACAAGTATTTATATTTAATTGCTTTTATTTTCTGCTTCAGCTCTGACGGGGGAAGACACAATCCCTAATAGTTTACAATCTGCCTCTAAAAGTGTTAAATCTGTACTTGAACCAAGGAATCTTGATGATAATTCTAAATCTTTTATTTGTAATCTAACTCGAGCTCCTCTCACATATTCTTCGCCCCTCGTAGCAGGTCTCGTGCACACACAATGGAATTTCCAACCAAAATCTATGTACAAATCATCTTCGACTATGTGAAAGATTTTTCCTATAACAATTTTATTGACGGGATCACCAAGCTGTAAACAAATAATAACATTTTTAATAAGAATAAAAGTAAAAATATATGTTATATATTTGTATCTAAAAACTTACGTCAACTAGTTTTGAATTTCTGAGGAGTGACGCAAATGTTTGATTTTCCACGGGTTCCTGCTGCAGTATTTGGGCTTGTTTTTCAAAGGCCTTAGCAAATCCTCCCTTCGGAGTAGGATCTACATTTTCAGTGGGATTATTAGTCAAAGAAATAGAGCAACGACTGAAATTCCTTGGTTTTAAAACACTATAACGAATTAAGCCTCTGTATACATTTGAAATCATGACTGAAGACTTTTGTTTTGACGCTGTGTCTTAATTTATTTATATTTAATATACCAAATTAAATATATGTATTTCTTTACAAATATCTCTTAGATAACCTTAAATATCTAACCAATTAAAAATGACAAACGAGACTTCAAATATAAAATTATCAGTTGTCATTTGTCAATATTAAATAAATAAGGAAAGTATCTACTCAAATTGAATATTTTGTATAAGGTATTCAAAATAAATTTAAAATATGATAGTCTTACTATGATTTTTATTACTTATACTTTTGTAATATAATTGTTATGATATTACAAAACTTTTAGTTTTCAAGTTTTTTTCATAGTTTATAAAGAGATGAGAAAAGCTGATTGGTAGTATATTTAAGTATTATATAATATTTCACATGTAATAAATGTTTGTTTAGAATATAATTGTAAACAATTTGCATATGGGGTTGTCAACTGTCAAATAATCAACACGCATCACAGACGTCACAGCACACCACTGGTTCTAATAATGGAAAAGAATTAGGCAATCGGAGCCTAAAACACAACAATGACTGAGGACCGAGATGGTTAAAGATTCGCAAACGGATACAGGCAGTAAAACGTTCATAAATAAGAGTAAGGACAAAAAAGCTAAACCACATCGACCGCTGACAAAAGTGATTTGACATTCCTATTGTATTATTTTTGTAAAATGTATTAACGGTAACTGATACATTACAGTTTATTTATATTCTTTCAGATCATCCTTCGTCGGCTGCCACCAACGATGACAGAAGAAGCTTTTCTGGAACAAGTATCTCCTATTCCTGAACACGATCATTTTTACTTCGCCAAACCCGACAACTCTCTTGGAAACAATGTGTATTCAAGAGCCTATATCAATTTTGTGAATGTTGACGATATTTACCTATTTAGAGACAAATTTGATGGATACGTATTTCTAGACGAAAAAGGTACTATTTATATATATGTGGTAACAACTTTCTAACCATGATTTGTTTAAAATACCCGCATTAATTTTGTGAACAGGTGTTGAATATGTGGGCATTGTTGAATATGCGCCTTTTCAAAGGATCCCTAAGAAGAAAAAGAAGAAGGATCCAAAGTGTGGTACAATAGAAAGTGACCCAATATATCAGGAGTTTGTGGAGAATTTGAGTAAAGAACAAGAGACTGATAATCAGCCTAAGTTGGAATACTCTTACCCTGTCAATGATAGTAAGTTCTATAATATTAAATCTGTTTACAATACAAAAAATTTAGTCCAATTAGAATTATATTACTGTATTTTCAGTTATTATTTGTTTATATAAGATAAGCTAGAGATTAAAATAATATTAGTGATTACATTTTTTATATATATTATTTCCATCCTTAAGAAAATATTATGCCTTTATACTGTGTTGATTATTATTATTTAAGTGACCTTTTATTGTATTAGGACAGTTTTTTTTACTATAATAAAAACTTGTGTGAATGATGGCTTTGTCTAAAAACGAGAGAGTACTCAAATTATATATTAACATTTTATAATGATAAACACTAATATATTTCAGATAATGATAAAAAGAATCAGTCAACACCCTTATTAGAGTATCTTGCTGCTCGGAAGCAAGATAAGAGAGGACGAGATGAAAGACGGAGGAGGGAAAACGACAAACGTAAAATGAGAATTGAGAGAAAGACGAAAGATGCAACTATAAAGGTAAAGAAATATATTAGATTTAACGTCAATTAATATATAAGTAATGCTTTCAAAATTCAATCATTTCAAACTAATGTATATAGAGACAAGAAGATTTATCGGAAGACGACGGTTGTGATTACGATTATTATGACAATAGACAAAACTGTTGGTACGGGGAACAAAGAATATACCATAAAAGTAAAATTAAACATAATTATAATAATGATATTAAAACTCAAGGATCAGATGAAACTATCAACACTGATTCCGACTGGGATAGCCACTTCCCCGCTTTGATGAAAACTCATAACACATTCACTATAACATGTAATTTGACAAGCGATAAACGTTACCAGTGTGAAGCTAATAAGAAAAGCGCTGGCGACACATATTATAAGGTCCAATTTGAATTGAGATATAGGAGTACTATAGTACTTGTAGATGTTATAATTATTATTCTGGGGTAGTTAATTTAAATATTAGATGTGTACTATTTCTTATAGATTGTAGATAAAGTTTTTAATATATCAATCAGTTAATGAAGGTTCTTTCCAGGAAGAAGACTTTGTTGAGAATGATATAAGGAAAATCAAATCCAGGGAATGGGATAAAGAGAAAGCTGATACAAAAGAAGATCAAATTAAGTCCGATAAAGATGTGTTCGAATACAAAACTTACAGGGAACAGCGTAAAGCTGCCTCTACCAGCGTGATTGACAAGAAAAAGAAATTGGATGTAGACAAAAAAGATTACAGCAAAGATGACGAACAGTTGGATGATTATGATAAATATAAAAAAGAGAAACGCACTGAGAAAGTTAAAGAATCACCTCGCGAGACGAAAAGCAAGAAGTACAGTGACACTAGGAAGGAGAGATTAAAGCAGGCAGAATTGGGAAAGACGGAAAAACAAACAGCAATCAATAAAATCATATCGTCAGAAGGAAAAAGTAAATCGCTCAATCATGACGACATCAAACCTTTCACTCAGTTACCTCAAGTGAAAACCGATGATTTGACCAAGATCATAGAAGATATGGATCGAAAAGTTAAACTAGATGAAGCTGATTCTAAAGCTTTTGATAAAATTGATATGGAACCACAGGATGCGGTGGATGTTGCTATAATGAGACGCAACAGTCTAGAGTCAGGAGACATTTCAAGGAAGGACGAGTCTACATTGAAGAGACAGAAGTCTCTAGATGATAGAAGCAAATCTACAGACAGAGAAGGATCAGAAGAAAAAGAGAAGAGTGAGAGTGGAGATAGACGCACCGAGAGAAGAATAAGGAATAAGGTAGGAAATATCTTTGAATAAATACGCTAACAAATATATACATACTAGAAGACCCGGTGAACCTCGTATTGCCCTATAATATAGAAATATCTGTTACTTTTTTTTTATATTTTTGGAGTTTACCTATTAAAGCCATAAATCTCCGTGTTTTGAAGTGCGACAGAATGATTGACATATTATTTAGTTGTCAAGTCTAATGTCAAAAAAAGTTTGTATCTAATCTAATTAAAAATTAATTAAAAAACATTGTCCAGCGTGACAAAATTGTGAATCTAAACAATTCCCAGATCCCCTTGAACACACACAAAAACTTTCATCAAAATCGGTCCAAGTTCAGTGATATACACACTCACAGAAGAATTATATATATAAAGATTAAGGTCAGCAAAACAATCTTTAACATAATGTTTAATAAGGAATTGAAACCAATGACTATGGAAAATATTTAAAGTGATTCATTTGTTATGATATAACAGTGTTTATTTGTTTGTAGGACCGTCCGAGTCTAGTTATATACCAGCCTGGTATGGGAAAGTTCAGTAAACAGCGTCTGGCTAAAGAAAAGGATGTACCATCAACAAAGACAGTCTGCGATGAAAAGAGGGACACTTGAAACAACGATACACTACACCAAAGTACGGACAACATTCAACTGATGAACCATGAAGCTGATGAAATGTCTTCGGGCTTGTAGAAGTGGGAACTTGTGTCACTGACGGAAAGGACTCGTTCCCAAAATATATATACATATATATTTTTTTATAATTTACTCAAAAACAAATGCAGACAGGACTTTTTTTTGTATTCAATATTAAAATCATTGTAAAGCATCAAATGCTCTTTTAGCTTGTGACCGTTTAGTTTCAGTTTGTCTTATTTCGTTTAAATATAATTTGTTTTAAATGGGTCCGTTTATTTTATTTTGTTGATTCTTTTTTATAAAATATATTTCGTTTATTTTTATTAATAAATCTCTTGAATGAATAGATTTAAAAATATTTAACGATTTGTTACAGGAAAAAAATATTTTTTTAACTTTTAATAGCCATTTACTACGGTTGTTACTTTTTACGGATTATATATTTTTTTAAAGTATACCTACGAATGTTTTTTGGAAATTTTAAAACCAATCAAATGGTTGCATTGTATATATATATTTAAAATAAAAATATTAAGTCATGTATCTTGAATGGCATAAATTGATTGTAAACCAAGTTGTCTATGATCTCAGGTTCAAGACACAAAGACCATAGACAATTCTCTATTTATTTAAATTAAATTAGTAGAATGAAACTATACAGGGTGACTGGTGAATTACTATCGATACTTGAGGACGTGATATTTGACGATCATATATGACAAAATAAAAAATAATATAACATAAATATTAATAAACTTCTAAGTAAACTTAACCAAAAGTTATGTAATTAATTAAGCATCGTGTGAACACCCTACAGATTAGGTATACACACACACTCACACATACACGTGCGGCGGCGTAGTGTTGTATCATCACGCCGCCGCACACGTCCACACTTGGAACACTTGGAACGTGTCAACACTTTATTTATTTATACGGAAATTTGGTCAAAAATTAAGTACCTATTTTTTTACATAATTCGAATGAGAATCATGTACCGAGTATTCTCCTTAAATATTGATAGTAATTCACCAGTCACCCTGTATATATAAAAGCAAACTGGATGTTGTACAAGGCATATAAATAAGTGGCAATCAATAAATAAAACGTAGTATCCAAAGAGATTTAATCTGAATAATATTAGTTTTGTATCACAGTGCAATAGCTAGTTGATCTTTTTAAAAACATAATTATAATTGGTGGTGTTATTTTGCGCTGATAAAAAAAAAAAACAAATAAAATTAAACGTTATCTTTGGCAACATCGCTTATAAAATATATTATTGCGTATACATATATTGTCAAAGATTACAAAAGCACATTGTTTCCTTTTAAAGGCCCACAAAATTTTTAGATATTTTTATCATATAATGACTACTTACTTAAAAATAACGATGTAACTAAAAAATATAAAATAACGGAAATTATTGATTCATAAATCGTAATAACATTTTTTTCGGGAAAGTTTACTATTGTATTTATCTTAGCTAATATAAGCTATTTTTTAAATTAAAGTAACCCCTAATCAGCCTTTTAAAGCCCCTTAATACAAGTATCAGTAATGATTTTTTCTGAATTTAGTTAATTTAAATATTTTTTCTATTTACTTACTGACTTCGCGAAATTTTTAATATGGCAACTTTTTATGGATTACATATATTGGTCAATCACTACAGGTCTACGTTAAACATATTTGGCTCTTACATAATGTTTCAGCTTTGGTAAAATATAATTTGTTGTGCTGTTACATTCATTAATTTGAGATGAGACATAAAAATAACTTTACCAATCTCTCAAGGAAAATCTAATGCTTAATCACTTTAATATAGACTAGTAAAATGTGATTAAGATATTATTATGAAATATACACTTATTGTTTTTAATTGACATTTTTTCACAACTGTCATTAGATATAGTACGCTACAATTATATTCAATTAAATGAAAATAACTTAAAACAGTTACAAAAATAATGTACACTTAAAATTACATGCAATAAAAATAAAATGGTGCCTGCGATATTAATTATCTAAGCAACATCATTGAGAAGCACTTCTGTAGCTGTTGAATTTTCAGTCGGCGGTACTTTTTTTACTTCTTTGGTTGTTTTCTTTGTCTGTGCAACATTATGACGGTGCATAATGTACAAGAGGAGAACAAATCCCACAAGGAAGCCGGCAAGACCGCCCCCTATGGTCAGCCATGTTTTTCGCGATGTCTGTATGCTTTGAATCTGTAAACGTTAGTTTTATGATATTATTATTTACAATCAAGAACTATACAATTCTAAGCCCCAGTGCCTTTCTAAAGCTAATTTAGAAGTTTAACTTGACACTACATTTTAAAATAGACCAGTATATTTCATAAAATTTAAATTTTTAAACTTACCTCAGTGTAAACCATCCTGCAGTTATGGTAGCTAATGTTTAGGCTCTCTGGTAACTCCATTCTCGGACAGTTTTCGTATTCTACAAAAAAAAGATTCAATGAAAAAAAAATGCATGTAACTAGGTAGATGACAAAAAAAAAAGTATTAAAATTTTACCTCTAGAATTAAGTCTGGTGTAATCACCCAACTGGAATAAACTCTTTTTTCTTGGAACCACATTATTGTTAACTTCATGTCGCAAACTCTTATTTTGTCCAAAGACTCCGTTACGTCTACCTTTGCTAGCTTGCACATAGTGCTAAATGGGCTTGGATCGAACGAAATGAGAGGATTATGGGAAATATTATAAAGAAGCAATTGGGGAAGGACTCCGAAATCTGGCAAAGTTTTAATTTTACAATCTGATAAATCCAGCAGTTCCAACGGTGCTTTGATAGGCTTACTTATTTCCATTCCGTTTAAGCTCAAATGCAACAGTGGATTTCCGTTGAGATATAACTTTCTTAACGAAGGCAATTGGAATATCGAATCTGATAGTTCCAATATAACATTTTTAGATAGATCGAGAGTTTGTAGATATGTTAAATAAGTGAACGCGTCTTTATCTATTGAATAGATTTGGTTCTCGGCCAGGTACAAGTATTTTATACTTGTGTATGATGAGAAAGTGTCCGCGTGTAATTCCTGTAACTTATTGTCGCTGAAGTCGAGAATCTAGAAAACAAAAGAAAGTGTTAAAATATTATTTTCTCACGGGACGATGGATCTGGTTTAAACAGATGTCAAATGACTACTGAGATGAGTTAGTAGGTACCAATATTTTTCTGAAATTAGTTTTACATATAGGTTTATCTCAAATTCTGTGTACGACGATGATGATATTAATAACTGATGATGATGCAATTACAATGTTTAGTGTAAATTAGTGAACCTTAATAGTTCAGGAACATTATTAAAAATCTCTTAGAGCCTGTCCAGAAAGCGCGATTTACGAGCGAGTCCACTCGCGCGCAGGCACTCGCGCGTTCCCGAGTTACTACAGCTGCATACATTCCGCCCAGATGCTCTCGCGCGTTACCTCACTCGAGATACTCCGGCGCCGTTGCAGCGTCCAGAAAGACGCGCGTGCGCGCGAGTCGAGGATCTCGCTCATTGCGAGCGTTCTACGCGCGAGCGAGGTAACGCGCGAGAGCATCTGGACGGAATGTATGCAGCTCTAGTAACTCGGGAACGCGCGAGTGGACTCGCTCGTAAATCGCGCTTTCTGGGCAGGCTCTTATTCATCGTGAAATAACAGTAGTACTTAACAAATTAGAATTAAGAATACAATTGTTAGGTACTTCTATTTTCAGTTACATAAAAATAATAAAGTAATCGTTAATATTTATTACCTATATTATAGATTTTTAATAGTTACATAATAAATCATTCATCGATAAGAAATAAAAAAACAAAATTTGATATTCAGATCAATGAACTGAAAAATATCTCGATGGTACCTAAAGTATGAAAATTAAATCATTTTCTTATCAAAATTTTAAAACAATGCCAGTTTGCTTAATCTAAATTGTTATTAAAAATTATATGGACGATAAAAACTGATAAGATAACTTCAAGATTAGTTGACTTTATATTTGAAACTAACGAAGTTGAACACGGCTAGAATTATGATTGTTAAATATTAATTATTACATATAATCATTGTTAAATTATTTGAATAATAAACTTTGAAAAAATTAGGTATATTTCGTGTGCAAATAAGAGTAAAATATATAGTCATGGTTATGTTATGATATTAAAACTATAATAAGAAGGCAATATCAAAAATTAATATCTAATTTAGAAATTTGGTAGTCAATAACCACTTAAACTACCTCAATTCCTCCTCTCAGACTCGGTATCTTTGATAGTCGCAATCCAGCGCAGTGGGCGCCATACATTTCGTAGGCGTACTCATAGGTACATCGCGTAGGTAGTGACGCCAACGCTTCTATATCCGTCATTTCTTTACCATTATTGCTTTTAGTGAACAGCAACACTAGAACTACGTAACAGTTGAACCTGAAATAATATATAACGTCATTGAAACGGAAATAACATCAAAGTACTTGCAAATAGCGTTTAACATTGAGTGTACATAGCTAATGATATCTAATCTTTGGTTACAAATGACATGAGTTGATAGGTAATTTAAAATAAACATAAACAGCTAGATTGTTCTAAATTTTATTTATTATTCAAACAAGCAAACATTTAGTATATAAATTGCATTTTACTGTAATAGAAACTCATAATTAAGTTGGAAATTATGTTTTTATAAATACGTTACTTATAAAAACACACAAGTACTTATAGAGAATGCATTATTTGTATTTGCATGATATAGCAGATGGACTCACAGAGGCCAGCCAACGATAACCTCTTCAAAGAAAATAAATAAACATTCTTGTTGAAAACTATCGCTGTAGATAAAGTATTGAATTGTAGCGATGCAAAGTTCATACAATCGAGATAAACTACGACTCGTTAGTTTCAATTAAGTATAATATTTTTACATTATATTCATATCAGTGTTATATTAGGAGTTAGTATCGTAATTCATTTTAAAATTATATAATTTACACAAAGGACTAAAATTTGTAATGCTTTTATTGAAATAGGCTATAATTTTTTAAAATTTAGAATGCTGTCGTAATTTTTCTTACATATTTTTACCTAGGATTAGTAATTAGAATGAAAAAAACAAATAAAACATATTATTCCTTAATAAAGCTAAATAAGACATTAAAAGTTTACAGAAAGACTTTAACAAAAGAGTCTTTTATAAACAACAATCTCCTTTGTTTATATGTAGTTTATCGAAAGAATAATACAATACCTATAAAATATATAGATATACATATATAACTGCACTAAAAAGAGTAGAGTAGTACTTAGTAGTAGTATAGCACTACAAAGAGGATACTGTGTAAAATATATAAATTAATTCATAATCCCGGAATCCGATTTCTCAAACTATGGATTTCAATTTTTATTTAAAAGAGAAAATGTCGGTAAAGATATAATAAATTAATTGAGGAATATAAAATAAACTCAAAATATACTGAGTGTGTATTATTACGATTCATCAAACACATATTTTAAAAATTAACATATATTGACTTCACTCTTTGCAATGAAATATCTTATTTTGCCTTCATTTACAAGTTACGTGTTTAGAATTGTTCACATAACTTTTTAATATATCTACTTTTGAATCCTATTTTAAGGTTTTCGTAATCATAAAAATAAAATTTAGAAGGAACAGTACGGGCTGATTGAGATAGGAAAATGTATTGAGCAACACTTTTTCACGTATGTTATTTATATGTATATTACAAATGTTTAACAGAAAATGGCACAGCACTATACCAGTTTTCTTTTACGTTCTTTTATTTCAAAAGTGATACCTAAAAGTTAAAACTTAAATTCTTAATAACTAATTTAAAGTTTAATAAATCCAATTGCGCTTTTCTCATTACTTTTTCGTGCTACATAATATGAAAGCAACATAAGTCTGTGTCTACAATACACAACATATGGTTATAACTTATAACATTCTAATGACATTTTCATATGAAGATTTTCACTATTAAGTACACCGTTAAGTGTATTGATAAAATTATAGACAAATTAATAGGTATATATGTATATAAACTCTAGAACTATCGAAACAAGCTAACTATTTTTACTACCTACATAAAGAAATATATATTTTTTCAACAATATTTTAAGGTTTCATTTGTATAGACTTACTTAAATAAATTTATTAAGTAGGATCAAATGTTTTTATTTTAATTGAAACATCAAAATTTAGTTTTACACTAAGAACAATAGCATAAATTATATTACAAATATTATCGATTCCCAAAAACGTTTCATAATCATGATAATTTCCTATGATTATTGCTATTTTGAAACTACTCGAATAGAAATACGATAAATGTATGATAACTTTTGATGCATGTCATAGATATCATGATCTAGATTTAAGTGTATTAACATTGCATAAATAAAATATACAAATATAGTAATGGATGGACAACAAAGGTACATTAAGATATAACATACCCAAAGAGGGTTGATGAAAGGCAGGCGGGCGGTCGTAAAAACAAGTAGCCAAAACTATTTACAACATGTAAGGCAGAAACTGGCTAAAAGCTGGGAAATTGCCAGGAAGAAGAAGAAAAAGGTACATTAAGGTATATTTCTGGTGATTTAAACTCTACATTCATCGTTATTTTTACGAGTTGCATTATAAAACGCCTGCCGTGTTAGTTTTCTTTGCAATGATTATCTAAATAGGCTAGTCATGGGGATTTACAGGTAATTATGATCATGTGTCTTTGATAAGGTACCTACTTAGAGAATCGCATAACATTGTTAATAAATTGTCGCATTAACCTGCCCCCGATATATGAGAAATAGACATAACAATGTCCACAATTTATTTATTTACTTTTGTTTAAGTATCAAATTATAATAATAATTTTATTGATAAGCACATAGACCAATTACGTTCAAATTTGTATGGAGCAAATTTGTAGTTTTAATTTGTCTGTGAATATGTTTTATGTTTGTATCTATAAAATGGTTTTGGCTGTTGTTTAAGTGTTAAAAAATACACATATCACTTTTTGAAACTTCTTTGAAACCGGAATTAAAATGAAAACAAATAATAACTCTTTGATAAAAAAAAAAAATGTTTTATGAAAAAAAACATTTGTTCCCAAAATGTCAATGAAAACACACTTCCTTGTTTCCGTTGATACAATATAGTAAATGACAGGTTTACAACCGTATATAAAAACAGGTAAAAATATTTCATTTCCTGAAAATACTACAATTAAGTTGCGCCTGCGGACCGGCACATCTATAATTTACAGCGTCACATGATGACATTGTAAAACAACTTATTCCTAATGTCAGCTCATATAATGAAAATAATTGAGGTTAAATTAATAGTAAATTAGTCAGTCTAAAGTAATGCAATAGCAGTGCATGTTGTAATGACCGTCAACCTAGCGATACGACAATAGGGAGCTCATCTTCTCGTCTTTCAGCATTAGTTCACTGTCAGCCTTTGTTGGCAGTATCTGTTTATGGCAAATACCAGCTCATATGAGTACACTTACTATCTATATAAAATTGCAACTGTTTATATTTATATATACACTTAATCTATCATTTTGAACATAATTTTTTCCACGGTGTACAAGGACCTACTTAAAATCTTTTCCTTGGTTAAAAACTTAGTAAATACTTCGTTTACATAGCGCCACTGTCAGTATTTATTTGATAAGATTCAATGATACATATATGACTAAAGTTTATTTGGAAGAAATAATTATTAGGTTGTAAGACAAAAACTTATGAAAAAAAATATCACAGACTTTTTTTAAAGAAAAAATATTTACCCGTGTAAAAAATTATCTCCGTGTATTAAAGTTATTTTAAAACTTTCTTAACGCAATGCATTTTTATCATTACAGACCTTGAACTAAATATAGTATAAAAATTGATACTTCATAGAGATATAGTAAATGGCTATCTTGTAATTTGGCGTGTAAAAGATTAATACTGAAGGTCATGACAAACTTCATACGTTTATTGTTTAGGGCAAGCCCATTTATGACTTTAAATTTCATAATAACTTCTATCTATGATTCAAATTTTTACGTAACTAGAAACGTCTTTACCTAAAAAAATAAAGAATTTATTTGAGGTTTTTCTTTATCACTCATATTTTGTAGCAAGATAATAATATTTTTAATTAAATTTTTCATGTGTAGTTTGTATAAAATTCAGTCCCTTTATAAGAATCAAACGACGAGTAACCAAGTTTATCATCTTAGCACGTTGCGAAGTCGCATCCATTTAAGATCCCTAATTGGTAGAGGTCAAATTAATTCCTTTAATTACTTCTGATGACCATCAAATGGTTCGCTGAAAAGCTCCGTGGACTAGCATAAAATCTATTGACCTCTTTACACTTTCCCGAAATTAATGCTTCAATTAAATGAAACTAATATTTTCGGATCTACTAAGCAGTTTTTATTTTTTTGCTACTTAAAAGCAACCGTGATCATCATCCAAAATAAAAAATCGGGTTGTACATCTGAGAAATATTAGTTTCTTTTAAATGAATACTCACGAAAATCCTAGATTTCATTACGCTCCAATTGACAGCGAAAGAAATTAGGAACCTACTGAAGGGAAATTAAAAAATTATTATTACTAAAACTATAGTTTAACCAAGGAGGTTTTAGAGCAATACTTTGTATACGATAAGCAATATGAAATCTTGGTTTGTATGACATTTTGTCAGAATTGTTAGTCTCTAGTGATACTTGGAACGGAAACTGTACATTGTGTGGGACACTCCTGCACATCATGCGTAGCGTCCCCAATTGTCTGATTGATCTTTATGATGTGCCCACGCCCCAGTCGATGTTAATCGAGAGAAGAATTGATTTATCAACCTACATATATCATGTAGATATAGAAAATTCGTTTGACCAGACTTTAAATTTATAAACAAGCTCAAATTGAATATAGATTTTGAAAAAATAGTTCGTAAAGTAGTAGGTACGTATATTTCTAATATTCATAGGTATATCGTGTTGATTTAGTTTTATATACAGAAGTTCTGATATAGAATTTAATTAAGAACATGATAATTTACCATTAGTAGCAACTGTACATATTACGTCTCAAACTTTATATAAATTGTCACGATCAAAAGCAAAAATATTGGCCCTGCTGTAGCTTTTAGTTCTGTTTTTCAGAAAAATTTTTTTTAGCAAAATTATAGCAATATGGCTATCAACCAGAAGTACTACATAAGACTGAATCATTTGTATTTCTTTGAAAGAATCAAATTTTTATCGTGACGCATTTTTACGATAGATAATAATTTGTAAATAGGATCGTTGGAAAACACGATTTTAAATAAGGAAAATTTTACAGAATCAGTCTGTTAAATAACACGAAAACTTTATTCTACTTCAAATTTATATTTTTATTTAAAGGAAATTGAAAGGGTATCTTTAAAGATGATCGAAAAATGTTGTTTATTTCATCTATCGAGACTATTTTTGTAAAACTGCTTATAAGTTATGGATAGTGAATAACAAATATTTACATCATTAAGTAATAATTAATCTATACTTTAGTGATTTCGTTATTAACAATCATAATTAATAAACGTTTAACGAGAAGATTAGAAAGAAAGGACTTTGATATCAAAATTTTAAATTTATTTTTTATCATAATATTTTTTTCTTACTTGTATCATCTTAAAGTAGAGACGGTTTTCAAAAATGCTTGAGACATTACTGATGGTTAAAGGACTTTAGTTTCGTAAAATTAAAATCTCTTATTAGAAATTGGTTAGTTTATTCCATATAAATCAGGAGTAAAACGGTAAGATTTTGAATATACTGCTTAACTTAGCTTATTTTCTTAAATTTTACGTAAATTAAAGAGAATAACGAATATTACAGATACTTTTTATTTATAAAGATAAACAATAAATGTTATAAGTCTTGTCTATGGATTTTAATAACACTTTACGATCATATAATTGAAATTAAAATGTTTTAATACGTACTTGAACATTTTGAACATATGTCGTTTAATCCGTAATCATCGAATATCGAACTCCGAGATCAACATCACCAATAAAACAAAATATATAACAGACACTTTGAAATCTCTGAATTCACGTAGCACTGCACTCGTCACCCGCAATCACGAAGTACAACTCATTCTATTGAATCAATTACTCAAACCAACAGCGGTTCTTCAGCGGAGATGTTTTTCACGTTGAGGATCAAATGATACTGTGCCAGTAATCTGTTATCTCACGTCCTTCTAAAGTACCCTGTATCTCCAAGTAGCCAAGAGACAATGCGTCAACAAACGTAGCAGCCGAATATCTAGAGTAATTGGCGTCCTATCTAAATGCTCCGATTGGCCGACTGATTATGTTTATTCTTGAAGTGTGTGCAAGATAAGTAAATTACTGTCTTTGTTTCGACTTTAATTTTTGATATGAATGTGGATTTTTATTGTAACGTAACGCGTCTATTAGCTAGCTGTTATCTTTTGTAATGAAACATTCTTTTTTAACATCTTCGAAAGAGACAAGTTTATAGAAATTGTAACATCATTAGTTGCCATTAGGAATGATGTCGTTAAATTATTTACATTCGTTGATATTTTGTTTTCCGGTTATTAAAAAGGTAATTATTATTTTTTATTCTGCGTACGTACTGGTACTAATAAAGTTATAATAGTTTTAATCGTCCAATATTCACTTCTTAAGCAATTGTATTGTTAATGAGAAACTACAAAACTTTTTTGATAGTAATTTGCAAAGAATTTTCATTAATTCTAGTTTTATAAAAATGTTTTAATGTAATATTTTTAATGGTCGTATATGGTCCAGATATTTTTTTTACTAACTATCCAAATTTCCTATGCTAGGATTAAAATATTTATTTTTACATCGTCTTGGTAGAAAAATCTTCTAAATACCAGTGACCAGTTAGATCCGTGTTTTTAAGACACTTAAGTTTGTTTTTTCTTTCGTTTCAGTTCATAATACTTTAAAATGAAACATTAAATACATTCTTTGTAATTAACAAATGTCATTAAATATGTAATTTTAATTATTTGTAAACAATTTTGGGTTTAAAACAATAAACGATTTTAAATTGTAGCGAAATTTCCAATTACAAAAATTATATTATGATTGTATAATTTGATAAATTTTGTAGATTCTATTGGAAATTATAATAGTCAAAACATGGACTAACTTAGCCAAACTCACGTCTACCCTGTATAGTTTATTTTCTTAATATGTAGTGAAGTTTCTTCGAATAACGTGTTCGTGCTGTATATTAACAATACGTTAAACCGAATTTGATCATCGTTATATTACTTACGAAGCCTTAACAGTTTTTCATTCATGAAGCTTTCGCGCACTATAATATTAACGTAGTTTGTTGTATAATGGACAAGTAGCTTTTTGTATATAGTGTGAAAATGTAAACTTGTTTTAAGCATACAAAGCAGAAGAGCTAATTTTAATTAATCGTACATTCAATTAAATCAAAATATCTCTTCTAAAATCTTACAAGAACCGAACAACTCTAGATACCTACAGTCTTTATACTGGGACTGCTAATACCTGTGTGCTGGGAAAATATACTCACCTCATTAAAATTCCGATTTATAACTGTCATTCGTAAATATATTTGTAACAAGTCATTTATTTAGTTTTTACTTCAATGTAGCTAATATGCAGATTACACCGCGGACAAAATTTTCAAACAAAAAGATAATTATTAAACCTAAAAACTTATAAGATCTCAAATAAATATGTATACCTAACTATAGGTAGGTACTATTATTTTTATGATTATGCCAAAACAGAATAGGATTTAAAAGATTCTGCAATTTTATTACTTTTTTCAGGATATTCGGTTTTTTTTTTATAGAAAGAAATATAATTACTATTTAATTGACTGGCAATTATAAAAATGTTAAGGGGAAATTTTGATACTACCGTAATAATGATTTAGTTTTGGTTTTAGCTATAAATTAGAATATTCACAGGAAAAGCGAGTCATTTTTATAACATTCTAGCTACTACGACTTACGAGATACTAAAAATAATTTACCTGTACTATACTTAAATATCTATACTTTTCTTCAATGACAATTACTAAAACACCTTAATTTTATAACTTATAATAATAACTTTTTATAAATAACACAATTTTATATAAATTTTAAGTGAGAAAAATTAATGGGCAATTTTTTTGCGATATGTAAAATTTTTGTTTTGTTACTTATTCAGTACATACGTGGCTTATTAAAAATAGTTAAATAAATATATACTTTTACTACAAACCATACATACATTTTTCTTTTCATTAAACTTCCGTCTCAATACCTAGTTGAAAGTCTATGAGAGACGTCTGTTCAATAATGAAGTTTCAATTAAAAACTTGTGAATTATAAACATTAGTGAAATAAAATAAAATTATAAATATTAACGTATACGATTTTTATACATCCCCCATAAATATATTTATCCAAAATATCAGTAACATGTCAAAAGTTATCATAATAGATCATCTCGCTATGGCTAGATGGCGCTATTATATATTTTTAATAAACCATCTCAGGAGTAATTTTCTTTTGTCTACCTGGCAAGAAGCACATAATAATTAGTTTATTTAACAAGAAGCCCTCCAGTTGAGAATATTTTATCTCCTTAGGTATACTTACCAGCCTATACGCTAGTACACAGTAGTCTAGAAGTGGTATTATGTTCTCGGCATTGAATTTTAAAAGATAAAATCTTAAATATTATTACTTTTGTTAGGCAACAAATGATCAGATTTAAATAATTTAGGTAGCGTGGATTATATTATAGTCATTGGATTCTGATCATGTTTCTCAATAAACCTGGGTACATCAAATTAATTCATATTAAAATTTTATTTAGTTTCTTTTTGCTAAAATTATTCATAAAGACATCTTTGTACATCAAATTATAAATAATATTAAGTAAATTTTAACAAATTTCCTTCCCCTCGTCATAAATTAAATAAATTCAAAGCAGACATTCCTACTCTACGATTTGTTATCTGTAAAGTAGGTTTTAGTAATTATAGTACAGATTTAAGATTTTGTTTGTATGTAGTTGCAATTTGTAAATATTTTTAACAATTATGTTTGACTCTTATATTTTAATTTTTATATACCTATAACGAAAATCGACGATATAATTTTTATTTTCGTACTTGCAAGTGCACTTAAAATTATTAATGACATAACGTATGACATATATGACATGACATATGACAACTGACAGTTTTGACGAAGCGTTTGCGGCTTTTTGCCCCTGTAATAATAATATTTTGGTGTACAAACAATATAATTAGACTATTGATGTTAGAAATAAAGTTTTTATAAATGAAGATGAATGCAACAAGTTTATATGTTTCAACTTGTCGTCTAATAATTTTAGCCGACGCAGCGGATAAAAGTTCGTGGACTGATTTGTTTCGTTTGGTTCCTTATTTAAGACAATCGCTATCTTGCACTGTTTGTGGGAACTTATTAAAAGAACCTTATACTCCGACGAGTTCTGGGTGCCAACACCATGTTTGTAAAAGTTGTAAAGGTGGTAGAAAAAAGTTAAAACCTTCATGCAATTGGTGTAAAGATTACGAAAACTATACAGAAAATTTACAGCTTCGTATTCTTCTTCAGTGTTATAAGAAATTATGTGAATATTTTATGGGCACAGATACGTATAAAACTTTACTAGAACAAGACGAAATAGCTGCTGGAGTGAACGGCGGCACTGTAGCTAGTTCCGGTTTAATAGATTTGATACAAGAAGGTGCTGGGTTTAACGATGATTACAAAAGCACGGCGGGTTTATCGAAATCGGCATATAGTATATTACCTTGTGTGTATACAAATTCAGCATCAACACAAACCCAAGCCGCCTCAACCTCAAGTAGTTCTGACAGCAGATCAACAAGTAAAGATTCTCCAAATTCCAGGAGTATGTCAAATGGGTCCCCACTTTACTCTGTCATGTACGCAGGTTCAGGTAACAAAATCACAATCAAAAGGAAAGCTGTTGATGAAACAGATTCCTCACAAGCAGAAAGCAGTCCAAGAGAAAGCAAAGTATAAACAATTAGATATTTTCATAACATATTATGTTCCTATAGTATTTATTATATAAATTGTTTGTATTTTTTCAGTCAAATCAACTAGGTTTTAAGAAACCGTCAAATCGTTCTCGAACCTCCACAAGCAGTAAAAGAAAAGGATGTAGGTGTGGTAATGCAACTGCTACTCCGGTAAATTAACATGTTGTGGCCAAAGATGTCCATGTTATGTCGAAAGTAAACCATGTACAGAGTGCAAATGTAAAGGTTGTAGGAATCCACATAGACCTGATGGAATGAAGGTATATATTAATATCACATATTTAAAAATGTAGTTTATACAATAAAACTTCCATTCCAATTAAAAGGATTTTCAAAATTCCTATGATATACTTTTTTGTTTGTGTTCCATTCATGACTTAGGTGTCTATTTATACATTTAAAATTATTGATTATTATCTGAAATTTAAAATATATTTGATTTTAGAACCCACTAATTAAAAAAAAAAAATACCATATAAAAACATAATATATTAACCATTGTGAACTCATTTTTAAAGGTGCGGCCACACATACCTCAACTGGAAACAGTGCAGTTGACGATCAATTCAAATCCGGACACATCTCCCTCCTGTTCAGGGTCAATGGATAGTTTAGATCCTGACACATTGACCATGGATTCTATGGACGACTCCCTTACATACACAACAGAACTGAAAACCTCTAATATTAAGGGTAAATACATATAAATGTTGATTAAAATAGACAAAGGCATATTATACATTAGATTTGTTAAGTTAATTCTTTGTTTTATTAATAAAATGGTCAACAATATATTTGTAAGTTTTCATTATTTTAAAATTGTTAGCATTATATTTGTCAGTCCTTCGATCTAATAATGAAATTAAGAATAAAAAAGTAATATTAATATATTCTTTTTACAGTGTACACAAGTCAATTACAAGAAGTATCACCTTCTTTGCCGGCTTCTATAATGATGGACGAAGAAATGATGGGGTCTCCAGAAGACGATTTGAGTTCTCCTCACGATTACACACAGTGTTCCCCACAAGAATGCTCACCGTCGCCCGGCCAAGACAGTGATATTGAAGTGGATGTATGACAACAACTTTCCTTGAAAAGTGACTAGCTTTGTATGTGGAAAGTGATTGGAACACAAAGTACTGTGAAGTCATAAGTAAAGACTGGAATTACAAAGTGGACGTTAATGAAATTTCCTTATAAGTGACAGTTGCAGTGACATTAGATTGTGCGTTTAAGGCTCATTGGAGTGTCTAGTCGCTATGGACTTCAAATATGTTAAATTTTTGTATTGTTCTTCAGCTTGTTATCTGAATATAGTGAATTTGAAGCTGAGAGGGAAATATGTTGAGACAGAGAAGGATTATTTGATATACAGTGGGATCGGTTGAACATTTGTTGAATAATATAATCAAGGAATACTTGTGATTGACATTAGGCATATATAAATAGGGCCCATTGTGAAATACCTCAAGTAATGTATATGTACAGTTATTGTATATTGTCAATCAAGGTGGTAAATTTTATTCTTGTACAAGATGAACAAGTTTTATGATTGTTTAAACAAATTTTAACTATAAAACAATGCTAATAATATAATGATATAACTTTTTTAATGGATAATGACATGCCAATGTGTATTTTATTTTCTAGCTGTTAAGTATTGAAATACCAATGCCGAATAATATTTAAATATGTCTTGTAAAATCTTGTATAGACTCCACATTATTTTAAGATTTTCTAGTTGTTATTACACAAACATACTGTATTTATTTTTGGTATTTATTGTTAATCAGTGCATTAATTTTTTCATACTATTGACGGGGAATAAATTTTGATAAAAAAAGAAATTTTGACCCAATTTGTAAGTCTAGCAGTTGTGATGTTAAATATCCAATGATTCTTAATTTATTTTATTGCTTGAGAATTTATTTAAAACATCCATTCAATGGCTGACGATCTGTTTGTAATAATTAATGGTTTATTTGAACATTATATAATCTCAAAGGCCTGGCCAAAGATAATTATATGACAGTTGTATGAAAATGTTCAGTAAAGAGTAAAAAACTCATATATTGGTGAATTGGTTGACTGCAATATAGTTTTTGTGTGTAAATGTTATTTGTAAGTGTATCTGTGATAATGCTATCACCGATAATACGAATCCATTTTGTATCCAGCTAATGTTTTTTGGTAAATAAAAAGCACTTAAGTACAAATGAAATTGTATAGGTTTTTACTTTTTGATGTGAAAACTAATTGTATAAGTATTAATGATCGATTAATGCAATTATTGTCTTAGGAATGAAATAAAATCAAATTATTTTTGTTATTTTATTTTTTTCGTTTCGCTTTTGTTTTATTCAGTAAGTTACATTATATAAAAAAATTCGTGAAAAAAATCAATGCTCCTGGTACTTCTATTTATCTTCTTATCAACTGTCTGATGAGTTCCAAATCCTATCGAACTCTTTCTTCAAAGTCTCAATAACTATAGGTTCAGATGTAATAATCGTCGTATCTCTGTTAGAATTGATTCTAGCAACTTCGTAATCTAACGAACCTATGACCGCTATAGCCTCCTGTTCCGGCGACGCATCTATTAATAAATATTCATGCTCCATTTTCACTTTGGATTTAATAACTTTGACTTCGATATCCGATTGCAGGAAACAATCATAATTACCATTTTCATTGTGAACGACTATCCGAATTTTGACTTTGTTCTTTTTTTGAACGTTGATGAGGCATTTCGATATAGTGTCGCTTGTAAGACTCGGGACACAGACGTCGATAGTGAAGCTAGCCTGGATTATGACGTAGTAAATGCAGAATAGATTATTTAATCCAACCTCTTTCTTCTTTTCTTCGTACTCCGATCCGTAAAACAAAACCTCGTTGATAGTTTCATTCTGCGGGATGACGCTCACTAATTCGGTTAACTTAATTATCTTTTCAGTGATTCCGCTCAATATTGAACCACTTCCAAATATTAATGTACGGAATAATGACGGTCCAAACATTTTGTTTTTAATGAATTTGTTATGTTTGAATAGACAGCAGAGTGTAAACTATAACTTCTTAAACCACTCAAACGTTTGATGCTAACATCTTACAACACAATGTGTATCTACATTCTACCCTCAATTTTGTTATATTTTTATCGCAAATCGATTCTGAGACTAATTATTGCCTGATATGAAAAGAATTATGACTTAAATTCATATAGGTATTCATACTATGAGCAGCGTTTTTTTGACATAATTTTTTTATTTATGAACCGATTGACATGAAACAAACACTAAAGCATAACTGAAGCATACCACAATATATTCGTGAAAACCGAAGCGGCGAAGGTTCCACATCGAATTTATCTAATTATGATGAAGACGAATTAAAAGTAAACATACACCCACGAAAGCGGAAAGAACGGGGTCACGAATATGATTATAAAAAAGATTTTGCTGATTTACGTGCTGACATAATGAAATTATTATAAGGATTTGCAAAAACTAAAAATGAAAACATGGGTCAAATTCGCCAGGAAATGGTAGAAATAAACAATGAAATTAAAAATATCAAATCTGCTTTCGAAGATCTAACTATGCAATATAAAAACATATTAAATAAAGATTTACAAATAATAAAAAAGGAAAATAAATTAAACCAAGAAAAAATTAAACATATTGAAAACGAAATTACATATTTAAAAATTAATAAAATTAATAATTTTGTTGCTCAATCGCCAACTCCTCTCCACGAAAACCTCATACTGGAGTTTAAAGACCGCTGCGACCGAGAAAAAAATATTATTATAGTGGGTATACCTGAAATAAATAATAGAAATTATACCATCAGACAAAAATATGATAACGAAGAAATATTAAAAATTATTACATTGTATGAAAATTGTCCTGCTCCTTTAAAATGTATGAGACTTGGTAAATACATTCCAGATAAAAACCGGCCGATAAAAGTATGCTCTCCAAATGTTGATACATCTAAATATCTATTACGAAATAAATCTAAATTTTCACAAAATATACAAATTTATTCCGATCAAACAGTGGCTCAGAAAAACTATAGGAAGTATCTTCGGTCTGAACTAAAGCGAAGAGAAGATTCAGGTGATAATTATAATTAATAATGCTCCAAAAAACTAGTACAATCAAATTTACAGACAAACAACATAAATAAAACAACTGACCTTCAACACTCCGTAACAAATAATTATAATCATCAGAAGATCATGCGACCCAGTAGGTACAAATAAAATACTATACACATATCTACAATTATAGACAGAATTGTAAAGGTGGCGGAGTTTTGATCTTTATTCATAACAGTATTCAATACGACGTAACTGAAAATTTACGTGAAAACTATAATCACTGTCTATGGATATATATACCAAAAATGTATTTAAATGTAGGAGGTGATTACAAACCAGGTAACACTGATTTTACGAATTTTTTGGTGGTGTATACAATGCAAATTGAAAGAAGGAAGACGCCAATTGACGCCAATTTGGTGATTTTAATTTAGATTTATTGAGCACAGACAAATAGTATATCGAACAATACTTAACCAATCTCCATGAAGCGGGGTATGAGATACTGAATAAAAGTGATGAAAAATGTTGTACTCCTGAAACTTCAAGAACAAAAACTATTCTCGATCATGTGTCTACAAATATCAGTAATAAGGAATTCAAACTTTGTGTAATTGAATCATCATTAAAATAAACTTAAAGTATATATATTAGACAATATTAAGTAGTACTAGCCACTCCATGTATCAAATATTAACGTATGTGTGTAACATTATTTAATCTCATGTAAGTGAACCTATGTATGTTCTTATGAGAATAAAGATCTTTAACCATAAAACCGCATCCAACTCGGATCAGCCGTTTCTGAGATTAGCGTGAACAGACAAACAGACAAAAAAAAAGTTAATTACATTTTTGGGTTCGACATCGACATAACAATAACCCGTGCTATTTTTTTTATTTTTATTTTCAATGTACAGACAGCACTTTTCTACAATTTTATTATATGTATAGAATATAGATGAAAGCATAATTGAATCAATTGGTAATTTAAATAATTTACATATCACTTCATCATTTTAAAATCAAATTAAGGGTAAATTTATTAAATATTTATCTAGTATTATAGGTTTCTTTGTTAAAATATTGTAATTTATATATATTTTTTCACCTGTCGCGTCATATTGATTGAATGACGACTATATAAAAAAATATATACGATGGGCGTCATACTTCAAGTTCTATTATACCTACTGGTTCGAAAATTCCGTTGTTTTGTTTGTTACAAAAATTTGATTCTGTTAAAAATGTTTGTTGCATTTTTGTCGAGGCTATTATTCTTCTTGTGAACAGTTATATGTATAACTGTTGTAATAATACTAAATATGTAAATAATTTTTAGGTTTCTTTAAAGCTGTTAGCCCTTCTAGCTTTGACAGCGTCTCCGTCATAGTTTTAAACGGCGGATATAGGTACATTGTACATTAAATTTTAAATGAAACTAAGCCTTTCGGATACTACGTGTTTTTCATTATTTTCTAAAACATAATTCCGACATTTCGGTTCCTTTATAGCAACCGTGATCACGGCAGACGAGATGAAAGTTGTAGGCACGCGAAAATCTTACATATAATTACAAATTGTGTAATATTTGCTTCTGGGATAATCCTAAAATATCTCGCATAAAAAACTGTTCAAAACAGTCTAGGATTTGTGTTGACTAAAGAACACATACCTAGGTATTCACACTTAAATGTATAATAAGAAATAAGTAATTAATTCGATATTTCTTGATTATATTTGCCAGTTATACTGATGTCTCTAAAACACCACCTGAAGAATAATTTTCTCATTTGTATATTCGAAATGTACTTATCTGCTACTTCGTCTTTAATTTTTAGCGCCTGTTGTTCAAATAAATAAATAGTTTTTCTACATAATATACAGACATGATATTAATTTAATTTTCTTATTTATTCATATAACTAACCTAACTAAAGTAACCAAGGAGTTATGTCAAACTCGTAAAGAGTAAAAAACGATCTCTTGACACTTCATTCATTCCTTCGTCGTTTTGAGTATATTTTGACAATAAGTTTTTAATAATTTTTATAACTATATAACAATTTCATTTTTCAATATTTCAACAAAATATTCTTCATATAAACTTAGTAGACAATGTCAATAGCGTAATGACGGAAGCTCGAAAAGTAAATTTGGCCAAGGAGAGTTTTCAAAGGCCGCCAATTAATTCCGTTAAAGGCTCCGATGGTGGCGGAAAACTTCAAACTAAACATAAAAATAAAATACCAAAAGCCTTACGATATGATTTAGAAAATGCTCTAGTTGGGGTAAGTCTTGATAATATATGCCGTATTTTGAATGATTTATTAATTCCTGAATCAGTGAAGACTTTATCCAGTAGTAAGCACTTTTAAAATTACTCACAACATGTTTGTTTAAACAAATATATATACAAAATCATATTTTTTTGTACGTCAAAGTTTACCTACAGAAGGACGAGGAGTTATTATATTAAAAGTATTTTTTTAAAATTACATTTCACTAAGTACTCACATTAAATGTTAAGTATTGTGTAATTCAATAATTTAACTAAAAAAATTCACAATTTTTTTTACATATATCTTTAGTCCTGTGTACTATCCCACAGTTTATTTTCATACTAGACACTACATACTGAGCCTTTACTTGGCTTTCACAAATGTTTGCATGTAGTAGCATGCATGTTGCACTAGAAACATTTCAACTGCAGTATGATAATGCAAACTTAGGCTAAGCATACTGAATTATGCAAAATTTAACACATAAACCTCAAAAACTGTACTTAAGCTTCAATTTACACATTTGATGACATTTACAATTTTATTCCTTCAAACATTTCTATGGGAAAAATAATGGATTGACCGATAGACGTAAATAAAATATGCAAGCTTGATTCGTAGGACTCCTAAAATAAAATGAATTTCTACTCATAAAAATGTGACAAATTATTAACAGCTCTGCGATGTATGGTTCGAAGAGATCAAGCCTTATTTAGAACGCAACAATATAAAGCTGCACGTACACGGAACGGAGACCGGCGGCGGAGAGCCTGAGATAACTCCGGAGTGTTCCCACCTCGACCCAGGTAGAAATGATGTATGAGTCTCTTGAAGCTCTAACATCAATTATTTATATCAAGAACATTAATATACATTACACAATATAAGTACATATTTTATATAATCATTAGAAATAAAATAGCAAAGCAGTATGTTTAAATAAAAATACGTTAAGAATCATGAACAAAACGTTGGGTCAGGAATACTCGGTTTGAATTAAAACGGCTTTGTACTTGTGACTTATTCAATATGTAACGTCTATTCTGTTACAGCTACCCAAGCTATGTAAAAGTTATACTTTTTTAAATATAACATCGTGTAGTATGAGCTTGTAGGAATTAGGTTTAAAAAATATATATATTACATAGTTTTAAGTCGTCAATGCCTCCTGGCTGAAAATTAATTGATAAAAGAGAAAATAGATGGAGTAGCATGGTCTGTGAAACAGAGTATATCATAACGTATTTTTCTCTTAAAATTTATTGAAATGTATTCTATGGAGAAGTAAGTATATAATAATAATATTGTCCGTGAAACTGAGAGAAATTTGAATGCCTTTTGTGTTTATATTTCAATAGTAGTATTTATTTAATGGTAATATTACCAGCGACATCAGCTTCGCAGTGCAAACTGTGCCGGTTGTTGTTCAACGCCTCCAATAGTATCGAGAGCGCGGTCTCCCAAGCCGCTTCCTCATCTTGCGTCTTTTCACAAACGGGAAACTTCAACGGAGGTAGGCAACTTACTGCTATCAAAATTTGTATGTGATATTTCTACAGTACAATTTGCGATTATACATTATAGAGACCATGTCGTAAAAGTAAAAATAAACAAGAAAAAGGTCAGCCAGAGTGAGACGTAAAACTGCTTCACCATCGCCACCCAGACCGTTAGTGCCACGTCTTTGCAGAACCTTCAGTATACCTAGAAACCACAATCTCACAGAACATTTAGTACCAAGTAATAGAGAAACGTCACCGAAACCTTTACAACGGACTAGATTACGGGTAAAGAAAAAATCATAAAAATAAATGATAATTATCTCAAGAAAAACGGTCACTAATTTAAACATTTTTGTAGTACCCATTGCGAACGCTAAAACAATTTAGAGATGCATCAACTCAAACAGACAGAAAAGTAAGAGATTGCAAGAAAGAAAAACCTCAATCGCCTTCAATACAAAAATATGATGTCAAAGTTGATTTGCCGGATACCGTTAACAAAAATACCAGACCTCTGTCACCCAATTTCGGCAAATGTCAAGCTACAACATCGTTTTTTTCCTCGAAAAATAAAAAAGAAGAGCAAGCCCTATTCAAAGATGTAAGTGCTTTAATAAAAATAAAAAATTGAATAATAAAAACTATTGACTGAAGTACATTGTCATATAATTCAAAACACGTTGAAAAATTAAAATTAGTACAAACACAAAAAAATTTAAATTTAAATTACGTTAAGGTCTCCATATCAAGCTAAAAGTTGACGGGCTATTTCGAAAGAAATTTGCTAATTTTAAATCATCTATATAGCATTTGAATTGCTCAATTTAGTAGTGGCTATCATGAAATACTATCATACTTACTGACACGTCGAAAAATTAAAATTAGTACAATCACAAAAACTTCTAAGTAAAGTTAACCAAAAATTATGTAATTAATTACGTCAAGGTCTCAGATTAGGTATACACACACACACACACAAAGTTGAGCACATGTAAAATGCACACGCGTAAATGGAACACTTTACGTCCAACTTTTTTTTTATCGATAGGATTTGGTCAAAAATTAAGTATAGATTTTTTTACATAATTCGAATGAGAATCATATAGCCGAGTATTCTCCTTCAATCTGATTTAATTCAAAATCACCCTATATAGAACATTCATTCGTTGTAAAAAGGGATTTCAGTAAACCGATTTAGGCAATTAATAGATTTGTTGAATGTTTAACTTCCAGGATTTAATAGATGTAATTAAAGAGAAACATGATAAAAGACTCAAGATATTGTACAAGAATCCAGGTCAAGAAGAATATCCATCTGTTATGAATCTATTTTCACCTAAAACAAACAACATCATACTGAAGCCTAAAACAGCTTGTAAGGCGCCACATTGGAGATAAAATACGTACCTTTATGATGTCTAAGGATGCAGTCAATAGTTTTATAATTATTATACTTAGACTGAATATTCTATTATTCAGAATTAGATATATTCTTGTATCCTTATGATTTTTTCTACTTTGTAATATGTATTTAGGTTATTTTATATTAAAAGTTTAATAAATAATACTACCTTTTTGTTCAGTGTCATTCTCTTGTTGCTAATTATGTGACTCTATGTGGGTATGTAGGTATTACCGTCTAGACTCTAGTAAACTATTTATTAATTAAAACGTGAGAAGTTTATTGTCTTGAATGACAATACGCTGAGACAATATATCTAGAATCTATGTAAGCTTTCACTAAGTCCTGTTTCTTATTACAACACCTTGTAACTGAGAAAAGATTTAAATTATATATGAAAATTATGTTGCCCCGTTTACTTCTACGTGGAATATAATTCAATAAAAACAATACATACACTCGCACACGACACTTTATTGTATATATTCTTACCTCTATACCTATCTTACGACTCTTTACAAAATTACAACAGACATATCGACTATAAAAGGCAGTACAGTTAGTGTTTTCACACGAATAAAATAATTTACAAAAACAAAAAAAAGCAGTCAAACATATACATCACATGTATTAAATAACTAAATAAATAAGTCACATGTCACCGAGCTTCGATCGCAACAATAACAGCTGGCCGCCGTACGTCGGGGCCGATACAGACACGCTCTTTGGATCCGAGAAGAGTTATTAATGTCCACGCGACACTCGCGTTTATGTAGCCTTTAATTCGTGTGTTTAACGTAATCCGTTTCGTAGTAAGCGGCCGCTCCGTGCGCGCCTTTCCTATCGAGAGCGCGGACGCGGACGAAAAGGAATGCGGCCACTAGAGAAGCTACCACTAACACTAGGAGTAACATGACGAGCCCAGCTACGAACGATGGCACGGACATACATATGGTCTCCGGATCACTCGCTGGCGATTGTATGACTACGGTTTCGTTTGTCGCCGCGTTGTTTAAAGCGAAGTTCACGTCACCCGGTGCAACCACTTGTATGGTTCGGCTCGTATTCACATCTGTCATTTCTTGAGCGTCCCGTTTGTATATGCGAGTCGTCGCTGATACTGATGTCTCTCGTCTCCTTCTTATTCCGACCAAACTTTCTGGTAGGTCTTCCACAGATCTAGGCCGTCCGCCTAATGTTGCCAGATTGGGGTGTCCCTCGTCCTTTCGTTTGACCGTGTTGTACACTCCTCGTCTTCCTGGTGGAGGAGGCGGAGGTAGATTGACGTCATCTTCGTCTCGAGAGGGTGCGGGTGATGATGGACTAGGTGCGTTAGGGGTTGATGAAACCTGCGCTTGGGGTGGAGGTACGGTGTCGTCACGTTTTTCAGAGTATGCCCCAGCAACGTCGGCTGGATGTCTAGGGTCCGGGAATGCGGGGGGTACTCCATACTCTGAGTGAGGTACTGGCGGCGGGGGACCGTATTCGCCATGTCCCGCGTTTGGTAAACCATATTCTCCAGAACTTAATGCGTTTCCACCAAGTAAAGGCACTCCATAATCAGCACCTAGCCCTCCGCACTTTGGTTCAGGGCAATTATAGCGACACACCTGGATTACACACTGGAAGTGAACATTCATGGAGTCGGGGAATTTGAACGCTTGGAAGTATGCGAATGATACTACGGAGGCTGACGGACCGAAGTTCTTTATTTTCTGGAATTTACTCATAATCTTCGGCCTCACGACACATCCGTATTGGTCAACTAGCTGAATCGGCGCCCGTTTTCCATCATGGGCCACGCAGTTTCTTACGAGCATATCGAATTTATTTTCGTCATCTTTGATAGCAAGAACCATTGTCATAGTTTGTCCTATTTTAACTATACCCGACACTTCCGATGCCCAAGGCCCTTTTCCGACTTGTATTTGCATCCAGCATTGCAAATTGTCCCCGAGAAAGTTAGCTGTAACAGCGTGTAACATATCAACTTGGAAAGGCCTGAACGTGACTGCTTTCTCGTAAAAGTCGTACCACGTGCATCTCAACTTTCGCGCTTGATCCCACACTTCTTGAACATATGGGTCGTATTGGACTATGATTGTGTTTTCAACGTATGAGCCGCTCGGTGTCGGACTGCCGTAAGTTGCGACGTTATGGTTAGCAGAGCTGGACATGCCGCAACTGTTGAGGAATATTTCAAACGTGGCGCTCAGATGTCCCGTGCCAGGTTTGAGGTGCATACAATGAGGATCGCTGTAGAATCCCTTGGAGAATATCATTCCGTAGAAGGGACGGTCGAATTCTATGTTGACTCGCATATGTGTTTTTTCGCATTGGACTTGTAGGTGTTTTATTTTCGGGCTGTCTGGTGTGGCGAGGGGCCAGGGGTCGTCTGAATGTGCGGGCGGGAGGGGAGGGCCGTACGCGCCGCCTCGATGTTCCAATGGAAGGGAAGCTGAATCCACGGGAGGTTCGCATGTTGCTTCCTGGAAATAAAGCAAAGATATTTAAAGCAATTGCCAGATAGTACTAAATAGAGTATATATTTTGATATGTAATTGTTCTGATAGGTATATAATGTTAATGGATGCATCAATGGCCAGATACATTCCAGTAGCCGTTCTCGTCTCACTCTAGTTACCGGCACGCGCGCCGCATCTAGAACTCATTCTTTCCGACTTTCTACACTGATGGATCTCGCGAGATCAATTATAATATTAATTAGCGCAATCACACCGCACATACGAATTCCACCGGCTTTCTACATGTTTAACTGAATATTTATTATATAATTTTCGAAGATATAATGCAATGTTTTGACATAATTAAAATGTACTAATAAATTTGAATGATAATTAATTACTATTATCATTAATTAATTACTGATCTTGATATGATTTCATCAAACTAAGTAAAAATTATTCTTTTTTTTTTTTAATGAAATATATTTAGAGCCAACGATTAAAATAACATAAACAAATCGTTATAGCAGTATATAAGAGTTAATCGTATGGATATAAAAATTCTGATCTCTAGATACATTTAGAAAAACTTCTATGATTGCATAAAGTGCAAGGTTGGTATCTACTGTCGCATTTTCTAAACCGGTTAGAAATTACCCAGTGCTCGAGATTGTTGTGAGGAAAGCAGCGGATCCGCTCAGAGACACGCCAAACTAAAAAAAAATAACAGCTTTCTTTGACCAACGATAGGTTTTACGTGAGATTTTGTTATAAAATTTATGAAAGTTGATATATTTTAAAAACAAATTTGCAATGCTGATATCAGATTAAAGACGTGAAAGCATAACGAGTTCGTCCGATGCGTGATCCGACCGTGACCGCATCGCAAATACACAAAAGACGTTCGATGTACGTTCATTATTCTTAAATTTCACTTTTTATTTATTCTCAACAGGTTACTCAGTAATTAACCAGAAAACAAAATGTCTTCTAAAGATTTAAGCGCGCACCGTATTAAAACTTGTTTATTATAAACAACTGTCAGTTTTCGGATTCCGTGTGTGCAACCGTTTTCAAATTTGACAGATAAAAATAAAACTGATGACATAAACTGACAGTTATGGAAAGCTATAGATAACATTCCTACGAATTTCGGAATTTATAACATGCAAAACCTAGAGAAAATTTGTGATTTTAATTAATTTATAATTAGGAGCTTTTACGATATTCATACTTGAGTTTTTCACACAATGTATTACGACTCGTATGCTCATAGCGGCTAGTAGATAACTGTCTATCACCACACAACGATCTCGCGTGCCACTAATGATACGTAAACCACAATACCTACTGAAGCGCTGTTTACCGTTTGATATATGTATTAATAAAAAATAACAATCATAAGAATATGTGATCAGAAAAAAGATTATAAATGTCAAAGCTGTCAAAATAAATTGATGAATTATAGAATATAATATTCGTAATGAAAATAAAAGTAATTGCCGTTCTAATTTACAAGGCGATGACAGCTCAGTCCGTCAGGTGCGGGCTGTCTCGCTCAGGTGAAAGCATCCGTTGTAAACCACATCCGTTTCCAACGAATATTGTTGTATGTACATATAAACTTCGATCGATAAAATATGACACATTAAATAAACCGTAATATCTTTTATATAGGTATCTAAAACAATTATATTTTATACGATATTGAAATTTTATTATTAATCATTATTAAATTTTTCAAAACAAATTTTCGATAAAAAAAAAATAAAAAAAAATCGGTAATAATCAGCCAGTACCATAGCAAAAAGTCTTTGAAATTTAAATAATTTTTAGGTAAAGGTCGTCAAAAACCGGTAAACACAAAATTTGGTACGACGAAGAAAGTTGTTGTTTCTGTAAATAGACGATCCGGATTCTTGAAATCAATATTGTCCTTGTATCCTAAAATGGTAATAAACATTTAAGTGCCTTTTTGTATTGGATTGCTATTTTCATTTATATGGTTTGTAATAATTGAAGGAGGTGACCGAAAAAAGAAATATATGTTGTATATCTCAAATAAATTAGTATTTCTTTTATAAACAAACGCCTCTTCAATACTTATCTAACCCAATTCTTACATTTTCGCGATCAAATGGCTATCCACGGGAATGTCGCAATACTTTTATCCCCATATTCATACAAGATTTCATTCACTGCTGCAACTTTCCCTAATCATATATGTATTAAAAATATGTTTACAATTACCATAAATATTTAGAGAGGCATAAATGAAAATGTTCTCATTGTAACATTAACGGCGATGTTTAACGCCGGAAGAGCCTCAGGCACTGACACTCGACCAAGAAATATGCATGAGAAAGTTAATTTCTTTCGCACATATCTCTGAATCTCACTCGAGATGACATCGGAGAATGAGGATTTTAACTATGCACACGATTTCAGATATATGACGATGTGAAATAATATTAAATCGCAATTACATGGCACTTAGTAAAACTATATTTTACGCTGAAATGTTTTTGAAGCGTCAATTAATTCGGTTCTATTTGTAAGAAGTGTGTAGCGAGCAATTTTTCAATTAGCATTCGAGATTTATCGATGTATTAGATTATTTTCAAGTCTAGCGTCGATCGGACGTTTGCACTTTCTAAGATAAATTACTCTCTAGTATAGCTATATTAATATACTATAATACTACTACATATATTCGATCTGTGTGGCTTATAATACTTAAATAAAAGCAAATAAATGAATGCTAGCATCTATCTAAACACCTAATAATGGATATCAAAACCGAAAACGAAACCATTCTCACGAAACTTACGTCATAGCTAACAAATTTTGCGAGCAGTGAAAGTGCCTTATGTTGAAGCCTTCAAAGGCTACATACATGTATAGAATTTCACGATAAACGCTGACATTTTATTATGACGTAACATAAAAAACTTAATTTCGTCTATTTGAATTGAATCAGGTGTGTGTGCAGTTAATTTCAAATGGCTCGTTGTTTTGTATAACGGAATCATTAGTCTACTTTAAGCTGCTTTACTTGGAACGCGAGCGGCAAAAAAATTGGAATAATGTGAAATTACGTACATACTTACTGTTTCTAATAATAATAAATTGATTCATGAAATTATTTTATTTTATATGATTATAAATTTTATATATCTTTATAAAGTTTTATGATGTTTTTTGTGAAATCCTCAAATATAATCTATTAAAAGAAAAAACTTTTGCTATGTCTAATCTTATATGCAGCTAATTATTTGGGGTACTCTCATTTCTAGTTGTTTTTCTTTAATGAGTCTCATTGATATGGTAACTGGTTTTATATCGAGGCGTCTCCGGATTAAAAAAAAATTACATTGACAGCAATTTCCTCTAGGTTTACTTCGAGTTGCGTGAAAAGTATCACAAAATTTAATTTTAACACATGTTCTAATACAAATTTAATGACATTACTCTTGAATTACGGTGAAATCGTATGATTTGTAATATACCGTGGTAAGCGATTCAGTGACGATGCATTTACAGAATGTTAGACTATTAACTTGCTACATCGATTGAGACAACGGTATTGTGCAAAAGCTTGTTATAAAAAAATATGATGGAACATAGGTACATACAACATAAATCAAAGAGATATTTATTGGAAGATATACATAAAATAACTGTCTAACTGTATATGAAAGTTTCATTCGCATAAATCTTAAGAGAGACAAAATTTTTGTATAATTATTAGCAACCAAAATTTCAAAGAATTCTTTAGTTAATAACAGCAAATATTAAAGTCACTATCGAAAGTTTTACCGGTTTATTTGGTCTTTTTTAACATATGTATATATATATATAACCACCAACCTGTAATAGGAGCGTGGCGATTAGCAGCAATATCCTGGTCCTCATGATCTTAGCCTGGTCAGTCAGCGGCCTGCAACCAAACCAACACATTGATGTACACACACTAACGTAAGCGCGATGGCACTGGCACTGGCACGTGCTTAGTGCCGTACCAAGTTAAGCATGTTTCCTCGCATGGCGAAGACTGGCTGCTGAACGCGCGAGTGAATCGTGATCCCCTACTCCCGTGCCCCCCCCCTACTCGCGGGTCTGACCCAATGACCGAGTCCAACGTACATCGCCGGAACTACACCGGCTTATTTCACTTAAGCGCCTGATAAACGGAAACCGCACGGCCTTCACTTGTCAGCAAGGTCATGTAACATTATGTATTATATATGTATATATATAATACACATGTGAAATTTTCAGTAATTTCCAAATTTTATATGAAAAAGTGTGCTCTCCACATTAATTTATTTTACTTTACATCGTAGTTCATATAAAACTAAAGTAAAAAGTATACGATATTTTTCTATTTTATTTGTATAATTTAATACGTAAGGGTATTTATAATACCTTACTATAGAAGCTCATGCGCAGCTAATGTGGTGTTTATTGCTACATTAATTCGAATTCTCACAACTATACAGTGTGATGTTAACAAAAAGTGTTGTGGTCTATATGTTACATATATAATCGATTTGAGTACATACATATCAAATATATAATAATAATATAGTATGAATTTTCTACTATACAAAAAGTTATAGTCAAACTTCTTGCGCATCACGTATTTAAATTCATGCTAATATTTTGGCGGCGATTGACAAGTCAATTATTTTTTTTGTCCGACGCACAGACAAAACTGGTCGCATAAAAAGCCCCGTAGGCATTTTCTTTTTCTTAATCTAGAAGATTATAATTGTTTAACCCGAGGGAGATAAATCGTACCGCCAAATATAGATGAAGTGGGTCTTAATGAAAACATGAAATTAATTTTCATTCAACGCCATAATAGTTTTATATATTGTATAACGATTCAGCTACGATTAATAAAATTCTATAATTATAATTTTAGAGTATCTAGAATTAACATTCCCAAAGAGGTTAAAAGGTCGTAAAAACAATTAGTCAAAACTATTTACAACATGTAAGGCAGACCATGGTTAAAGCTAGTAAATTGCCAG